AGTGAACATCAACAAGTCTGAGATGCAGCTGCATCCAACTGACGAGTCCCAAATAGAACGAAACGCGCGTCCAACTGGATTCCACTGCTAACCACTGATCCATCTTTGCTTATAATTTATTTATTCGATCATCAATTCATTTCTAGATTTGATACTTTATTTATGTTGTTTATTTTATCATTAGTTTATACAAAACTGGGTGTATTCTCTATTTGATCTCAACATCAAATGTATGGTAAACAATGTAAGCAAACAATAAAGAAAAGTGATATAAATCAACTTTTGTTATACCCTATGTATGTACCGTTTCGGTATCTCCAAAGTATTTCTACATATATGTGTGTGTGTGTGTTTATCATGTTCGCTTATACACAAACACATACTCATTCATGGGGATCATAATGTATTGAAAGAAAAACTTGATCCGCAAGGTCATAAATAAGGAAAGTAATTAATGAACAACAACAAGTGAAGGATAGAAACATTTCATTGTTGTTGTTATTTATTTGATTGTTTAAAAAATGAATGATGATGATGATTGTTGTGTTGGATAGTTGTTTATGTCTCCACTTCATCGCTAAATATAAACAAATATTTTTATGACTGAGTAGAGATGGACAATGAGTGGCGGCGAAATCTAGGACGTTTGTTTCGTCCTATTTAGGGTTCGTCAGCTGGATGTAACTGAATCCCAGAGCAGAAATTTGCTCCGAGACTTGACCTCAGTATCGTTTGCTTCAAACTCCATCGAATTATCCACTTAGACACTAGCTTATGCAAACAATACACAAAAAAAATTCTGTAACTAGTTACTAATTTTGAACTGGATGATCATTTTTTTTAAAGTCAAGTGGAGTTAAGAAATGTGAACAAATGGCAGTATAAAAATGGTTTTCAGATGCCAAGTGAATTGTATGCGAATAAGCGAATAAAACTATTCAGGATAAATTTATACAGAAAACTAATTAAATTAGTTCATTCGAAAACATAGAATATTGGAATGAACAACTGTTTTCAGGATTCAGTAGCTGAGTGGATAACGCGATGGTGTTTGAAGCGAAAGGTACTGGGCTCGAGTCCAAGAGTGAACATCGGCTTTGAGATGCAGGTACATCCAGTTGACGAGTCCCAAATAGGACGAAGCGCCCGTCAAACTTGATTCCACTGCTAGCCATTACCATCTTTGCTTATAATGCTTGTAAATTAAGGCTACATCGAGTCAATACACACAGTATGCACATATGCCAATTAGAGACTGAACAGTTGCATTCCTAAACATCAATGGGAAGATTTAAACAAACAATATTATGTGAATTGAACTCTGTAATTGTCACTTGGATAGTAATCCTAGACAGTGAAAGCTTAAATAGTTTTGTTTTTATGAAACGCAACAGTTAAAAAATAGAGAATATTCGTGAATTATTAGTATTTGATCATAGGCATCTTTGGACCATTACTCCTGTATGTTGTGGGAAATGTTGAGGTTAGACTCAGTGTACTAGATAAGTATGTTAAATCGATTGATGAGGTAGTGAATTTTCATTGAGTTAGTAATGGGGACATGCATTATTTAAGGCTAACCACCACCTACTTAAAAGTCCATTGGTAGTTGGTATGGGTATAGGCTGCAAGAAAACTATGAGTCGGAGACCCAGAACATAATATCTTTGACTATTGAATTGACCCATACTGATAGGTACATACTCCCAGTTTGTGGTGAACTTTATTATCATAATCAATTGTTGGTGACATTATGTGACACAACTTGAAATCGTTCACAAACCTGGAGATCCACTCATTATTTGTCCTGAAGTACTGTTACTTATTATTCCAAGAATTCATTCTTCTCGAATTACATTTTCTATTCTCATAAATACTATTACTACCTCTAATAGTTGTCTTGATAATTTAATCTTACTGTAGTAATATCCTGTAGCTAATTGGACCGATATGCATATATATACTAGACTCTACATTACATATTACTGAATATCTGAATACAAAATCTAAGTCTACAGTTATTCTACCAAATAATTCCAACCATCTATTCTCTTTCTAATCTATAATACAATTAAAGTTACGTACTTACTTACTCACGCCTGTTTCTCCCAATGGAGAATAGGCCGCCGACCAGTATTCTCCAACACACTCTGTCCTGAGCCTTCTTTTCTAGTTCTATCCAATCAATGTTCATTCTTCTTATGTCTGTCTCCATTTCTAGAAGTAATGTGTTTTATGGTCTTCCTCTTCTCCTTTGACCTTCAGGATTCCATGTGAGGGCTTGTCTTGTGACGCAATCGGGTGATTTCCTCAATGTGTGTACTATACACTTCCAACATTTCTTCCTGATTCTTTCCTCCACTGAAATCTGGTTTATTCTCTCCCATAGTAGAATGTTGCTGATAGTGATTGGCCAACGGATCTGAGGTTTCTTGGGTAGACAACTGTTAATAAACACTTGTATCTTCTGGATGATGGCTTTCGTAATTCGCCAAGTTTCCGCTCCATGCAGTAGAACTGTCTTGACATTTGTATTGAGAATTCTCATCTTGATGTTGGTTGACAGACATTTGTTTTGAGTTCCAGATGTTCTTCAATTGTAAATATACTGCTCTTACTTTGTCGATATAATTAAAGTTATGTAATCATTTATTTCTTTTTTCTATATTGTCAGAATTTATCGGTTCTTTCTTTGTTGTTCGCTTGTCTATAAACACCTTTTCTTTTTGCTTAGAAAAAGAGGTAAACAATTATGGGTAGAGAGAAAAAGAAAGAAATATTCTATTCTTTCACGCTTGATTCTAACTTTGGAAACAAGAATTTCACTTAAATTCTTCTTATTGATCAATGATATTTTGATTAGAACTTCCCGATATGTATGTTTTTATTGAGAGAGAGTGTATGTGTGTGATTGGGCGAGTGTGTAAAGGGGATTAGAATCCTTTCTTTTGAATATGAGTTGGTCAGTGGATAAATAATATACTACTTACTGACATACAAAAGCCATCATACAGAAGATACGGTTGTTTATAAAGTTGTCTACTCAAGATACTTCAGATGCGTTGGCCAGACACTAATAGCAACATTCTAATGTGGGAGAGAACAAACCATATTTCAGCGGAGGAAGAAATCAGGAAGGAGCGCTGGAAGTGGATAGGACATACATTGAGGAAAACAGACAACTGCGTCACAAGTAAGTAAGTAACTAACTTACTGACTTACTCCTGTTACCCCTCATGGAGTAGCATAGGCCGGACACCAACATAATCCATCTAAAACTGTCCAGAGCAATCCTGTCCAGTTTTTTCCAGTTAACATTCATCCTTTTTTATATCTGCTTCTATTTCACGACGTAATATGTTCTTTGGCCTTACACCTTTCCGCTTCCCTTCAACATTCCAAGTTAGAGATTGCCTTGTAATGCACATTAGTGATTCCCTCAATGTATGTCCTATCCAATTTCAACGTCGCTTCATATCTTCCTCTTCAGCCGGAAGCTGGTTTGTCCTTTTCCACAGTAGGCTGTTGCTGATAGTATGCAGCCAGTGAATGTTGAGTATTTTGCATAGACGACTGTTTATAAATACTTGTACTTTCTTGACGATGGATGTAGTAGTTCTCCATTCATCTATCAAGATTGGTCATTAAATAATCAGCTGTAAATATCCTTTAATCCTACAACCCTAAAGGTGTTTCTTCAATTCTGAATGGATTCGAAAGCATACTTAAACTTCACTGAACAGATTCCAGTCTATCAACTATTTTCAATATAACCATCTAAACAAGATAATAGAGAAAAAGGAATGAAATCTTACCATCTGATCAGTGTTTAATAATTTTGTGTATGATAATTTTCTACATGATCAAAATATTCTCAACCTACTTTTTTTTTGGTTTTTCAAAATTAGGTTGAGTTTTTTTTGTTTCCAAGTAGAAAAAAGAAAAAAAAATTAACAAGTAACTTTTGTGTTACATGAATGTACTTGAATTAAACTGGTGTATTTTACATGATATCAAAAAAAGAAAAAACAACCTAGTAACAAATGATAAACGAAGCTAAACTCAACCCCCCCCCACACACACCCACGATTTTCCATCCTTGAACTAAATATTAATAAATTCATATTGTAAACTAGTGTTTCTAATGCAACACTATTTGACTGTAAGTTAGCTGAACTGACAATAGGCGCCATATTGGAATCAGTTTGAGAACTATTGACATACGTACACATGCCAACATACACTTTAGAGCAATGCATATTCAGGTGGTTTGTTATTCTTGATAGAGTATTTTTCTCATTCATGTATTTTGTAGCTTTCTGCCTTGAAAATTCATGAATAGACAAAAATATAAACTCCAGTTACATTTATTCTTGATCACGAAGTAAAATTTAGTTTATTTTTCTAAGCTACTTATAAGTAGTTTAGAGGTAGATTTAGTACAGCACATGGTGTAACTCATAATCATTCTCATAGTTGAAATCATGAGTCAATTGAAGCTAGACGACTATGGAAAACGTGGAAGCACTGTACGGCCGTTTCGTCCTATTATGGGATTCCTCAGTGGCAGTGCGAATCCACGATCCCGCACTCGCGAGACTCAAACCAGCTTCGCGCCGGTAACCTTTTTTCCTAGTCAACTTGAACCGTTAGCGTATCACTTCTCAATATTAAACAACTTAATATGAAATCATGAACAGTGTCAAAAACCCAAGTTGTGAAAAACTATAATACCCTTTCAGATAATATTCTATAAATTTAACATTTATTCGGTACCAGTTCGACAACTAGTTACACGTCACATTTTGATGGAGTTCTGTTCTCTGAGATGGATGATTTCGTAATGAAGCTTTTATCGTCCTTCTGAACGACATCATCAGCACAAACTTCCGGTTTGTGCTCAGAGAATAAAACTCCATCAAAATCATTCACCTGAGCTACAAATCTTCTCCACCATTATCACATTATTTGTTTCTTGCCTCCATCTTTCCTTATCATAGATTTGAATATTAAATCATCCAAACCGAAACCCAATCATCATCATAACAATCAAAAACAAAGAAATTCTCCATCACCAAAAAAGCCATCAATCAATAAATTGTCACCAAGTGAAAATAAATTTACAACAGGGAGTATATCACCACCATCATCATCAACATCATCACCATTATCTGGTATACCAATGCCACGTCAATTCAATTTATATCAACAATCTAATATGAATTCATATCATATGTCCTCTTCATCATCATCATCATCTTCAAAGATTAAAGAATCACCAACAAAATTAGATCGTATTCCATATTTGAATAGTCCATCACAAAATCAATCAACTATAGATAACCATTCAATGAATAATACTACTTATAATAATAATAATCTAAATATAAGTAGTATAGATAATACATATCAATCAACAAATATACAACCACGTATAACATTAAGTCAATATTATCATACTACACAGAAACAATATCCATATTATAATCAATCTATAACAAGTATGAATAAATTATCTGGAAATATTAATCATACTACTAGTAATACTACTACTAATAATACTACTATTACTACTCCAATGACTATTCATCAACCAAATACAAATCAAACAATAAAACATATAACTACATCTCAAGAAATATCATCATCATCGACAAATTACCCACCTCCTTTGCCGCCACCGCCGCTGCCTCATCATCATAATCATCATTCACATCATCAACAACAACAACATCAACATCATCCTATCCAACATCCAAATACATTTATCTCTGGAACAAATGAAGTAAGTGCGAAGATTGTTTTGATATAGATAATAGTTAATAACAAAATGGATATCAATTTTTTTTCAGGTATGATTGGATTGGTTTGCTTGGAAGTTGTCATAGTGATATAATACAGAGTTGTCTTAAACATTTTGAATGTTGTATAAGATATGATAGTTAGAAACATGTATTCTCTTAGTAGAAAGATTACAATGTTATCCTGAAAAATTGAATAGATCAGTGATAAAGAATGATTTTATGACCTATACGAAGTACTCATGATAGTCTACTAATAATACATTAAGAAATTGGCTAGAAATTCCACTGATATTTTGAAGTATATATATACAGTACCTTTGTATGATATGGAACTCCTCAGAAATGTGCATCCACGATCTCACATGTGAGACTAGTGATCAGCATTAAGATTGATTTTCTGGGGTTCTAGTGAGAAGCCATGACCAGCGGAGTCCAATCTGCGTCAGGTGTCAGATGGTTATCCACCTTAGGCAATGGATAAAGTGTTGAGCAAGATCTTGGATGGATTAAAGTTAGACATTAGCGCCGTTGGATTTCGGCCGGCTCAGTGATCTACAGATTAAGTGTTCACGCTCTGGATCGAGTCCTGTATTGGAGTCCCGCATGAGGGATCATAGAAGCATACTGCCGAGAAGTCCCACAATAGGACGAAACGGCTGTCCAGTGCTTCCAGGTATTCAATGATGGCCTAGCTTAGATCAACTCATGAATTAAACTATCAACATACTACAGCCTCTACATATCCCCTTAGTGATAAAAAAGTAAATTTTAAGATTGGTAAAAATATTTTCATAAGACTAATTAAAATCTAAATGATCTAACTACATTCTTTTTCCGGATTGTACAAAAACGTTACCTATCCTGTTGATTATTGTGGTTACTTATTCGTCAACTACAGATAAGCTTACGCCGCTTTGAAGCACACTTTATGTGTGAAGGTTTTAGATAATACTCGGACGGGAAATGGGATATGAAATCGTAATCTAATGATTGAAAGTTGAACGCCTTAACCATTGGGTTACCTCTCAAGACACTGATGAGTTATTTATATATTCACTCTCATGGAGAGGATGAAAACAGTATCATGAAATGTAGATTATGAATTATTTCACTGTAGTACCGAAGATATACTCATGTCTAATGATTTGTTTCACCTGGAATCGCGTTTACAATGCCCAGATGTCAGGTAGTTATTAACTATAGGCTTTGGTAGCCACAAGGTGACCAGGTGCTTTAAAGTTTCGAATGCTCTTTTCTGATGAATATAAAGCAGTTTGAAATCTAGATAAAGAAGAAATCCACACCATTTTTCATGAAATGAAATCGCCTACATGATGCTTATCGACGAGGTGATTATAGACATTGGATAGAAACTATGGAGCCAGATTTTGTGCTAGTTGACACAATTGTGAAGGAACTAGTGGTCTTCTAAGGTTTCTGAAGCTCTTTACTTATCTTCACAATCTAAGATGTCCCTAATGAGTTATTCGAATAACAACCTAACATCTCAACAGAATCTGACCAATATCAGGCCAATTGGACTAGTGAAGGCTTAACAACTTGATCAATAAAACTCCTTAATCACTAAATGGCCAGACGTATATTGCATTGGTCACAACTACTCAGTGACTGATCATTTATTATGATTGTTATGTCTTATGACCCGTCAAATATCGTATGGCGAAATCACCAATCAGAATGTCGACTTCTATGACCTTGTTGCTGTGTTAAACCAGTGATGCATCAAACAGCACTAACAATCTTGAGTCAACTGTCATTCCTTTTGGTCCTCCGTATACCCAGCTCGTTTAGTCCAATCATAAATATCAGCATCCGCCGCATGAATAGTATATTTCAGGCAAAAGTGGTATTTATATACAAGCCGACCAGACTGCATCAAACCATAAAATAAAAAAATAATCATACAGTATCAAGCCGAAAGTGACTGTGAGTGTGCGAGACTGCAACTAATACATTTGGAATAATTTAGGAATAGTAGATCATATAATAGTAGTCAATAGGTCAAATGAATGCTCATCATAAGAGGAATATGAATATATGTATAATCTAGTTACTTAATCGTTATTCATTAGGAATATATGTAATAATAGTCTATAAATAATTCCAAGAAGTTACCATTCATTTATTCTTCGTTCGGATATAACAATAACGAAAGTATTCATCCTCAGACTTACTTACTTACTTACGCCTGTTACCCCTCGTCATGGAGGAGCATAAGCCGCTCACCAGCATTCTCCATCCCACTCTGTCCTGAGCCTTCCTTTCCAATTCTTTCCAGTTAACATCCATCCTTTTCATATCTGTTTCTATTTCCCGGCGTAATGTGTTATTTGACCCTCCTCTTTTCTCCTTCCCTTCCGGATTTTAAATTAGGGATTGCCTTGTAATGCACATTGGTGATTTCCTCAATGTATGTCCTAAGCACTTCTAACGTCTTTTCCTAACTTCCTCTTCAGCTGGAAGCTGGTTTGTCTTCTTCCACAGAAGCCTGTTGCTGATAGTATCCAGCCAATGGATGTTGAGTATTTTGCGTAGACAATTGTTTATAAATACTTATACCTTCTTGACGATGGATGTAGTAGTTCTCCACGCTTCAGCTCCATACAGTAGGACTGTCTTGACGTTCGTATTGAAGATTCTCACTTTGAAGTTAGTTGAGAGTTGTTTTGAGTTCAATATGTTCTTCAATTGTAAAAATGCTGCCTTTGCTTTGCCAATCCTTGCCTTTACATCTGAATCCGATCCTCCTTGTTTATCAACGATGCTTCCCAGGTACGTGATTGTTTCCACCTCTTCCAGAGTTTCGACTTCAAGTATGATTGAGTTGGTATTCTCCTTGTTGCATTTGCGAATCATCCTCAAAGCTTGTCATATGATATTAAATATTAACTGACCGTACAACTCTTACTCGATGAATTATAATGGATCTCGATGACAATTGGTTACATCAAATTCATTCTGATGTAAACATCAAGAGAGACGTACTAGTTCTATGTATAAGATACATAACTTCCAAACAGTAATTTTTACTAATTGAATCTAAGTAGTATATTAATCGGATGAATTTTTACTTTGTTGTTGTTTAGTTTCAACATCCAATGATACCAGAGAGATCTCATTCAATCAATCCAATATCATCGAGTACAACACAACCATTAATGTCAAATTATCTTCATGATACACGACGTTATATGACAGGAAATAGTATATTTGAACAAAGGCCTAATCCACAACACCAATTTCAACCTACCCAACAAATTCATCAATCAAATTCCCATATCATCAAAACTGGTATTCCTTATTCAAATGATACTAATGTTATTTGTTCTACAGTGAATCAATCAGTACCCATGGGCCTACCACCAACACCACCATCATTCACACAATATACACAAATACACAATCATCCATCTAATATAAATATACAACAATATACACCTATAATTCAACCATTTGTTCCACCAATTTCATATCGTCCAGCTGCTCAAGCGCCCAATTCCAATTTTATGCCCATTTCACATTGTAATTATTCAAACGTAACAAATATTGCTCCTGCTGTTGCCATGACGACTACCACTATTACTACTACTACTATTTCTACTATTAATGGTATTACTACAACTACTACAACTGTAAACAAGAATAATGCATTTATAAATCGTCGTGTTAGAATTCAAGATAGCTCAAGTCAAGCTCAAAATTTATCTAATCATCAATCCATGCATTCAGGACAACAAATGAATACAACAACAAAAACTAGACAAGAAATGAATGTGACTACTACTACTACTGCTACTGCTACTAGTAGTGGTGGTGCACCAAACAACCTGACATACAAACATTTGCCTAATATGTCCTCTCAAACACAAAATGGTAAGTTAATTTTATGGAGTGAATAATTCTTTAAAGTCTGATATATATATATATATATAGAAAAGTGAAAATTAGCAGAGATATAGATAAGATAAGAAGGGGTTTTGTGGAGAATTTAGTATTTTCATAGTTGAAATCATGAGTCAATTGAAGCTAGATCACCATCATGAAAAACCTGGAAGCACTGGACGGTCGTTTCGTCCTATCATGGGACTCCTCAGCACTTGATAATTAGACTATTTGTAATAATCTCATTTGATAGTCATTCTCATTCTATCTCATGCTCCATTTGTCTAGAATTATTGTAGATATATTTTAAATGTTGACTTATAAATTGTAACATTTATCTGTTGTATGTTCGAGAATGATCAAAAGTAATTGCTAGGAACCCCTTGACCAACACTTTGTATTAAATGAAAATCGTTAAAAGGAAGTATTTGAAGTCTTACGGTAATTAACACTCATACTCGTACATCTCTGTGGTGTGGTCTACTTATATCCATATAAGTAGTATATGGTGATGGTCAGACATAGAATGTATTTTGGCAGAAGACCGATAGGGAAAGAACTGAAATGAAGCGCAATTGGTAGGAAAATGTACATACAATGAAATTAGAGAAGATGGATTGATATTTACAGAAGGAACAGTCAAGATTGAGACAGTTGATTGTTATTTTGCAAATTAACTGTTTGCTGTATGGTTATCAGAATTTAGTGAGATAGTCTGTAATTTGTGTTTAAATACATTCGATTGTCCTCAACCGGTGTTCTGATCATTACCATCTCAAACTTCTTTACTTAATGCCGCAATTAAAGATGTCACCATTACTGAACTGTTCGGGTTACAACTGATCTTTATAAGATGAAGATATGTTCATTCATTATTCAATAAGTAGATATTAATGTCATTACGTATATATCTCTACAATACTCATACCACTGAACAGCCGAAGGTCCAGTAACATCTGTTAATATTTCGGCCAATGCTACTGGTGCTTTTATTATACAGTTCATGGGAATCATAATAATTTGACTTAGTCTCAATCTGAATCGAGCGAAAAAAGTGTTTATTCTAGTATAAATCTTCCCCTAACATATATTACACCGAACGACAACATCACGGTAGTCTTCACAAGGTCTACAAGTCATTTGATTACCGCAATTACAAATAAAGGAACTTCTTAGTAGTCCCATTTATTGTAAACGCCTAATTGTAATGTCTTCTCTAAAATCCCCTGTGAACCGATTGTCCATAAGCATCAGGTATTGAAATTGGCGCTGTGACCTTGAAAACTCTCAGACGCTTCTGATTGGCTCGTCCATAAATTATAGTCTCGCCAAATTTTCCATTACTCAATGACATATTAAGAAAGAATTTGGATGAAACTCTGAAATACATGTTGAAATACTGAATAGTTTGACAGAATAGTTTTGTTTAAATCCCACTAGGAGGATACATAATATAATTAACATAAAGTATAGCATAAAATGTATATTAGTCTCATTTGTCATGATACATCAATACAACAAGTTGAAATGAACAAGAAGGATAACAAAGAGTAGCCAAGTAGCTTGCATCTGCTGGGATCACCGGGTAAGTAATAGTGAGGTTAGACACGGGGTATTAGGGACTGATGGGAAATCAGTTGATGAGGTAATGAATTTTCATCGACCACGTGTTGCGTATGACCTGAACACCGATTACCACGACGCGCTATGCTGACTAGTATTGAGGATGGTTGGAAGAGAGTTAGGGGCCGCCAAACCAAAACGTGGCATCAGTCCACAAAGTCAATAACTTCTGGTCTCAGTCATGTTGGTAGATAAAGACTAATTGGTTGGGGTCCACGTGACTATCGTAACCAATGGTTGGAGACTCTAGGTGACATGGTTCAAAATCGATCACAATGGCGTAGGTGTATACACTCTTTTTCTTCCCTTAAACCTTGAGATTAAAATTGCTTCATAACTTTTTTTCTTCCTATATTATATCCTTATATACAACCTATCTTTTATATATTACCACCACTAAATTAACTACCCCTATGAATCTGATGTTCATCTTGTTGTGCTAACGACGTATGGCAACTTGGACCGATTCATGAATGTGCCTGGTCCTAACTTGTAGCTGACTGACTGACTGAGCAAAGTAGCTTTACCATTCAAAATATGTTCTATCATGACAGAATGTAAAAGATTGAATGTACTTAATCCAATATGATAGACTATGAGTTATATCACCTTAATTTGCCTAACCCTTAGTTGTTGTTATCATAATAATAATGTAATTTATCTTCTTTTGTTAAAATTTGATCAAGTGAAAGAAATTACCAATCCTTCATCAGAAACTATTCATTCCAATCATTTTCCTTATCAATCTGAGACATTTAATTCTATTCAACCTACTGGAATATACACAACAGTGTCTACATCCTCAGGGATAACATCCGTAACAATAGCTAATACAACTCTGACGATTAACAGGACAGAACAACAATCATCGACACCAATCAATAATAATCCATCCATTTCATCATCATCATATCATAGAAGTTTAAGCAAAAAGCCAACAGACAATACAGAACAACGTCGTAAAGCTCGTGAATTATATGTTGCTTTAAAGCAACGTTATCCATCAACTAATCATAATAATTCTGTCAATCCATCTCACCGCCATCAGCATCAGCATCAGAATCATCATCATATTAATGCTGATGATGATGATCATTTATCTCAGACACAAACATCTGATATAAAAACTCTTATAAAAACAAATCAGAATAATGAAACTATCAATGTATTGGAAGAACATATAGATTGTTCTGAAAGTAACATACAAATGATCCCGTCAAAATTTATTGAGATCAATCGAAATGATCCCGATCATCACCACCACCACCACCAACAACAACAACAACCCAATTTATGTGTATCCAAGACGACCAATCCCTTACAATCTAATTCAATCAATGAAACTATGCAACAACCATGTATAAAAACAGATAATAATTATCAAATTCATCGAACCTATTGTGGTTATCAATCGGATAGTGCAATGGATTCCAATGATTTACTAAATCATAATTCAAATTTAACCTTACCATTTCATACAAAACAATTATATAATTCTAATATCATTGGATCATTACCAAGAAATTTACATCATTCATATTCTACTGTATATCAATCGAAGATGTTCAATTTGAATCCCATGAAACCGTCTACTAATCATGAACAACAACAACAACAGCAGGGGGGAGTAGGAGGAGCAGCAGGAGAACGAAGAGATGAAGAAGAGAATCTAGGCAATTATGCACGTCGTATGCATGAACGATTACAAGAAGGAATGAGAGAAGCGCAAGAATCATTATGGATGCCTGATTTACCAGAATTAAATAAGATGAATCGATTAAGTAGTAGTTCATCAATGAATAATAATGGTAATAATAGTTCATCGATTACACAGTTATCTGATGGAATAACAAATTTAAGGTAAATGATTATTTAAATGAATTAAACTTATGTTTTGTTTGTACTAAATGATGTATGTTACGGACTTACTTACTTACGCATGTTACCTTCAATGGAGCATAGACCGTCGACCAGTATTCGACAACCCACTCTGTCCTGGAACTTCCTTTCCAGTTCTATCCAGTTTTTGTCCATTCTTCTCATTTCTGTCTCCATTTCTCGGTGTAATGTGTCTCTTGGTCTTCAGGATTCCATGTGAGGGCTTGTCTTGTGACGCTGTTGGGTGATTTCCTCAATATGTGTCCTATCCACTCCCAACACTTCTTCCTGATTTCTTCCTCTACTGGAATCTGGTTTGTTGTCTCCCACAGTAACTTGTTGCTGATAGTGTCTGGCCATCTGATCCGAAGTATCTTGCGTAGACAACTGTTAATAATCACTTGTATCTTCTGGATGATTGCTTTCGTAGTTCTCCACGTCTCCACCCCATACACAAGAACCATCTTGACATTTGTATTGAAAATTCTGATCTTGGTGTTGGTTGATAAACAGTTGTTTTGAATTCCAGATGTTCTCCAGTTGTAAATATGCTGCTCTTGCTTTGCCGATCCTCGCCCTCACATCTGCATCAGATCCATCGTGTTCAGTAAAGTGTGAAGTTATTATTAATATAATAGAAAAATATGATGAAAAATTGGGTGAATGAATTGCATAGTATAGTGAATATATTGTGTAATAAGAGAAGTGTTGTCAAGGTAATTACGATTAAAAAAGAATTCATCAGAATTGGGAAAGATGAATGATTAGATTAAGAAAGATATAAACTCACAAAGAATTGAGAGAATGGAAAGGGTTTATGATATCCAGTTTAGGTGTCTGATGATCCAATCATGGACTAAAGTTCATCTAATTTAATATGATGTTTACTGTCTATCCTGAATCGCATTTTTGACGCCCAATTTTTCCTATTACCGCTGTTACTACTTCGACCACTTTAGGATTTACTCTGGCAATTTCATATCAGTGTGCTAATGCAAATCATTAGCAGTATCAGGGGTGGCTGAGAAGATTAGGTACAGAAACAACAGGAAATATAAGAAAATTTCGTGACTTAGTATCGAGAATAAGATAAAGAAAGTATTCGTCTACGTCATTGTGAATGATTGTGAACCATGTCATACAAAGTCTGGAACGATTGGTTATGATAATTGTGTGGACCCCAGCCAGATAATCTGCAACCTACCTATTTGGTTTAGTCTAGCTGTCAATGTTAACATAGACTGGTGACAGGTCTCAATTTAGCTTCCCCTAGTTTTCGTTCAGTTTACTCATATACTAGCAAACATTGAGGTAGGTGGCGGTTAGGAATACGCCAAACATGTCTCGACAAACTCAGTTGATTACCATTCATTACTTTTATCAACCATTTTGGCGTCCTTATCCAGTACTCTATGTACATTCGACTCAAGATTCTTGCACAGGACGAAATATACTTCCTGAGTTCAACTGCTAGTTACATCATAAATTTATTGAAAACAAACTCAAGTAAGATTCATTCACCAACTATCACTATGGGGTTTTGGAGATTAAATAATCTTTTAATTCAAATCATGAAAAGATTAGTGTTAGACCATCATTGAAAACCTGGAAGCACTGGATGGCCGTTTTGTCCCAGTATGGGAATCCTCAGCATTGTGCATGTACAATCCCATTTGCGTGCAAGACCGAATGTCTTGGTTTCGAATCCCTAAAACGACATCGTGGATGAGCGCTGCCACTGAAGAGTCCTATACTAAGACAAAACAGCCACTTATTGATTCCAGGTTTCTCAAAGTGGGTTTAGCTTTAATCAACTCATAGATTCAACTATTGAATTACTACTAGTGTCTATGCTTCATTTATTCATTCATTCTCTTTTTCTCTTACTATTTATCATTAATAATTATTAACCTTTCAGTTCAAGTATGGATAGAAAAAAACGAACAATATTGAAAGAAATCAAATCAGAACAAACAACTCAAATTAAAAATTTCAATAATAAAATAGAAAATTCTAATATGGACAATCATTTATCACCGTCACCATCATCACCACCACCGCCATCATCACCATCGGCATCATCACCATCGACATCATCACCATCAACATCTTTATTCACTAACTCTATAAGCAATAATAATAATCATTCACCTTTAAATTCAAGGTTATATTGGTGTAATAAATTACATAATAATCAACCAATGATAAACAATTACAATTTACAATCCATTCATAATAATGAATATTCTAATATGGATATAAAAAATGGTGTATGTTCCGATGTGGAAGATTTATTAAATCAACATGAAAGACGATTAATGTCAACGTCAGGAAATGGTAAGTTGCGTTGAAGAGATTGTCAAATTTCCTTTGAAATCATAAAATAATTCAAGTTAGACAATTAATAAAGACATGGAAACACAAGATGGACGTTTCGTCTTAGTATAACCATCTTTGTTGTGACCTTGATCTGTCTACCCACTTTCGAACAGAGGACAACTAGTCTAATGTGGATTAATACCTTGACGCGATAGGCTCACTAGCTTAAGCTTGAGGCTACTATGCGTGAGTCCGAAGTGCGGTAGAGAGAAGAAAATTAATGTATCGCCTGATTGGTTGACAGGCACGCGTGAGAGAGAAGACAAAACAATTGGAACACTACTCGCTTTGTTCCAAATTCCAATCTGGTACCTGATTTCAGATTAATGGAAAAAGATAAATGAATAAGTAGATATTAGAAAGGGGTATTGTGGAGATTTTAGTAATTTTTAGATCACTTAAATGGCATCCACAAGTTTACGTTTGTTAACTTGAATCATCTAGTTAACTGATGTAGTCCCATGGTTCTTTTTTAGCTTTTTGTTTAATCTACTTAATTAGTTATTCAGTAGTAAGCTAATCCAACTTTGTATAATTGTATTTTCTTATTGTAGATAGCGATAAGAATGTCAATGAATTAATAAAATTCAACTCAGCTTCAGATACAGAAGAATTTCTTTCTAATGACTACAGAATTCAAGCATCGATAAGAGCTATGAATTATGGTCACATGGGATGTGATCCAATTCAACCATCATCATACAATTGGTTACGTAAAGTTAATAACAATGAAACTGTTGGAGATGGATTGCATAATCGTTATTTTATTCCACCAAGATTATGTAATCTAGATTCTAGTATAAATCAGTCAGATGGGTTTGTTTCCACATCTGGTATATCACAACAACAAAGTTTACTGACAAGAGCAAGACGACGACAAATTGACGGTAGATCATTATCATCATCTATCGCAAAGCATGATGATGCTGAAAGAATATATGGAATAGTTCCATTATCACCATCTTATTTATATAATCAATTTATGCCATCTACTGGTTTAATGATTAAAGGAATGATGAGTAATAGTAGTAGCAGTAGTACTCGAACTAATCAAGATAATGAGATACATTTTCCAGGAACTATAAGTGCACCACCTGGAACACCAATTAAATTACCATATGCTGCTCCAGCCAGTCTAATTGGTACAACATCCGGTTTTAGTTGCCCAGAATCTGGTTCACAAATAATCAATGGATTAGGAGGTGATTTAATCTAAATATTTGTTATCAATGTTGATTATGAATTCGAGTGATGGTGGTAGGAAAGAGGGTATTTACATAAGAAGCTTTAGTGATAAAATGAATATGTTTTGTCTTAGGGACCACTGACTAACATCAACTCCTTAATCAGTAATATGAATCCTAATTCTAATATTATCTGTTCTGTGCCTTATATAGCCTACAGTCCCCGATTTTAACCAATTACACCTCCGATCAGTAATATTGACTTTGAGCCGATATAACTAATTTCCCATTGATTCATTATTACCAATCTTCTCTCGATCCTCTGCTTTGGGTCCAAAAAGTCAGCAACTAGCTTCTACTTTAGTTATATTTCAAAAGACTTGGTTCATATACAGCCATACCAGACTAAATCACACTATAAAATGGAAAATCATAATTATACATGAACAAGCCAAAAAAGGCTGTGAATAGAGGAGACTGTAAATAATAGACGGACAATAATAAGTCGTATGAAACTAGTTTATGGGTAGGCCAAAAGATCATGGTACATGGAATATATCCATAGTTACTCAGAAAACATGCGATGAAAATATATATAAGAGTTACTATTACTTCAATCTTCATTCTGATCTATCAAAATTTCAGTGTACTAATCCCTTGAGTTTATAATCGTGTATCATGACTGACCCAATCGGGGAGATGAAAGTTGTGACCTTGAGCAAATAAATAACTCCTTTAATCATAAAATGGTGGTTGGAGGTGGTCAAAAGAAAACCCTGGACCCAGGTTTCGTACTACTTGGCACTCGTCAGCAATGTGTACCTATACTCTTGAGGGAACTGGTGATCCCTGACGGATTTGATCCCGTGTTACCCAGCTTAGTGGTAACGTCTCTGACTGTTTAGCTGGGTGACACGGGATAAAATCCGTCAGGGATCACCAGTTCCCTCAAGATTACAGGCACACTTTGCTGATAAGTCCCGAGTAGCATGAAACCTGGGTCCAGGGTTTTCTGTTAATCACCTCCAACCACCATCTTAACTAAAATGTTTCTGTCTTCCTGATAAACAGAAAAACTTGTCCGACATATGTTAATATTTTTAAAAAAAATTTTCTCATCTGAAATTGTTTTTCTCTGCAAATTAGAATAGAATAGTTATATAACAAATAGAATATTTGGTGTTTCTAATTGATAAGTTGCAACGTTCAAATATTTATTTATTTAAACACATAAACATTAGTACAAAGGGGCATCAAATACATATACGCTACACAATTCATTCGATTTGTATGTGGGCTGTAATACTGCACGAGTGTCCAGACCGAACCAGGTGGTTTTCTTGAGGGGCCATACCCGGAGCCTTTGATCTAAATGTCTGATCCACAAGGCCGTGGAGCAACGTAAGAAAATTTAGTCCCATGGTAACTGATTACCAATAATTGGTTGAAACTCCATTTGTTCCTTCAAGATCCTGTAGTCCATGTGCACCATTTGTTTACCCTTAGGGTTTTTCAACTCCACTAAGTGGATCCTCCATATCCATCAAACTGGTTGGTGCGCCGGATACCCGCTTTATGTCCTCTCAATTTCGTAAACAACAATAGTGTCGCGAGAAGTCAGTGAACATGACTTCAATGATAGTGGCTGTATATGTGTGGCCATGTGAGAGCATTTCGAGAAGGAGAGCTGACTCCCCTCACCTTCGGCCATACCAGGGCATCTGGGGGTTAAAATTCAATTCGTCAGATAATCAATATCACACAGTAGCCACTGTGCGTATTTTTTAAGTTTTTATTTTGTAAACTAACTTTTCGTTTATCTATAAGCTTTATTCAGTATTATATTACTGTTTGGTTTTTAATAGTGAATGGTTCAAGGCTATCGCTTACTTCAAATGGATCTTGTGTATCTACGGTAAGAAGAATATTTCTTTTCTTTGTCCTCATTTTTTCCATAGAACTTAAAAGATAACTGACTAACTGCTCGTGATGTTTAGTAAACTTGAGGAAAATCTCGATTATGAATTGTTAAAATCTTGATGTAGGTTTGTTCTCTGAGCTGGATGGTTTGGTCGTGGAGCTTTCATCGTCCTTCTGAACGACATCATCAGCACAAATTTCGGGTAGAAGTGATGTGTTTGAATTTCTCTACATGTGATTCACAGCTTGTCCTGTGCACCTCAATGTTGATTGGTTCTTATTGACCTGAAATCTGCCATTGTTTATTTCTCTGTTTTGGTTGTATCTCCTATTGGTTCGATTTTTGTCCCTATGTTTCTGCATAGGAGATACAACCAAAACAAAGAAATAAACAGTGACAGATTTCATGCCAATAAGTACCAATCAACATCGAAGTGCACAGGACAAGCTGTCAATCACATGTGGAGAAATTCAAACACTTTATTTCTACCTCAAGTTTGTGCTGATGATGTCGTTCAGAAGGACGATGAAGGCTCCACGACCAAACCATCCAGCATAGAGAACAAACCTACATCAAAATCACCCACCTGAGCTACAAATCTTTTCCACTGTTAAAATCTAAGAAATATTTAGATATTTGTTTGGCGCTAGTAAGTGACTACTCATAAGTGTGCACGCATGACTAAGATTACAGATAAAACTTTAAATTTTTAGATTTCACAGTGTGAGTGCCTTAGTTTTTACATTCCTGACAAGTTCACATCCACTTCTAATGAATCTCATTCACCTAAAGTACCCGGACGTTCTAGGTCCGACCTGTTATACGGTTATTGATGTTCACTTCCGGAAGACAGCTTACTACAAAATCAAATAGTTGTCCTATATCTTATAGCTTTCATTAACTGTCTGATTTAAATTAATAAATGATGCAAAATCATCAAACTTAGTGACCACTACAATCATCTGAACTATAAATCCCTTAACTTGATAGTCTACAGAAAAATACTAATAATCGACTGATATACAGGGTTGAATTTGAGTCAACTTTAGTTGAAATATGTGCATCCTGAAAGAAATACCTCAATATAAACAACAGACTGTCACTATCTTTATACAGACAATGGATCATGATCAGTACTGGATTTTAGAATGCATATTTTGTCCTATTTCGGACTTGTCAGCTGTTCATAACTCCATCCTACTGTTGATATTCACAATGAGATATGAATCTAGTATCTTTTTCTTCTCGAAATAACGCATAATCCTCTGAGTTCAGATAGATACTAACTATTCAAATAGGTATGAAATTATGAAGGTTAGTATTTCCTCTATTCTGAATCCAATCTTGAATAGCAGTGACTGATATGCATTATCCAACAAAACTGATCAAATCATACACATAAATATATTTATTTGCTCGTTCTTGCAATGATTTCAGTCAAAAAAATTCCGTAAAAATAAAAAATCTCATCTTGGTATATTGTTTGTATTTTTAACTTTACTACTTGTAAATATTTCAGTAGTTTAACATTTTTTGAAAAAACATCACACAAAGTGGATTACGTTATTGTTCATTGGGTTTTTTAATCTAATCCCATTAATTTAGTTAAACTTGTCGATTGACTAGTAGTGTGATATAATACATTTGTCTCATTTCACTGATGAATTGTCAGCTTGACACACATATCACAGTACTGATGTCACACACTGAGACTTGAATGCATTACTTCCACTTAAAACTCTAATATGTTAACAATTGAGCTACTGATCATTTATAGTCATTATTATTAACAACCAAAAGGTGTAAGCAACTATAAATCCAATCCGGTAGAAGTTAATCTTCTTCTATGGTGTTTCTAAACGTTTCATGAATTTTCATAGTTGAAAGCATGAGTCCATTGAAGCTAGACTACAAAGGAATTGACAGAAATTAATTAAATTATGGAATAACTATTCGATTTTTTTCGATAAGTACTACTTGACTACTGATATTGTATTGATGGAGTGATTAGTTTGAGACCGATTTTCATGATGGATTGAGATCAGTAGACTGCTATCACAGCCAATTCACTGTTATTGACGAAATTTAGGTTGTTCATAGACTTTATATAACTATGTGGCTTTTAAGTCACCCAGTTAGTTGTTATATAGTTATTTACTGGTTGAGAGGTTTTAGAAAGAATCGTCCGAAGTTCTATCAAAAGGTTCTAATGTAGTTCAACTTCACCGAAAATGAAATATATGTCTTTCATTGAATGACTATTTTGACAAGTAACAGTGAATTGATTAAAAATGTAATGGTATACTATTGGAATCAATTGAACTCAAAAGATGAACTATGGTATTACATACTCTCTCTCTTTCTCTCTAAAACACATGAAATTCACGAGTTCAATACCATCTAGAGTGGCATATCCTTGTGTGTGCGTGTCTCTACAGAATGATGAGTTCTTAATAAAAATGAACTTCAAATCAAATGAGTTTCGTCAAATCCTCCTGCTTTAACAATCGGACCCATAGAATTCATTTCATCTTGAAGATCTTATATCAAAACAGTATTTCATGTATAAATTTGTATCATGAAGTGGATTTCGATTCACTGTCACAGTAAATATTTCTTGATATGTTTATATTAACCTGATTGTATCCCTTTTCCATATATATATTCTAGGTAGAGGAAAAACAAGCTGAAGAGGTGAGTTCAGTTTCATGTTTTGTTTCTTCATTACTGTGTTTATATGTTTGTTGCTTTTATTGCGCTAGCAAAGTTTATTTGTTCATTATCATGAAGCAATCTAAGCTAAACCAATGGTGAAAACCTAGAAGCAGTGAACGGGCGTTTCATCCTGATAATGGACTATGCAGTAGTCCACATCCACGACCCACCAACAAAGGGAATGCAAACAAAGGATTTTTAGTGTGAGGCACGAACGCTTAACCTCTAGACCACTGAGTTGATATCCAACGGTTTTTCTTAGATGAAAGTTGAATAGGGAACCCATGTACCAGATGGAAGTAAGCCATGATTGGTTAGTGGTTGAAAACAGAAATTTTCGGTTAAGTTGAATTTAAAAGATCATACACTGTAAAGTTTATTCTGCTTAGATTCGGCTTAGAGTTTATTTACTGACTGATTTATTTGGTCTGTCTTCACAAACTGTCATACTGACTTTTATCTATTTAGTTCATAAGAGCTGATCGGGTAATCAGATCTCGTGTATCGTGTGACCAAGTGCCCAGTTTAGTGACTCATTATTCTGGTGTCTATTGTATTATGTAAGACTGTGAGCCTCAAGTATGTTTTTTCTCGTTAAAACCGTAACTCAAAGTGTTAACTGTTTGAATGACATTTGTTATCGATGTCTCAGTACCTCTGCTGAAAAATTGAGAGTATTGCAGGAGCCGTAACCACTTCAGTTCAGCTGTTACTTAAAAATGACAGTGGAAGATAGTTGAGCAATATCATAGACTGAATGACTTTAGATATATCAACTAAAAGGTGCCTAGTCAGTAATCTGGATGTCAAACGCTTACAATGAGACTTGAGTGTCCTTTATTTGCTAGGCGAGATATCCGTCTATCAACCAAAAGACGGGTTTACTGTTCAGAAGTTCGTTCCGTCCTACTTTATGGCAGTGAAACATGGCCGATAAGAGTAGAGGATATTCGTAGGTTACTAGAATTCGATCATAGGTGTCTTCGAAGCATTGCTCGTATATTCTGGGACCACTGAGTAAGTAATGCAGTTGTCAGAAATGGGTACTAGATAAGGATGGCAAACCGATTGATGAAGTAGTGAAATTTCATCAGTTGAGATGGCTGGGATACGTGCTGAGTATGCCCAACCACCGACTGCCCCGACGTGCAATGCTTTATGGTGTAGGAGTGGGTTGGAAGATAGCTAGGGGCGGCCAGACAAAAACATGACACAAATCCATGAAGTCACTGACAAGTGGACTGAAGCATGTTGATAGGTGTAGACTACCTGGTTGGGATCCGCGAGATGATAGCAATCGATGGTTAGAGACCTTAAATGACATAGCTCAAAATCGTTCGCAATGGCGAAGGTGCATCCACTCTTTGTGTTCTACCAAATTCTAATCTTCTGAGTTCTTCATGTCCCTTTCTTTATTCTCTTTCCGAATTTATTTCATTGGATTATACTCCTTCAATAACATCTTCAAACCCTAATTTTTCCGATTACTGCTTATACTCTTACTACTTCTACCACTATGGGATTTGAATTGACAACTTCATCTCTGTGTAAATGTGGTATGGCAACTTGAACTGATATACGAACGTATGAAGTTCTACGTTGTGACTGACTGAGTGTCTTTAGTTTGATCCTCAGTGTTGAGGCCGTGGGTACACACTGAAGAAAACTCTCATACTAGTAAGAAACAGCCTTTCAATGGCTTAATGTGTTAGAGGAGTTCCTAAATAGCTGTCATCAAAGTCTCTAAGAGCCAAGAAGCTCCAGGATATGTTTTCTCAGAAAATCTAAAAAAATGCGCTGAAACAAATGTCACAATTCTGACTGGATATTTATTTATATCATTGTTATAGTTAGTATAATTCCGAAAATTTCCAGAATCCAAAGTCATGTATAACTCTATACGTAACCTTGTTTTTTCTATACATAAGTTAACCTTCTCTCTATTGTTCCAATTGACGTATAGAAGTAGTTTAAAGTTTATAGGAATCAGCTAGGAACACAGATCACCATAACTGCCTAACTTAATCGTTTGTTACCAATTCAAGTTATTTTTCCCCCTATAACATTTTACAAAGAGTTCCTGTCAACATTTTTACATATTTTCTTCTTCTTATAGATACAAAAACTTAAACGTAAACTTGAACAAGCTGAGAAAAAAGTTAATGAATTAACAACTCAATTGACAACTAATGTAAGTGTATGATCATTTTTTCTTTGTATGAAATTGTCAAATTTCTTCCCCCACCTCCACCCCCCCTTAGCTTTTTTTTTCTAACAATTTCTGGATGGTAGATTTCAATATGAATGTAATGTCCTGGTTTGAGATTGCTTTTTTACGAATATAAGACAAGATTTACGTAAACTAGACAAACATGATAGATACTATTATTGTTGTGTGCTACTTATATTGACATAAGTAGTATATAATGCTAGTTAGGAATAGAATATCTGGCAGTAGAAGGTCGAGAAGATTGAGAAGGAAAGAACGAGAACAGTAAGTAATTGTTATGGAAATGAAGGAACATACGTACGAAGTGCTACGTTTTGACTAACTAACTGAGTGTCCTTAGTTTGATCCCCAGGGATAGGGTCGTAGGTTAACACTGAAGGAAAGTCTCATAATAGTAAGAAACAGCTTTTCAATAGCTCCATGGTTCAATGTGTTGAAGGAAACCCGAAACATCTGTTATCAAAGTCTCTGAAAGCCAAGAAGCTCCAGATTTTTTCTCAGAAAAATCTAAAAATAGTACTGAAGCACATGTCACAATTCTGACTGGATACTTGTCTATACTGTTGCTATAGTTGCTATAGTTAGTATGGTTTCGGAACTTTCCAGAAGCCCAAGGTCATGTATTGTACCAAGACTTTCTGTAATTTTGTATTCACATACATTCGATTGTTCTCATTTATGTTCTCATTCATAACACTATGAATAGAATCGTTAGAGATGTATTGCATAATCATTATTTTATTATGTAATCTAGATTCTAGTATAAATCAGTCAGATGGGCTTGTTTCCACATCTTGTATATCACAACAACAAAGTTTACTGACAAGAGCAAGATGACGACAGTCAGTCAGTCAGCTACAAGTTAGGACCAGGCACATTCATGAATCGGTCCAAGTTGCCATACGTCGTTAGCACAACAAGCTGAACATCAGATTCATAGGGGTAGTTAATTCAGTAGTGATAATATATAAAAGATAAGTTGTATATAAGGATATAGTATAGGAAGAAAAAAAGTTATGAAGCAATTTTAATCTCAAGGTTTAAGGGAAGAAAAAGAGTGTATAAACCTACGCCATTGTGATCGATTCTGAGCCATGTCACCTAGAGTCTCTAACTATTAGTTACGATAGTCACGTGGACCCCAACCAAGTAGTCTGCATCTACCAACATGGCTCATACTAGAAGTTAGTGACTTCAAGCACTGATGCCACGTTTTGGTTTGACGGTAGGTCATTATCATCATCTGTCACGAAACTAACTAAGATTGACTTCTTTAAAATAATTGAGTAAATTTTTAATCTTATTTAAAAATATTGAACCTGTTTAGAACATGAATTTTTTTTTAGTCAACTAACATAATTCTGTAAACGGATACTTTTGAGACGAGCTTAGAACAACAATGATAATTTTCCAGGAACCATGAACATTCTATGACTAAACGTAACTCCACGAAAATCATCCATCTGAGTTGCAAATTTCAAAGAACTATGACATATAGACTTGTCTTAATGAATACAGATTTCCCATATCCGATGATGTTCAAAAGAACTCAAATATATATTATTTTAAGAATCCCTATATTGTTCCTAGTTAGATTTACGTAGAGTGATGATTAAGGGTTTAGGCTTTAGGTACTAATCATGAAATCACTTAAGCTATAAATGAGAAACGTTCTCTATACTCATATGGATAAAAGAATTTTACCAAAAATATAAGAGGTAATATCTGATTTATTTATCCATGAAATCTAGTCAAAGTTTCCTCCAAGCTTAAAAGTTTAAGGTTGGAATTTACATTTAGTATCGATATACACGTTACACACAATCTAAAACAAAAGATTAAATGAAGCATTTTATGCGTTTTACACGATCATTTATACTTGATGATTGGAAAAAAATAAGCAAAGATGGGTAATGGCTAAAAGTGGAAACAAAGATGTGTGTTTCGTCCTATATGGGACTCAACAGCTGGATGTACCTATAATTTATAGTTGGTGTTCACTGAACAACTGAGCACTCGAACCCAGTACCATTCGCTTCAAACTCCATCGCGTTATCCGCTGAGCAGTTATCCGATGATGTTAATGTTTAACTTCAACTAATCCATGAATTTGAGCAACCGTTCCTCTATTGTCTTCAGTGAGTTCCTATCTCACAACAGCCGTGGTTTGAACTCCACTGGTCACTGCTTCTCACTAGAACTCCTGGATGTACTTCTCGAAGTCAGTCGAATCTCGCGAGTGCGGGATCATAGATGAACACTGCTGAGGAGTCCCATAGTAGGATAAAACGGTCGTCCAGTGATTCCAGATCCATTTTTTAAATACTCATCATAATGAATAAACGTGAGAATATGTTTTCTAAAAGAGTGTAATGCTTCAATAGCAACGAAAAATTTAAATAAACCATCAGTTCGATCAATATATGCATAGTTACATAAGTAGGCATATATGTGTATAGGAAAAATAAAACTGATTCACTACCGGTAAATTGTAGTAACTATAGTGAATGTTTTCGTGCCCCCTCCATACACACATACACACATACACACTGCCTTGTTTGTTTGAAAATTAAAATATCGAATATATTTTCAGTTTTCAATTTTTCAAATTACAAATTGACTTCACATTCCTTAAGAACTGATCAATAAGAAGAATGGTGTATGTACGTGTGTATATATGTGTGTGTGTGCCGGATCCCAATTTCCTTAAACTGTGTCTTGGATACATGATAAAGGTTCCCTTTTTTCATGTAGATATGTTAAGTTATTATTGTCTATATATCTAATGATGATGATGATGATGATGATGATATCTACTGTTGTAAACATGAACACTATAGACATGTATGTATCTAAGGGAAATTAGTATAGTAGAATAACATGGAAACTATCCAATTGAATCATCTTTAAATATGTTAACATGTTTCTATGTGTATAAACTGTGTAAATTTAATGTGTATCTATGTTCATATACGTATATTCATTGAAGTATTATAATGTTTAATAGTTGAATAGTCGGCACTTAGGATCATATTTCTGATCACTATTATGATGCCTCAATATGTGTGTGTACAAACAAAAAGATAAATTGAAAGACTGTACACACACATACGCTGATATTCTTCAGTATCGAATAGTACGTCGAAGGTTGATTGCAAGACTAAACACGCACACACATGCACACACACACGGTGATATTCTTCGGTATCGAATAGTACGTCGAAGGTAAAATTTAGGACATATTAAACACATCTATTACTAAAGGGGTATTTATAATGATGTATTAATGAACAAATGTACAAATGTATGTACCCTTGTAGACTGATTTACACCTAATTCTTCTTCAATAATATAATATCCATATTCAAATGATCTTGTATATAACTTCAATGAATCAAACAAATAGTTCAATGTTTATTTTACTTGATGGAATTATACTACTTATATTACTACTTACAAAGATGAGATGATATATCAATAATGTTACTACTTTATTCTCTTCCAAAATAAATAAATAATGGATGCTCTATATCCAAATTTTTATTCACTTACATCGGTTACTTCAGAACCATTAGATCCACGTGTACGTCGTCGTTCACTTATATGGTGTGGTAATAATACAACGATGCCATCAACGACAACAACAATAACGACTACTACTTCTATTAATAATATTAATACCACTAATAACGATACTACTATTATTACTTCTAGTAATAATAATAGTAGTATCAATGATAGTAATACTAGTAGTAACGTGTTATTACCTAAAAAATTTGATGATTGTCCAGAAAAAATTCCATTAACAAAGAATACAGGGTTACTGATTCGTCGACGTAGTCTAAGTCATAATCCATTAAATCGTAATTTATCATTATGTAATCCTAATCATCAAATATATATGAAACCAAATTTGATAAACTCACCAACACTTCCATCACCACCACCTTTATTCGCTGATAAGAACCTATCAACAGTATATTCTACATTACCTCAAACATCATCGTCGCCACCGTTATTCGCCGGCAAAAATCTATCAACAGAGCAATCTACATTACCTCAAACATCTGGAATATCATCAATGTTATTGAATAATCCTTATTCAATTGGACCATTAATGGATAATTCTATGAAGCATCAAATGAAAGATGGATTAAAGATGTCAACAATAACCTCTAACACATTGTCACCAACAAGAAATCGAAAACTATTTGATCATCCTTTACATGATCAAATGATTAAGGGAAGATCAGATATTAGTAGAGGTGGTGATTATCTTCTTAATCAACCATATAAACATCCTATCCATGATCAATTTGGTAATAATCAACATTACTATCATCGTAATACATATTCAACTTTGGCATATCCTATAAATAGCAATGCAAGAATACAATCAGCTGTAAGTTTACAATCATTAGATCAACTAAAATCAATCAATGTTCCGGATCGAACTATTCAATCGAACTATTCAATTGAGAATAATCTAATTACTAATGAATGTTCTTCATTAAAGATGAAGAAAAATAACAATTCATTACAATATTGTTGTTATCAAGTACCTGGAAATGATCTACAATATCATCGACAACATCAGCAACATCAACATCAACATTCTTCACCAGTTCAACGATCTGATTCTTTCACAAGGACATCATCATCAACAACTGGATTACCTATGAATAAAACCAATTCACTATTTCTAGGAAAGGAATCATTCAATGATATAATCTCTCCAATTCAATTGAATTCATTTCATCCAAATAGAATTCGACCAATAGAAAGAAGACGTTATACACAATATGGAATTTCTTATCATCATCATAATAATAATGAGTTGGATAATGACACTTTCAGATTGAAACATCAACAACAACAACAATATACTACACTTCCACAAGTATTACCAAGATCCTCTCCATTGTCTAAGATTAATTCAAATGTTCAAGATGATAATAAAATTGAACAAAATGGTATGGATATGGATAGGAATAGGGATATACCGATACTATCAAATATAAGACGTCAAAAGCCAGTCAATAGTAGAAGGGTTTGTTTATTATCTATACTATACTAATACTATACTATGTATCCTTCGTACTACTCTTACTATTCGATGAAATATGGTCATTCATCATTCATTTACAATGTAGCTATGAATTTAAAGGACTCGCTACTACATTACATCACTCAGTTGTGTTAATGTTTGATAGTTGGTTTGAGAATACTAAGATTTAAGCAAATATAATATATTTTGATAGTTAAAATCATAAGTCAATTGAAGCTAGACCATCATGGAAAACCTGGAAGCACTGAACATTAACACCGTTGGATGCCGGCTTAGTGGTCTATCGGTTAAGTGATATGGCGCGAGACTGGTAGATCCTGAGTTCGAATCTCGTAAGGCGGGATCGTTGATGCGCGCTGCTGAGGAGTCCCACAAAAGGACGAAACGGCCGTCCAGTACTTCCAGGTTTTTAATGGTGGTCTAGCTTCAATTGACTCATGAGTTCAACTAGCAATGAAATATCTTTATTTGCACCCAAAGGATTCGTTTATGATTAACAATGTTTCTTAATAAGGAAACTAGTTTATTTGAGTGATGCAAACAAGAAGGTAGCTAAACGTGTGTACAACTCAGAACCTTTAAATATATATACACATATTATTAATAAAATGTCACAAAGTAGCGTACACTTAATTACTGAAATGATTAATTTATTAAAACGATCCGGTGATCGATCATCATCTAATCAATATCCAGTGATCAATCGATTGTGAACACTTCAGTCGTACAAGAAGTCCATAAAAGTCTTAAACAGCACACTGGTAACATTTCAGACCAGGAAGATGAATGATGCGAAGTTTAATCCTTTTGAAAGTATCAATTCCCTTAACATTAAAAATGCACCTTGTTGATGAGTGCATACTAACACTAGACATTGCTGACAAGGTTTCCTACCAACCATCCTCAATAACTTAACGATATTATCAATTGCAGTGTCAATGCAGTGAACAATACCATGAGTGAGGGCAATCGACTATCCCACTAAAATCTGATAACCATACAATCAATAACAATCAATTATCTCAATTTTGACTGTTCCTTCTGTAAATATCAGTCCCTCGTCTTCTTTAATTCCATTGTTCATGCATTTTCATACCGATTGAGCTTTATTCCTGTTCTTTCCTTATTGATCTTCTGCTAAAATGCATTCTATGTCTGACCATCAGCATATACTACTTATGTGGATATAAGTAACCCACATCATACCAACACAATGAAGTCAAAATTCTATAATAGTTTCATTACTATGTGAATATAACCAATGTATCAATTTTTAACCAGTGACTTGATCCTTAAATAAATTTCAAGTTTTTTACATTAAAATCACTAAGATAAATAAAATTTCGCTTTTTTTTAAAGAGAAAAAAGGTTCGCCGTTTTGTCCCTATTGTGGGACTCCCCAGCAGTGCACATCCACGATCCCGCCTAGCGAGATTCAAATGCAGGACCTACCAGTTTCGGGCACGAGCGCTTAACCACTATACCATAACAGGACCAAACGGCCGTTCAGTGCTACCAGGTTTTCCCTGTTGATCTAGCTTCAGTCGGCTAATGATCTTATATGTAAAATTACAAAAATCTCCACAGAACCCCCTTCTGATAAATCTAGATATACCTAACATTTTTAGATACGTTATTATTATTATTATTATTATCCCCCATTCGTTGCCTTAATCGTCATCTTAGCATGGGATGAGACGTATATATATTACTTACTTACGTCTGTTATCCCGGAAGGAGTACAGGCCACCGATCAGCATTCTTCTATCCATTCTGTCCTGGTCCTTCCTTTCTAATTCTATCCAACTTTTGTTCATTCTTCTCATGTATGTCTCCATTCCTCATTGTAATGTGTTCTTTGGTCTTCCTCTTTTCCTTTTGGCCTTCAGGATTCCATGTGAGGGATATATATATATGGCGCCAATTTTATATTCCGCAGGCATATTTATTCAGCGTACAGTCGATAAAATTACAAAACGTTCACTGTCTTTGAGCCATTATCAAAATGAGTAATAAAAACAAGCCTAGCCTTGTGTTTGTTGTTCTCAGGGTAATAAAAAAGAATCCTGGAACTCTTTTTAAAATGTTAGATTTATTGTAGACTACTTAAGAAGTAGATGATTAATATCAATTTGATATTGTTGAGATTGATATAGCTGGTAATCAGTAAGTTGAATAATCAAACCCTAGTTTTGTTTGTCGGTGAATAATTGACGAGATCTCAAAATGAAGATCAATATATTACAGATCAACCGCCAAGACCCCTTCAACTAAACTAAAATATTCACAGTTTCAATAATGAACTGATCTCAGCTGAATCATTATTTAAAATCTACAAGCATTAGATGTCTGCTTTGCCCTAGCACGGAACTCCTTTGTGCATCCATAAATCCGTATGTAAAAAGCAAACTCAGAACATTCGGTTTCGTGTGTGAATGCTTAACCTTTAAATCTTTGAATTCAATATGGATCAACTATAAAAGTCAGCTAGTTAATAACAGATATTTCGATATGTTACTGAAGTTAAAGTAAGAAGTCCTACCTGATAGAGTTCAAACATATCGCGAGTAAAACAGTTGTCACCGTTGAAATTCGATAGTCATAATGCTATACTATAAACTGACTGACGTTAAAATTATACCATTAAACGCTGACACATTGTTTCTAATGACCAGGCACTCTCCACGAAATCTTACGGTTCTGTACTTTTTCTCTGATCAAGTGAAAGCTAATCACTGATGAAAGGTCTCATTCTAGAACGAAACATCAGTCCAGTTCTTCTTGACTTTCAAAATGACACTTTAAGTAAGATTAATCAGTGAAGAATACAGTTTACAACTTACTTATATATTCAAAATGGATATCTACTTCCCCTTGAAAAATTACATTACCCTTTTTGTATTGAACAAATGGTATTTCATTAAACTTAACAAATGAAATACACATTTAACTATATAACGACAGTTTTCCGTCTTTTTTTTGATAAAAAACAAGGATGCAATGACGTAAGAAAGTCCCTTTTTCTTACATTTTCCCAGAGACATAAGTTAGAAAAAAAGAGACATTTGAAATAAGCTGAAAGAAACGATGCATAAAAGAAACATGAAAATGAAGGAGAGAGAGAGATAGAGAGATTCAGTGTGTATTGGGTAGAAAGAAATAGTGAAAGTATAGATAGCACAACCGAACAACAAACTACATTATATATACAGAGAGAGAGAAAGAGAGATCGGTTCATGGTTTCACTGAAATTCAACTCTCACTGCAACCCTATACTGATAATCATCATGTGCAAAACTAGTGACTAGCTCCAAGATGTAACTCCTGGGGATCTAGTGAGAAGTCATGACTATTGAAGCTAACCCATGTCGAACGTGAGATAGATATCCACCTCAGAAAATGGCTGAACAGTTGCGAAAGATCATACATCAACTGAAGTTAGACATAAACACCACTAGATCTCGGATGAGTGGTTAAAAAAGTTAAGCATTTGCGTATTAGACATAAAGACTTTGGTTTTATATTCGCTTTGGTGAGGAGATCGTATATGCTCACTTTTGAAGAGATCGCGTACCAGGATGATTCTAGGTTTTCAATGATGGTTTAACATTGATCGATTCATGATTTCAATGGAACTCAACAATTTCCACAGCCCTAAACTGATATATATATATATATATATATATATATATATATATGAAACCTTTCATTTTTTTTGTTTATCATTCCATTTTGAGTCGATCAAACTTTAACATATATTGTTCTATTCACTTGGTGTTGCATACTTGTATCTTCCTATTGTTATTTAGGACTGTAATTGATCATTCCCTTGTTGGGATATGTACATCCTGTGCGGACTGTCTCGATATTGCCTGAAGTCACAAGCAGGTGGCTATCAGGACTCAGTAGCTAAGTGGATAACGCGATGGCGTTTGTAGTGAACGGTACTGGGTTAGAGTCCCAGGGTGAATATCAACCCTGAGATACAGGTACATCCAGGTGACGAGTCCCAAATAGGACGAAACGCACCTCCTGGATTCCACTGTATTGTTCTATATTCATCATAATCAACTGCAAATAAAAAGTGTAATTATTAAGGTGTGTAATTTATTGTGTTAGGGCTGAATAGACTGATTAGTCTTTTCTGCTATATGTATATTTTTAGTAGACTGACTCAATATCGTATTACATTACAAGATCTTGTGTTAATGGTAAGTGTCTAAAAGTATATAACAGGATTCTCGTTTCGTCCTATTTGAGGCTCATCGACTGGATATACCTGTTGCTACATTTCAAAGTTGATGTTTGCACTGACATTCCAACCCAATACCTTTGGCATCAATACTCAATACTATTCACGCATCAAATATATTGTAACATGAGAATATGAAGTACGTCTTTTTCCTTAATAATTAACAACTATTATTCCTGAATACGTAATGTGTATGTGCATAAAGCTATAGGGTAGCAAGTGTCATCAGTCACAAAGACCGTAGAGATCCGCAGAACCTATATGTATCAATCAATAAACTTGAATCATACCTTTTGAATTTATCACCCATGACATTATATTTCTTTTCACCGTTGCCCTTCATCTCTTTATATATCTTCGCTTCAATTCCATTGACAAATATCATCCTTAGTGTGATTTCATTAATGATTATTTCATTCTATTCTAGGCTCATGTTGTCTCAGCTTTTGAACAAAGTTTAAATAATATGTCACAACGACTACAGAATTTATCGAATACCACAACACGAAAAGTAAGTTATGTAATTTCATGTGGCTTCTTTTGGTTAATAAATGCTTCTAATGTAAATTGATTGAATATAAACTGGGGGGGGGTTGTTATAAAACAAAAGAAGAAGATTTTAAACACAGTTGGCTTAGTAACATTAAATTGTTACTAGGAGTGGAATACACGATAAATGTATTTCTTCTTAATTGTTACTTGTCACATCTAGATAATTCATAGATGAGATCATGAGTTAATTGAAGCTAGACCACCATGGGAAATCTGGAAGCACTAGACAGCAGTTTCGCCCTATTGTGCAACTCCTCAAGTGGAGACAGGTATCTACCTCAGTACAATGGAAGATGGTAGCGCAATTTTGTGGATTGGTCGAGGTTAGACATTAACACAGTTGAATGGCGGCTCAGTGATCTATCGATTAGGTGCTCTAGCGCGAGACTGGTAGATCCTGTGTTCCAATCTCGTGAGTGCGGGATCTTGGATGTGAAATGCCACTGAGGAGTCCCACAATAAGACGAAACGACTGTCCAGTGCTTCCAGGTTTTCCATGGTGGTCTAGCTTCAGTCGGCTAATGATCTTATAGCAAAATTACAAAAATCTCCACGGAACCCCCTTCTCATACATCTAGATATACCTAACATTTTTAGATACGGTATAATGTGACCTCTTGGATTCCACTGTTAGCTGAAATTCAACCGAACTGAAAAATAATCATGTGATATTGAAGTAATCCATTCAAAATGGCAATAGAGATTGATTAATTTCAGTTCTCAATACGCAAACTGAGAAATAATACAAAATCATGTAAATAATCGATTCAATCCAACTTGTCTGTCACTTTTTCGATCAGTGTCCTTCTGTATATTTTTCATTTGTCCTATTTTTATTAACAACTCGAGTACTTTAAAATACATGAGAGGAGCTTTCACTTCCCAGTTGGCCACACTGAGGAAGAAGGCTGCTTCTTGAAAGTCCTTAAGAAGAAACTAGATTAAAGATGGTCTTCGTAACCTGGGAATGTAACTGTAGACCTCGGGGAACAGTTGTTTGAGACAAGTCTTAAATGACCTTTTGTGTACAGATGTTGATTTTTTAACGCTGTACTTTAAATGTCTTACTCCAGGAAACGAAAACCTATAGGGTATAGTAAAGTGTACTAATTTTAATCCCGATCTTTACAACCACATCTTTTCGTTATTAGAAGTCAGAATAGCTGCAAATTATAATTGTCTGTGAGTAACGCCTTACTACCATCACACTTCCATGCAGATGACGGTATGACTTCTCTCTAAGACCTCAAGTTGCAGCCTTGAGTTTTATCATTCTTGAGCTGACCTACCTGGCATGGTAGGACCTAACAGAATAGGTATTCTAGGCCATGATAGCTTGATTCCGTCATCACAATAGGCAAGCCACATTACCATGTTAAACATGCAGCTACTGTTAAGGATATCAGCATTATTAAGAAACTATCTTCTAACGTGGAACAGGCTCTATATGTTCGAAAGTATTCAACAAATAATTACCACACAGTCATAATCTTCCAAACGATCAAGAGAAAAAAACGAGAATTCTGGATAAGTTTAATATTCAAAAATGTGAAAATCCTGATAAAACAGCACAGTTTATCTTCCAATGTCTTTGATATTGAAATATAATAACATAAAATATTAAGCAGAATTAGGATCCTGCATTGCAGGATTGTGGATGTACACTGCTGAGGAGTCCCATACTAGTGTGTCGTGTGCTACTGATGTCGACAGATATAAATAGTATTTATCATCAATCTAAAGTGAAATGTCTGGTGATAGAAGGTTAAGATCGAAGAAAAGAGAACGAGAACAAAGAGTGGATTGGTGTGGAAACGAAGGGACAGTCAAGTCTGAGACAATTGACTGGTATTTTGTAAATGAAGTATTTACTGTATGCTTCTCCGATTTTACCAAGAGATTCTGTAACTTTCTGTTCGAATACATTCGGTTGTCTCCACTGTTGTTCTCGTTCATTATACTAGGACGAACCAACCATCCAGTGCTTCCCAGTTTTCAATGGTGGTCTAGCATAGATCGAATTATGAATTCAACTGACAAAATATTAAGATTAATATCGGAATTAAACAATTAAATGATCAAATCCATATTTATCCATGAATATATACAATCAATTTTGCATCCGTGACATCTTCTTTCATTCCCAATATAAATTTTATGTATAGATTCTATACATTATTTTTCGTTTCGCTAAAAGAAAAGACTAGAAATGGAATCCAAGACGCTCGTTTCATCCAATTTTGATGTAGCTACTGAAAGAGACTGATCATTCTGACTTCATAAACTCAGTAGGAAGCTTCAAGCAAATAGTGAGAATGAATTCTAATTCATCCGTTGGAACAAGCTTCTGGCTATCTGAACTCAGTAACTAACGGGATAACGCGATGGCGTTTGAAGTAAACGGTACTGAATTGGAATCCTGGAGTGAAAATCAACTATAGAATGCTGGAACATCAAGCTGACGGGTCCCGAATAGGACAAAACGCATGTCCTCCATTCCACTGCTAGCCACCATCCATCTCCGCTTATAACGATTGTGATTTATGACAATATTGACGCCTTCCGCTCATGATGCACATATGCTAATAAGGAAGACTGATCAATGGGAAGATTCAAACAATCAATACAAATAAGAATTAACTTTGCAATACACTTAGTATGACTTGTTTGAATCTTTCCATTGATGTTTAGGACTGCAACTGGTCAGTCTCTTATTGGCATATGTGTATACTGTGCATATTGCTTCGAAATAACCTTATTTCACAAGCATTACAAGCAAAGATGGATAGTGGTTAGCAGTAATACTAAGTGAATTTAAAACTTCACCCCATTGCACATGCAAGTGGCTATCGGGATTCAGTAGCTGAGTAGATAACGCGATTGCCTTTGAAGCGAAAGTTACTAGGTTCGAGTTCCAGAGTGACCATCAACAAGTCTGAGATGCAAGTACATCCAGCAGACGAGTCCCAAATAGAACGAAACACGCATCAAACTGGATTCCACTACTAGCCACTATTCATCTTTGCTTACAATAACTTTGAAATACTTTGTAAACATATAATGAAAGCGATCTAGTTCATGTGATTGTCATACATCATTGATTAGTAAAAGCCAATCAAAGGTAGGAACATTGATATCGTTATATGTACGCTTGGAAGAATTTTGAACAAGGTGCCAATATTGTAATACAAAAGTAACTTGCATTGATTCATTATTGTACACTTAATTATGTTACATTTTCTCTTTCATCAATTTTTTTTTCTTGTGAAGGATTCAGAACTCCATGAATTAAGAGCAACAATTGATGCATTACGTAATCAAACAGAATTAGGATTTTTTAAAAAACCACCAATTAATCAACCTTGTGAATTGAATAGATCATTTAATAAAGATTTATTAAAACAACAAGAAAATTCATGCATTTCTACTAGTACTACTACTATTACTACTACTACTATTACTACCACTACTATTACTATTTCTAATACTAGTAATCATAGTGAGAATGAACAAGCATATATGAATTCACGTTTAACAATATCAAATGCAAGTCTTAATGATGTAGATAATCAACAATTACAAATGGATAATTCAGTAGATAGAGTAGTATCTACTACTTCTGGTTGTAAATCTTCAGGAAGTAATGTAAAGAAAAATGGATGGGTAAGGAATTTGATTACATATATGTTTTGGATAGTTTGTCCTCTTATACAGTTTTTTAATGAGGCGGTTTAAACTTCTGATCTATAGGGTTTCTGTTTAGTTGATTCATGACTAGTAGTAGAATCTAGGATGTTCATTTCATCATAGTTGGGAAACATAACATCTGAATATAGCTGTCATATCCTAATGTTGATGATTACATCGGGAATCGACCCTAATGCCTATAACTTAATTGTAATATTGAGCCAATCCGTACAGGTTGCATATATGCCAATGAGAGACTGATCGATTTCAGTCCTAAATATCAATGAGAAGATTCAAACAAACAATACCAAATGAATACATTACAGATTGAAGTCAATAAAATTATTGAATCACGAGTTAACTTCTTCATCTTAATATGTACTCTACCAAAGAATCATGGACTGACTGTATTTAATTGACTGTTAAAAACTACGAACTAATAAATTTCTGTTTCCTCACTAGCATGCATTTACATTACCATCTGGGGATTGAACCCAGGATTTTCAGGCTTTTGATGAGCATCTAACTTTTAGATCGTTCAGATTATAGTCGATCATCGTTCGCTGTTGTTGTTACTGATATTGATAACTGTCTAATACTCAGTGTGGTCGAACTCCATTGGTCCTATCTTCCCAATAGAACTTCAGGAATTACCTCTAGAAGTTGTTCACCAATGATCACATAGGGAATTGTGAAAATTGTTGAATTAGAAGTTATACATCACTTAGTAACATCGAGGCTTTAAGGTCTTGTATTCTATCGCCGATAAAGCCGTCAATAATCACTCCTTGATGAGTTCCAAACTAGAAGGAAACAGCTATCCAGTGATTCACTTCAGCATCCACTGATAACTCAACCGAAATCTTACGCGTTTTACCCGTCGTGGAGGAGTATAAGCCACACACAAGCATTCTCCATCCAACTCTGTCCTGGACAATCCTTTCCAGTTGTTATTCATTGTTATATCGATTACTTGAGTGCGTGCCCAGTTGACATATATGACGTTATAAGACAGCCAATTGAAGAGCGGCGAATTTTTCGATCGGACTAGTGGCACACGGAAACCGTACGAGTAGTCTAGATTACTTGTCGGTCTTGCTTTCTGCCTAGCCCAACCAGTTAAGTCTGAAACATCAATAACAGTTTCTGCAATATGAATCATTATTCTCAAACATACTGAGTTTATATACCAATCAAACAGACCATATCGTAACACACAATAGAAAATATACATATCACATTGGTTAATAAATAGTCCTCAAAAGTTACCATTCATAATTTCCTTCGAGATATAACATTCATCTTTCCTCTTTACCGTTTCCCTTCAGAATTTTAAATTAGCACTTGTCATATAATACAGTTTAGTGATTTCCTTAATCTATATCCTTTCCCCTTCCATCATCTTTTCTTAATTTTCCCTTTAGCTAAAAACTGATTTATTCTCTCTCATAGTAGATTGTTGCTAATACTTTCCGACCAACGAAATGCAATCTATAATAAATACAATCTACTATACAATAACTGATAGGTCCTGAGTTCGAATCTCGCGAGTGTGAGATAGTGGATGCACACTGCCACTGAAGAGCCCAATAATAGGACGAAACGGTCGTCCAGTGCTTCCAGGTTTTCCATGGTGATCTAGCTTCAATTGATTCTGTTGAGTTGGCTTACAGAGAACTCTACCAGAGCCTCCAGAGGCTCATAAAGAACCCCAACCAATCAGCGATTAGTCAGAAGCTATGTTACTAAAATAACGAGATCGTGATTGGCTGATCAACACACTGTTGCTATGTAAACTCAAGGTCTCTTAATTACTATAAAATCCCTGTATTTTCTGTACATAAATGAACCTTGTAGTAAAGTATTTCTCTCATACTTGAGTCTTCTCCCTGGTGCTCAAGTTGCTGAATAGTTCTAACCTGGGGTTATCAGAATAGCTTAGGATATGAATATAGCGTTCAACTTACAAGACGTAACAGATTCATGATTTCAACTATGAAAAAAATACTGAAATCTCCATCATCATCATTATAAATGTTGACCTCATCTAAATGAATTAGTCAAACATTATTAATTCATTAATCATCTTGATGAATCAATAAATAGGCCAACTAACAATCTCATTCATAGTTTCACCTGTTTCATTATGTTTCGTTTCGTTTCTTTCTTCTTGTTTCCCCCCCCCAATTCCTTTCTTCTAATTATGAAATATATATATTAGTGCTTAGGTATGTATGTATCTAAGTATCATTGTGTTAGTTAGTTAGTTAGTTGTATCTATGAAATTCTTTGGAATGATTAAAAAAGAAAAAAAAGGAAACACCTTTGTATCCCATTAGGTATCCCTTCGATCGATATATCCGAGTACATCATTATTATTATTGCATTATAGTGATTATTAATTGCATATACTTGATAGTAAAAATGATTAATACCATAGAATTTTTATTATTATTATAATCCAGTATCTGATTCCTGTAATTTTAGGTAGGAAAAGGAATTTTTCCAGATAGGTATTTATATAGAGATAAGTGTGTATGTGAGTGTGTGTGTGTGTAGAAGGAGAGAGAATGAAATAATTTAGTTTCACGGTTTACACTGAAATTTCTGGAATTTATTTATTTAAACACATAAATATTGGTACAAGAAGGCACCAGATATATATGCGCCACACAAATCGAATGAGATTTGTGTGAGGGCTGTGGGGGTTATTGAATTTCATTGAAATCATGAGTCAATCTAAGTTAGACAACAATCGAAAGCCTGGAAACACTTCATGACCGTTCCGTTCTAGTATAGAGCTCCTCAGATGTACTCGTCCATAACCTTTCACAAAGGGATCAAACCCAAAACATTCGGTCTCGAGCTCTAACGTTTAATCTCTGGACCCAAACTACGATAAAATAGCTATTCAGTGCTTCGAGGTTTTCAGTGATGGTCTTACTATGATCAGCTCATGCTTTCAATGAAATTACTGTATACTGTTAAAACCACTATTTCATAACCTACTTTGCTTTATAGAATTGTGTTGAACCAGTGATAAATTCCACCTTCATATTCACTATGACTACTACTCTTTTCTTTTTCTATATCAGTAATGATTTGGTTATGAATTCATCCCATTCATCACTTCTATTTCCTTTTTTTGTATCACAAAATTAGTTTCGTAATTCACTTGGTAAAGCATTCCGTAAAAAGACCACATCATCATCAACATTATCAATACATTCACAAAGTGATCTGGACTGTCCTACATCATCAATACAACATAACTCGATCTATCATAGTAATAATACTAATACTAATAATAGTCTTCCTCCTGGACATCCATCCAACTTACCACAAAGTCCAACGATGGATCATAAAGGATTACATAATACTACAACTACTATAAATCAATCTCATGTAAATTCCATACAATCTATTAATCATATGAATGTTTTACCTATCTTATCCAATACACATTTAAATGGTTTATCTCCATCGAATTCATCAACATTGTCATCGTCATCATCATCATGGAGTACATTAAGAATAGGTGGAAATGGTCAAAATAATTGTAATATCATTACTGCTACTACTACTACTACTAGTAGTAATAGTAGTACTATTATACCACAAACAAATGAACAAACTGGTAAGTTTTACACTTTACAAATGGTCTATTTTAATATGTTAACTTGTTTTCTTTTAAATTAAAAAAAATGTATACAATATACTTTTATCAGTTGTGATCATTGGTGTCCTACCGGTGTCAAGTTCGAGTCCTGCTTGCGTGATAGTGAATGCTCACTTCTGAGGGACGGCATGCTTGGACAAAGTGACCATCCGGTGCTTCCAGGTTTTTGGTGGTGGCCTAGCTTTAATCGACTAGAGATTTCAACTGGAGAAAAAACATTACTCTTTTGGCTAGACTTTCAGACAGGAAATGATGATGATGATGATGATGATGATGATGATGATGATGATGATGATGATGATGATGATGATGATGATGATGATGATGATGATGATGATGATGATGATGATGATGATGATGATGATGATGATGATGATGATGATGATGATGATGATGATGATGATGATGATGATGATGATGATGATGATGATGATGATGATGATGATGATGATGATGATGATGATGATGATGATGATGATGATGATGATGATGATGATGATAATGATGATGATGATGATGATGATGATGATGATGATGATGATGATGATGATGATGATGATGATGATGATGATGATGATGATGATGATGATGATGATGATGATGATGATGATGATGATGATGATGATGATGATGATGATGATGATGATGATGATGATGATGATGATGATGATGATGATGATGATGAAAGATTGTGATGAATAATTTGATGATTAAATTATTAAACAAAATTTAATCAATTCAAAATAGAGGATAAACATCCATCATCCTCTCTTGTCAAACATATAACCGAAATAGGTCATAAGATTTGTTTCTACTCGGCTTTTGTGTTGTTGCATAAAAGTGTAAAACGGCATATATCAAGGTTTATGAAAGCCTTAGCCATACGAAAATTCAAACCCCCTTTGTGTATTCAAAATCCGTTTGTTCTCACCTTAAACCTACTCCGGTAAAATTAACTTATTATCCAGAGTGATTAGGTATCAAACTGTTTTCACATTATTATCCTTGTCTCCTCTTACCCCCCCCCAACCATTTCTAATCTATAAATGTTCTTAACAAGTATATTTTGTGTGATCAGATTGTTCGAAATGTATTGCGCTAATATCTCATCACATAGTTCTGATAATCTACGTCTCTTCTTATTACACTATGGAAATGGATTCAATGAAGAAAGCTATTTGCTTAGTCACAATATTATTGTTGTGTTATATGGCATCTAAATCTAATACTGATATGTAATCTTTCTATTCAGAACCTAACCGGTTCCTCAAGTGAGTAGATTATAAGTGAAAAAGGAAGTCTACTGACTAACCGAATCAGTAAGTAGGCTACCAATGTTGTATGTTTCAGCCTTTGAGAATGTAAGTGATTTCAGCGTTTTTAGCGAGTTAGTTTTCTACAAGATCGGGTGGCTAACCCCATGCCCAATCCTCCTCCTTTACCTGGGCTTGCGACCAGCACTAACTTTAGAAGACCTATGGTCGCAGTTATCTCAGATTGTAATATGGTCATTAATCTTTGTGACGACATCATGTACACTATGTTGACATATAAAGCCGTGGTTGAAGGTAGTCAACGGCAAAATACTACTTCATGTACGTTTCGTACTATTTAACAATCTTCAGCAAGGTGTACCTGCAATCTTAAGAGAATTGACGTTCCTAAACAGTTTCAGTCCCACATCACTTAACCTCATAACCTTATACGATACCACTGAGACATTCGAGATGCAACTAATCTCCTATAGGTCATTAGATCGAATATGCCAGAGAGTATTATTTCCTTTAAGTTTATATAGTTACACTTTGGTAATGACTTACGCCAAGCAACATTTCCTGCCCACTATCTTCAACCAGTGAATTTATTTCATTATCAACTATCTCAGTTGATCATAGATAGTTCAAAATTATCGTTTCTTAGAAAAAACGAGATTTATTCACCAATTGTTTACGTCTATCATTGACCACATGAATACCCAATAATCCATCAACAAAAATTCTAAGGTCAGTTGGTCAAATCTTCATTCAACAATTACACCGATAGAAGAAAGAAAAACAAAAACATTCTAGTTGGTTGATTATAAAATGAAATAATTCAACAGTTGTCAAAATCAATTAAATTTATTTACTACTGATTATAAACAAATTTTGATTGGTATATATGCTGGTGTATACTACTTATGCTGATCAATATAAGTAGTATGTAACATTAGTCGAAAGTTAAATGTATATCAGCAGAAGATTGAATTCAGTAACAGCCTTTTGTGGGAGAGGACAAACTAGCTTCCAGCTGAAGAGGAAATTAGGGAAAAGACGTTGGAAGTGGATAGGACATACATTGAGAAAATCACCAATGTGCATTACAAAGCAATCCCTAACTTGGTATCATGAAGGGAAGCGGAAAAGTGGAAGGTCAAAGAACACATTTTGTTGAAAAATAGAAGCAGATATGAAAAGGATGAATGTTAACTGGAAAGAACTGGAAAGGGTTGCTCAGGATAGAGTTGGATGGAGAATGCTTGTGAGCGGCCTATGCTCCTCGACGAGGGGTTACAGGCCTAAGTAAGTAAGTAAGAAGATTGAATTAAAGAGAACAGAAAGAGCAATTGTAATAACAACCGAATTGAAAGGATTATGAAGTATGTAAGTGATAACTGATGGAAGATGTGCAAATGAAGTATTTAATGTAGGGTTTTCATATTTTATCGAGACATTATGTAATTTTTCTTTGAACAAATTGTTCTTCTCCACTTGCCTTCTTTGTTCACCATAAATCTACTTAATTACATACTTACTTACGGCTGTTACTCCCAATAGACTATAGGCTGCCGATCAGCATTCCCCAACCCACTCTGTCCTGAGCCTTCCTTTCAAGTTTCCGCCTCATACAGTAGCACTGTCTTGATATTTGTATTGAAAATTCTGATCTTGGTGTTGGTTGACGATTGTTTCGAGTTCCAGATGAGTTGCAGATGAACACAAAATTACAAAACCTCTTAGTAGAATACGAGAAACGTACAGTAAATACCTAATTTGTAAAATATCCATCAATTGTTTCAGACTTTATTGATCCTTCCTTTCCGTACCAATCACTCTCTATTCTAATTCTGTTCCCTTCCACAATACATTCCACTTTCGATTTGTTAAACATGCCACCTATATCTGTCGACATCAGTAGCACACACTACAGTATAACATTTACGTAGTGGAAAGTTTGTTTTCAACAAAACGCCTTAATTATACTAATATTAAAAGATTTGTACGACAGCTACTATTAATGACTAAATAAAATAGTTGAAATGAAGCTAATATACATTTGTGTCAGGGGTGTGATACTGCCCAGATTCCCAAACTGAAGCAGAGCGTTTCCTTGGGTGACCACATCCGGAGCCTTCGACCTAAGGATCTGATCCACAAGGCAGTAAAGCATCGCAAGGAGATACAGTCCCATGGTAGCCGGTGACCAACGATTGATTCATACGCCATTTGTTCTCCCAGGATATTGGAGCCTATGTGCACCATTGGTTTGGAATCAGGATTTTCCAACTCCTCTAGGTGGACTTTCCGTGTCCACCAACCCGGTTAAAGTGCCGTACATTCGTTTTTCGTCCTCTCAATTTCGTAAACAACACCTGTGCCACGAGAAGGAAGTGAGTAGGACTTCCCTGTCAGAGGCTGTATACTTGTGGCCATATGAGAACATTTCGAGAAAGAGAGCGGACTCTCCCTATTCTCGGCCTTATCAGGGCATTTAGAGGCCTCTAAGGCATTGAGTTAACAACACACCAAAAACTATAGGTAAAAAGGCTGTGTTTATTAACCGGTTTCACTTAATTATCTCTTAGACTCTATGGCCTATGATTGCTACTTCAGTTGTTGATTCAATAGCTTTCATATTTGTGTTACATTCTATTGATTGACATATATTCGGGAAATGGAATGTTCTTCTATCTGTAATCGTGTATGTGTGTGTGTGTTTACATTGGAATGTTTACTTGATTCCTTATCTAATTACAAATAATTCATAAATATATATGTGTATATATTATGCAGTCATCCACTTCATAGTTTCTTTTAATTCACTTAACACTCTTTCATTTTTGTATTACATTTTGCTATTTCCTTTTTTTTGTTTTACCTGGTTACATCAATTGACTTGTTTCTAGGTATAAAATTGGGTAAACATTCATGTATGTTCATGTGTGTATGTATGTATGTATGTATGTATGTAAGTGTAACTGTATGTGTATGTGCCAATTATTGGTGTATTGTAAGTGTGAACATATTTGGCTTTTAAATGGTCCTTATTACTTATGTAAATGGTCATTATAATGTAATTAATAATAATTAGTTATGATTCATCAAATGGTTGATGATAATCACAGTAATTATTGTTATGTAATTAGTTTTTTTATTGAAATTACAATAATATTACACAAGCAAGTGGCTATCAGGACTCAGTGACCAAGTGGATTATGCGATGGTGTTTGAAGCGAAAGGCAGTGAGTTCGAGTTCCAGAGTGAACATCAACAAGTCTGAGATGCAAGTACATCCAGCAGACGAGTCCCAAATAGGACGAAACGCTTATCAAACTGGATTCCACTTCTGGCCACTATGCATCTTTGCTTAGAAAAAAGTTTTTCGTTATTTGAATATATAAGAAAAAAGTAGTGTATCATATAAAGAGAAAGGAGAAAACTAACGATCCTCATTGTTTGTTTGTTTTTGATTGAACTATAGAACGTTTGAACAATGCACGACAACAACAACAACAGCAGCAGCATCAGCAGGACCATCGACCAATCCATTCAAATCAACTCAGTTATCCAAATCACTTAATTAACTATAACAAGTCAGATAAACAAAACACATCATTCAATGTTGAAGAAAGAGATAAGAATATGCTGGACAATAATGATAGTAAATTAGAGTATGTTTATTATATTTCTTGATGCTACTTCATTTCAAGTTATGGTTTTATTTGAAAAGTTAAATGGTCATGAACAGATCCGGAAGGCCTCGGGTTCGATTTCCTATAGAGTTTTGAATGTGTACCACTGATAAGTCTTATGATTGTGGCTTTTTTATATGCTTCCTTTTAGATCATCTCAGATGTTAGACGTTGAGATGATACCAGAATAAAAGACAATTTCAATAATTTCAATGAATTTCAATGATCTCTACAACTCCGTACCGAAAATTATTGTGTGCTCACTAAAGACTAGCTCCTAAAGTGACTTTCCGGAATTCTAGTGAGAAGTAAAGACAAGTGTATTTCAACTGTGCTGGGTATAAGTTATCCACTAAAGACAATAGAAGATGGTCATAAATGTTGTAGATTGATTGATGTTGGACATTAACATCATTGGATGCCGGCCCAGTAGTCTAGAGGTTTGACGTGAGACTGAAGGTCCTAGGTTCGATTCCTGCGTGCGGCGTCGTTGATGTACTTTGTTGAGAAGCCTTTTACTGTGACGAAACAGCTGTTCAGTGCTATTAAGTCTTCATTGGTTATCTAGCTTATAAAGGTTCGTGAGTTTAACTATCTCTACAACATCATACTGACAATTTAGATGTAGTTTTTTTCTTATTTTGATTCAGTCATCTTCGTTAATATATGGAAGTCAACATTACGTAGTAGGGCTTGTGGAGCGTTAGGTAGACCTGACTTAAAAGCTAAACAGTCCGGATTGAAATTTCAAACAGATATGGACTGTTTTCACATGTTGTTTCTGGGAATTATTACACTCTTAAGGAATTTAATTACTATTCAGATCTTTTTCATCCCTTCTTCCATTGCAGAAAGATTGCATAGCCAGGAATTCCGATTTTCTTAGGAAATCGCCTTCTTATCATTCATACTAGTACCAATAACAGTGTAACTGTATACTTGAGCATTAAGTTACTTCCATTACTCATTTTCTACTCCATATGACCTGACTGTCATGGCAGAACCTAAAAGAATAAACGTTCAAACTAATTGAACTCAACTGGTAATATTGAGATAATCCATCCAGCATACATGTTCGTCTATAATAGAGACTAATCAATTGCAGTCCTAAACATCAATGGGGAGATTCAAGTAAACAATAAAAAATGAATGAACAGTACTTATCTTAATCCATTCTTCACAAAAGTGAAAGGTTCTCTATTAGAATGTTTTCAAATTAATCAACTAGACGAATACCAATGATTCTTAGCTTTTAATAGTCCCTTAATCCTACATTAGTTTAAAGATGCCATAGGCATTCGGTGTTTGACAACACCTTTATAATCGAAGTATGCCAACCCAGTCAAATGAAAAGTCATAAATGAAGAGGTTCAAAGATATATTTGAAAGTTTATCGATATTTCGAGAAGTGATTAATCTAAGCTGGTTATCAGTTGTAAGAGATGTATAGCATTTATTTATTTATTAAAGCACATAAATATTGGCACAAAAGAAGCACCATCTATATATGCACCACATAAATCTCATTTGATTTGTGTTAGGGCTGTGATACTTTCCAGATACCCAAACCGAAGCAAGTGGTCTACTTAGAGGGGCACACCCAGAGCCTTTGACCTAAAGGTCTGATCCACAAGGCAGTGGAGCGTCGAGAGGAGATGCATTCACATGGTAGCCGGTGATCAACCATTGATTCATACGCCATTTGTTCCTTCAGGATCCTGGAGCCCATGTGCACCACTGGTTTGGAATGAGGGTTTTACAACTCTCCTAGGTGAATCCTTCGTGTCCACCAACCCGGTTAAAGCGCTGGACATTCGCTTTTCGTTTGCTCAATTTCGTAAACAACACCTGTGGTGCGAGAAGGCAGTGAGTAGGACTTCCCTGTCAGAGGCTATATATGCGTGGTTATGTGAGAGCATTTCGAGAGGGAGAGCGGATTCTCCCCATTCTCGACCGTACCAGGGCATTTGGTATGATGTGTAACATGACGTACCCACTCATGATCTGGTACAGATACATGACCGAGCACCTTCATCTTCGGTGTGTTCAGTGAAACTAATGAAATCAGAATCGGATGTCGAAGACTTACTAAAAGAACTGAACAAGTTCATAATGATAATTCTCTCTCTTTTTCTCTTAACTTCCTTATTATTATTATTACTGATTTATAGATTAACTAAACAATCATGTCAAGATGAATTGAATCATTTAAAATGTCGATTAGCTGAAAAAGAATCCAAATTAACTGATGTACAATTAGAAGCATTAGCAAGTGCACATCAATTAGATCAATTAAAAGATGAAATGTCACATTTATATTCACAATTAAATTATTTACGTACAGATAATGAAAGATTACAAATATTAGTCAAACATTTACAAAAACAACAACAATATCATCATCATCAGCAGCAGCAACATCAACAACAACACAATACTATTAATAGTAGTATTAGTAGTAGGTTATTGCTTATGAATAATGATAATGTAATGACAAGTACTAATACTACCATGACACTTACACCAACCAATACGAATGTACATTGTAACTCTTTAACACAGACATTACCTTCAATTAGTTTACAACATAAGTCAACTGGATTACATAATGATGATAATAATGATATGTCAATGGTATGTAATACCGAGATAGTACCAGTTGAATGTGTTACTTGTTCAGGTGAGCTAATTTTGAAAGAGGTATTATTGTGTTTGTTATATTTTGTACCCACCAATTAGAAAGCAGCGATTTATTTATCGGACCAATGATACACAAAAACCGTATAAGCAGTCTAGAGTACTTTTAGGGTCCTGCTTTGTGCCTAGCCCAGCTAGTTAAGTCCAGAACACTAATAACAGCTTCTATAATATGAATCATTATTCTCAAACATACTGGGTTTATATATGTTGGGATGACTCATTGACATACTCAGAGAGGCCTCAAGAAGCCCAGAAAGAGCCGAAGACATTCCGTTCAATCATCACTAGGGGAACAATTTAGAATGCCGATGTGTAGCTCTCCTATTGGTTGAATAGGAAAAACCCTCTATGTACCGATTGGCTATCCGAAATGATGATTTACTTTCAGCTTAAAAAAACTATAAATATATGAGATTTATGTACTATATTTGATACTGCTTTGGGAATAACATTCTTACTTACTAGTCTTCTGTCTTCTCATTTTGCGACTTGAAGAGGGTTCTGGCGTTCGAGTGCTCAAGTACTACGTGACATATCAATAATCTAAGTTCGAGATATAACAATATACTAAACAAACTGACCATATCCTACCATAAAATAGGAAAATAACATTTGTACAAGATTTAGCCAAATGTGGTTGTGAATAGGGGGGAACAGTAATGAATAGACTGGGTATAACTCAAGAATGGTAAATCGCACAGTAATAGTCTATAGGTCAAAATAAAGCTTATAATAAGAGGGATACGAATATGAATAGTTTAGTTATTTAGTAATTATACAATAGGAAATATACATATCATATTGGTCCATAAATAGTCCTCAAAGGTTACCAATCATAATTCTCCACGGGATATAACAGTTAGGTATATATTGTTCGTTTATTGATTTCTAATTATTCTTATGTATAATTAAATGAATATTGAGGTAACTCAAAATGGTAGTTTATTTTTTACAACTCAGTGAATGAGTTTCTTGTTGATGAAAACAGTTTAAAGCTCTAATGAATAAAACATCTTTCTTACGGATCTAGATATTCTATTGTTTACTATCTTAGCAACTGTATCTTCCTTGAACTGTGAGAGTACTTTCAATTTGAAATTTTGATTATAGATTATTATCAATGAACAGAAATGGGAAGACATTGTTCCAAATTGTTTGTTGGATTATATTCAGCTCATTATCAAGTGTTTATATCCTTCTTCTGTTCGTGCACTTTCACATATTCTTACTAACACTCAATATCACCTTGATATGCACTGATAAACATTTTTGCCAAATCTTATGTTACGTATTATGAAGACCTCAACATCTGAGGGAAAGCACAGAATACAATGGATAGCTTGAAATCAATTAGAAGATTTGAACTTCACAGATGACCTAGCCCTTCTATCCTATACACGTGAACAATTGAAGATGAAGGTAACTAATGTAGCAGTAGCCTTTGCATCAATAAGCCTCAACATACACAAAGAAAAAAGCAAAATCCTCGAATACAAAACGGAGGACACTAACGCAATCATACGTGATGACAAAAGTCTGGAAGATGTGGAATCTTTTACGTACCTGAGACACATCATCAATGAACAAGGAGGATCCTTTGCGGACGTGAAGGCAAGAATTCGCAAAGTAAAGGCAGCATTCCCACAATTGAAGAACATATGGAACTCAAACATATGTCAACCAATATCAAAGTCACAGTCTTCAATACGAATGTCAACACAGTTCTACTGTACGGAGCTGAAACTTAGAGAACTATCACAACCATCATCAAAGAAATACAAGTATTTGTAAATAGTTGTCTACTCAAGATACTCCTTGTCCATTGACCGGAAACCATCATCAACAACTTATTTTGGGAGAGATAAACCAGCTTCCAACTGAGGAGGAAATTAGGAAAAGATGATGGGTGTGGATAGGATAAACATTGAGGAAATCACCAAATTGTATCACGAGACAAGCGCTTACTTGTAATCCTGAAGGGGAACGAAAAGAGTAAAATAAAAGTACATAAGAAAAGGACAAATAGCAACTGGAAAGAACTCTAAAGGATTGCTCAGGACAAAGTTGTATGGAGAATGCTGGTGGACGGTCTATGCTCCTCCACGAGGGGTAACAGGTGTAAGTAAGTAAGTAAGTTACGTGACATATAAACAATAAACATGGTCACTATCATTACCAGAATGGGTTTTGTGGAAATTTAGTATTTTCATAATTGAAAGCGTGAGTCAATTGAAGCTAGACCACCAGAGAAAACCTTGAAGCACTGGATAACCGTTTTGTCTTATTGTGGGAATCCTCCTTGACAGTACGCATTCACGTCCTTGCCTCGCGAGATTCGAACACAGGACCTAGCAGTCTCGCAACACGGCACTTAACCTATAGACCACTAAGCCGGTGCTTCCAGGTTTTCCTTGAGAGTCTAGCTTCAATTGTCACTATCATCATCATCATCATGATCATCATTCAATTCCTTAACGTTGTCTCTTTCATTTTGTTGTTTTGCTTTTAGATTTATTAATTGGATTTTCTAATAAAACAAATCATTTCAATCATTCATTCATTGCAACAGTTAATCTTATTTTAATGAATCCTGTAAATAATCATTCATCAGCTAATTCTATATTAAATATTGGTATGATTCATATATCAACATTAAATCATTGGAATACTATTAATAAATCATTAATTCATTTATATTATTTATATTATTCATATTTAAATTTAAATGGTACACATGACCTTGAACGGAATGAATTAAAACAATATCAATTATATATGAATAATCAATTAATATTAACATGTAAATTAAATGTGAATCAAAATCGATTTAATTATTCTATTGAATTCAATAATCAAAAAATAATCAATAATAATAGTGATAATTTAGAAAATTTATTTAATTTATTACAATTTGAAACAAAACAATTCAAAAATATTCAATTATCAATAAATCAATATAATTTATCTATCGATAATGATGATGAACAAATCGATTTATCGATCATTAATGATAACCATGATCAAATCGATTTATCGATGAATAATAGTAATATTATTAATGAACCGATCGATTTATTAATCAATAATAATCATAATATTGATTGGAAAAATAATAATTTTTATAAAAATTTAAAAAATTTTAATCAATTATTGATTAAAACTTTATTCAATCGTGATATTTTATATTTTTATTATAAATTATTATTACAATATTATATAATCATATTTTATGATCAAGATGAAGATTATTTAAATCAATTAATGGAAGGATTTTATGAACATATTTATGATACAAGTATAAAGTAAGTATAGTATTATTATTATTATTATTACTAACACATAGATAGATAGATGGTGTGCATAGATAGATGGTGTGGATAGATCAGTCAGTCAGTCAGTCAGTCACAACGTAGAACTTCGTACGTACGTACACCAGTTCGAGTTGCCATACTACATTAGCACAGAGATGAAGTTGTCGATTCAAATCCCATAATGGTAGAAGTAGTAAGAGTATAAGCATTATGTAAAAGATTAGGGTTTGAAGATATTATTGAAGGAGTATATTCCGATGAAATAAATTTGGAAAGAGAAAAAAATGATAGGGACATCAAGAATTCAAAAGATTAGAATTTGGCAGGACACAAAGAGTAGATGCACCTTCGCCATTGCAAACGACTTTGAGCCATGTCGTTCAAGGTCTCTAACCATCGGTTGCTATCATCTCGCGGATCCCAACCAGGTAGTCTACACCTACCAACATGGTTCAGTCCACTTTTCGGTGACTTCATTGATTTGTGCCACGTTTTGGTCTGGCCGCCCCTAACTTTCTTCCAACCTACTCCTACACCATGGAACATTACACTTCTGGCAGTCAGTGGTTGAGCATACGTAACACGTGTCCCAGCCATCTTAACCGATGAAGTTTCACTACTTCATCAATCGGTTTGCCATCATTACCTAGTACCCGTTTCCTGGATAAATAGATGGTGTGGATAGATAGATATATGGTGTGGATAGATAGATAGATGGTGTGGATAGATAGATAGATAAATAGATAGATGTGTGGTTAGATTGATGTACCTGCTACAGCCAAAGCCGCTCCAACAGAACACTCCACTCAACGTCACCTCTCCGCACCAGACTGTTGTGAACAAAACACGAGCACAAATTACAGACTATCTCACTAAATTCTGATAACCATACAATTTGCAAAATAACTATCAATTGTCTCAATCTTCACTGTTCCTTCTGTAAATATCACTCCATCTTCTCTAATTTCATTGTTTGTGCATTTTCCTACCAATTGCGCTTCATTTCAGTTCTTTCCTTATCGATCTTCTGCCAAAATACATTCTATGTCTGACCATCACCATATACTACTTATATGGATATAAGTAGACCACACCACAGTAGTAGTAGTAGTAGTAATATAGAATTCTTCAATATTGTCTATCTACAACCTTAACGTTAATCAAACCCAAACCTTTGAGATTTATTCAATTTTAAGATCTCTTATTTGACATATAGTGATGTTGTGAAGTATTAAAGTGTTCTTAGGAAAAGTTCTCAAGGGCTTAGAAAATTCTTGAAAACTTTTTTATCTAATTAACATTAAATAGAACCTTCACAGAAACATTTCGAAAGAGGAAGAGTCATGTGTCATATTTTTGATGTAACATTCACCTATTCTGTTAATAAATTTAATATGGTTCTAGAGAATTGCAGAAGCCATAGACTGTGTAAGGAGGAAAACTGCCGCGACATTCAGGCTTCTTATATATATGCTATATTCGAATTACTAGATGTAGCACAATAATACAAATATGTTTCACACCTATTCCTCACCTAATTTTCATTTTAACCGATGATACGCCCCAGTGTAAAACAAATAATCCTAACACTAGTCGTAAATACTCTTAATTTGATTGATTTAGTATGCAGTTTTCTTCTAGGCTGGTAGCTGACCGGAGGTCGAAATATATCTTGCGGATAATACCTTATATTTAAAACTCAACCCTCATAGGATTATATATGTTTTATCAAGACTAACTTCTTATAGCAAAAAAAGCACTAGATAATTATCAGAAAGGTGGCCCTGTGGAGATTTTAGTAATTTTATAGATGAATTCATGAGTCAATTGAACCTAAACCGCCGTGAAAAACTTGGAAGCACTGGATGGCTGTTTCGTCCCAGTATTGGACTCCTTGACAGTACACATCCACAATCCAGTACGCGGGATTGAAACCCAGGACCTTCGATCTTGTACGCGGACGCTTAATCTGTAGACCACTGAGCCGACGTCCAATGATTTGAACGTTCAACTTCGACCAATCCATGAAATTGCGCCTCCATGATAAAACGGCCGTCGATGGCTTTCAGTTTTTTCATGATGATCTAGCTTTAATTGACTTATGAATTCAACTATTAAAACATTAGATAACTTGAGTACTCCTTCATTGTTGATCAAATACTTTCTATTTTAGATACCAATAAAAAGAAGGATTTTAAATTTACTTAATATTGTTTTCTGGTTAGCGTTGACCCTTCGTCGAGGAGCATAGGCCGCTCACAAGCATTCTTCATCCAACTCTGTCCTGAACCTTCCTTTCTAGTTCTTTCCAGTTGTTATTCATCCTTCTCATGTCTGCTTCTATTTCCCGATGTAATATGTTCTTTGGCCTTCCTCTTTTCCGCTTCCCTTCCGGATTCCAAGTTGGGGATTGCTTCGTGATGCACATTGGTGATTTCCTTAATGTATGTTCAATCCGCATCCTATGCGTAATGCCTCAATATTGTCTTAATTCATAAGCTTTATAATTCAAAGAAGTTTTAAATAGAACGAAACAAGAGCTTTGTATTCCATTATTAGCCATCATCCATGATCTTCTTTAATTCTATCTTAACAATAGTTATCTAACTATGTACACCTATTCTTCTATTGACTATCTTCTGTTTGTATTTAATCTAGTCTCTTTTATTCTATAATTCAGTTTAATATTTGGACTGATAGATTAAGAAATTGTTATAACTGACATTAAATAACAGTTAAATGTAGCTCTCTGGTAATAACACAACTGTTTAGATTATGCCATTAACAACTGTTTGTTTCTTTCTCTATTTAGATGATAAGGTCTATAAGGTATTTACTTAAAAGTTTACCTCATTACTATAAATTGAATATGAAATTTATAATATCAGAAGGGGTTTTGTGGCAGTGCGCATCCACGATCCCGCCTCGTGAGATTCGAACCCAGGATCTATCATTCCCGCGCTCAACCGCTTAACCTCTAGAACCACTGATGCGCACTGTTGAGGAGTCCCAAAATAGGACGAAACAGCCGTCCAGTGCTTCCAGGTTTTCCATGATGGTCTAGCTTCAATTGACTCATGATCTCAACTATTGAAATCACTAAAATCTCCACCAAACCCCCTTCTAATGACTATATATATATATACATCATTTGCATATTCCCATCATTTGTCCTTCACATCCTGTATGATTCTTCCAGTCCATAATTCCTTTCTATTTTACCTCTTTTTCCCTTCAAATTGATCTTCTTAGCCTTCCGCTGTCAAGTTTTCCACTTCCGATTAGTGTTACATATTACTAATGTCGGCAGACATAAGTAGCATACAAACAAAACAATCATTTATGATAGTCATTGACTAATCATTAAGTACTTGTAAAATCTTTGTAGAAATAAATGCATTTGGTTAATACATTGTTGTAGTGTTCTGTTTTTTTTTAACAGTGAACAGAATCTTTATCTGTTACCAGTGTTTATCATCTTCACTGTATCGAGTATATCTTAGTTCACTTCCCTTCCTAATAAGTCTTGCTATTGACACGCTTAAACTGTTTTCCTAACCCGTTCCGTTATTCCAGACTACTGCTACACGTCAACCGGGACACTAGAGATAAGGTGTGAATTGCGAGTAAACGTTTTACTCCACGGTTCGTTTATATACAGAATAATGAGCATATTGATAGAGTTACACAAGATCATGGGCTTCTGTAAATTTAGGGATCTATACTGAATGTAGTAGTAGTAGTAGTAGTAGTAGTAGTAGTAGTAGTAGTAGTAGTAGTAGTAGTAGTAGTAGTAGTAGTATAAATAAATATCCAATCAAAACCGTGGCACATCATTCTACTCAACGATGATTGGCTAAAACGTTTCGTGGCGCTTCTGAGTATCTACAGAAGTTGACAAGGGATTTTTCGGCCCCTCCAACACTTCTATGTTTTGTTTTCACTATTATATCAGATATCCTGACGTTAAAGGTCTCTTTGCTGCTTACTATTTTCGCTGATGTACAAGCAGAAAACTATTCTAAGTTGAAAAATAACTCTTGTACTATCCAAACTAACTATATTGTTAGGCAACCATTGAAAACTTGAAAGCACTGGACAATATCGTAGACTGATTGAAAATTATTCAATATTATAATTCATTTCACTTGTTTATATATCTACCTGGCCTTTTTTTCTGGTTAGCTTTTATTTCAGTGAGTTAGTTTTCTACGGAATGGGGTCGTTAACCCTATGCCCAACTCACCTCGTCTATACGGGCTTGGGACCGGCAGTAGGTCCAGAGGGGCTCCAGGTGAAGTTACGTATCTACCTAACTTTTGTAAAATAATATTCAAATAAACGTACAAACTCTAACTGAATAGTTTGTATATAACAATACGACTCGGTTCAACAGTTAATGATTTCATGGACTAATACTTTGTCTTAGTTTAACCAAGCATCATTTTTCCAGCCTACTCTTACTTCAAACAACATTATACATTTAGAAAGATAATGGTTAAGAATAGGTAAAGTAAATCCTTACCATTCGAGTTGATGCAGACTCATAACCTCGTCAACTGATTTGCCATCTTTATCTAGTACCGAGAGTTTAACCTTAACATTGTTCAATAGGTCGTCCTATAGTAAACAAGTAATGTATCAAACAATCCTATGATCAATAACTTACAACCTATGCATATTTTCAACTATCATAGACCATGTCTTGCAGTCACACATTATTGCAGCATACTCATCTATAGGTTGACAGATTTACATCCCATCTACTCGATATATCACGTAAGTTGACAAATGTCAACCGAACTTTCTGAATTCATTCTGAAATTTGATGAGTACACTGTACAATAAACATGCAAAATTAACAAGCTAGAATAGTTTGCTGTAATATTTCCAAAGTTATAAAGTAGGTACCCTGAAATTCTGAGTAGGTAGGCAGTAGCATTTAAATAAACTATAATAAAACCCGACATCTTGGTGATGAGTTCCACATTGTACGAAACATAGGTTCGGAGTTTCCTGCTAACTACCTTCAATCACTCGAAATCTTAGTATATAGTACACATGATGTTGAGTCACTTGGAGTAGTAACCATAATATAGATTGATCAATAGAATCTAATCAGCACTTAAAAACGAAACGAAATTTTACATTGGTTACTATTCAGTGACATAAAGGCAAGGATTTTCAAAGTAAGGACCAAGGAACATATCGGATCAAGAATTGGAAACCGATATCAAAAGAATGAATATCAACTGGAAACAACTAGAAAATATTGTCCAGGACAGAGTTGGACATAGAACTCTAGTAGGCGACCTATGCTCCTCCCACGAGAGGTAACAAAGGTAAGTAAGCAAGTAAGTAAGTACTATTCAATGATCACAAGTAACGCAAATCGCCTAACCATTACACCTCAAACCATAGTTCTACCTGACGCCTTACTTTCAAGAAACTATCTTTAACCACTTAAGGTTACTTTTAAATGAACCATAAACTTCAAATACTACTTAAAAGCTTATGAATCAAACAATCTTTCATTTCATCTATCTTTTTTCTTTTCTCTATCCATCCAGTTCATCTTCATTGAAGGTATACTATTTTAATTTATCTGATGGTGAACAAACAACAATGAATCACTTGTATCAATGTTTATCCCAATATACGAATAGGACAATGAATCTGTCAGAACAGATACCACCTCATTTAATTATTATATTCTATATTCAATCCATGAATCAAATTCCATATGAAGATTATAGGAAAATTATTAATTACTTCAAAGCTTACTATCATGAAAATAAAGATGATTCAATAAGAACATGGTAAGTAGAACAAATTTCTTCTTTGATAATTGAGTATTGAATATATTGTTAATACCTATATGCATAGAAAGAACTGGGTTCGAATCTCACGAGTGCGGAGATTGTGGATGCGCACTGCCATTGAGGAGTCTCATAATTGGACAAAACGGTCGTCCAGTGCTTCCAGGTTTTCTATGGTGGTCTAGCTTCAATTGATTCATGATTTCAACTATGAAAAAAATCGGAACTGTCAATATTAGTGGTTTGAGGATATGATTGAATGTTATTGATATCGCCAAAAAATGCTCTGGTACGGCCGAGAGTGGGGAGAGTCAACTCTCCCTCTCGAAATGCTCTCATATGGCCACGCGTATACAGCCACTGTCAAGGAAGTCATACTCACTGTCTTCTCACTGCATAGGTGTTGTTTACGAAATTGAGAGGACGAAAAGCAAACGTCCGGCGCACCAACCAGTTTGGTGGATATGGAGGATCCACCTAGCGGAATTGGAAAACCCTGACTCCAAACCAACGGTGCACATAGACTGCAGGATCCTGGAGGAACAAATGGCGTATTAACCAATTGTTGGTGACCGGCTTCCATGATACTGCATCTCTTTACGTTGCTCCACTCACTTATGGATCAGACTTTCAGGTCAAAGGCTCCAGGTGTGCTCCCCTAAGAAAACCACCTACTTCGGTTTAGGCATCGGATCATAATCACAACCCACATACAAATCACGTGACTTTTGTGATGCTTATGTATTCGGTGCCCCTTTGTATCAATATTTACGTGTTCAAATAAATAAATGTTACTGATATCACGAATCGACTGAAGGTACTAAGTTAGATCTGCGACGCGGTTATAGATATGCATTACTGATGGGTCCAATACGAGGACGAAACGATTATCCAGTACTTCTTGGTTCTCAATGAATATCTGAACTTTGTGATGTCAATAAAATCAGATTTACCATGTACCCTTTACATATTGACGGTGGATTTTAACTAGAAATTAGTTATTATTTGAAAAAGTTATAAATCAATTAATAATAGATTATTGTTTCTGTTATGAAGTTCCAAAATACTCCTCAAAGAAGTCAACCTGGAACCAGAAAACATTTTGAAACATTGGAGCCATAAATGTCGAGTCAAAAACAATTGAGAGTAAGATAATTAAGTATTCATGAAGTCAAGAAATGATTGAGGTTATATCATAAACGAAGTGAAGTAGGAAATGTATATGATTATAATCTGAGTCATAAGCTAATGGGAGATCATGTTCGCTATAAAACCTAAGGCCTCAGATTTCTAGTTCCTACGGTTTTTGAAGGTCAAGTGTTAAATCTCAAGGCAATACAAAACAGTTAGTGCATTTATTGTTGATTTCTAATAGTTGTTTACTCTAGTCAATACTGACATATAAAAATCCGTATTGATCAGATTTTGTAAGAATTTCATACAATTTATAGTTTCTATCCTGGATTGAAATCAGTTACATAATCATTAAAAATCATGGACACAGAGGATAGTTGTTTTATCTTCCTAACATAAAACTTCTCAATAGTAAGCACCAACTATCCACTATGAGATCGAATCTAGACTTTTCAAATCTTGTCACATACTCCTAGGTTGTCTCATTCCAAGAAAAGAAGAATATCATTTTCCAAAGAAGTTTTAATGGTACCCTAGATGAAATCAATTCGTGACGAATATAATCTAAAAATATGGTTAATAACAATCACTAATTGTAATAATAAATAAATATACAAACAATACCAAGTAAATAGGTATCATTATCAAATTTTGATTTGATAATTTTGAATAAATTGAGCATTGGGTAGATTGTTATAAATAAATAAATCAATATAATTGTAATATCCCAAATGAGTAGAAAAATTAAATTTTCTGACGTTTCGTGACTTAGTTTAAGCCACTTCTTCAGAGAATAAATAACCAAATTAACAATAATCTAAGTTTAAATAGTATAATGGAACAATCCAAGAATAATTAGGTGATCAATCAAAAACAGGTCTGAATAAATCACTGTCATGTCATTTCATTTCGGTCAAGGTGATTCATAAACGACATGTATGTAATTTTGTGTGTATGTATGCACTGTTAATAATGAAAACTGTGTGACCTTTATAATTACAAAGGATAGAGTTGTAAGTAAATTTAAACTTCACACCATTGCACAAGCAAGTGGCTATCAGGACTCAGTGGCCGAGTGGATAACTCAATGGTGTTTGAAGCGAAAGGTTCTGGGTTAGAGTCCCAGAGTGGACATCAACTCAGATGCAGGTACATTCAACTGATGAGTCCCGAAAAGGACGAAACGCTTATCAAACTGAATTCCACTACTAGCCACAATCCATCTTTGCTTATGTTTGTGAATTAAGGGTACATCGCTGCAATATGCACAGGATGCACATATGTCAATTAGAGACTGATCAATTACAGTTTATTCAATTCATTTTCAATATTCTAGTTTTAATTAATTAGATCCACACAAACACACATACACACTTACGCATATACAAACAGATAGAAACAAGAAAACAGTGAAAAAAAATGAAATAAACATAAAAGAAAACTGAATGATGTGAATCAGTTGCCATGGTGATAACCACCAAAAATCTTTTTCTTGTTTTGTATTACTGTTTATGTATTGACTAATGTTTAAGATACAATTGTACAATAAGGGTTTTATATGTCAATTTTAACGGGAAAAAATGAAAGTATGATACATGAAGTGAAGGGATGGTTACCGGTGAATTCAACGAAGCCTTAAAAAGTTTTTAAGGAACCGAAGGCATTCCATTCAATCATCTTTTGGAAGAACAATCTAGAATATTCTCGAGTGAAACTTCTTGATTGAACAAATACTAAAAACTACTGTATTCGTATTTGGAATAAGATCCCTTCCTACTTGTATTCTGTTTTCTAAATTGTAACTTGAAAGGTTCTAGCGTTTAAGCGATCCAGTTGTATGCGGTATAGCAAGAATGCAAGTTCTAGAAAAAACACAGAGGAATTTTATATAGTTGAAATCATGAATCAATTGAAGCTAGACCACCATGAAAAAAGCTTGTAAGAACTGGACGTCCGATTCGCTCTATTGTGGTGGTCTAGCTTCCATTGACTCATGATTTCAACTATATAAAGATATTAAAATATACACAAAACCCCCTTCTAACAGAGGAATTTGCGATGACCTGAAATCATTAACAGATCGAATCAATTAAGTAAACATGAGTCCCCTCATTCTGATCAGATCAATAATCTGTTCATACAATAACTTAATTTTATTAAAATTATGAGCTGATCAATATTAGATCATCATTTAAAACCTGGAAGCATTGGATAGCTATTTTATCCTACTGTGTACACAACACCAACAGTCTTGCATTCAATTCTTACGTACAGGATTGTGGACATACACTGTTAGTGAAGTCCCATACTGAGATGAAATGGCCATCCAATGTTTCCGATGGTTGCCTGACACTGATCAGTTCATGATTTTAATAAAACTTTACAATCTCCACAACCCTATATCGATAATAACACCATGAACTGACAACAATGATCTCAAATCCATTTGATCAGTTCAGTGTTTCTAATCTCCGATAACTAATCAAAGTGATTTTAAAGAAAATATGAATAAAAAATACATAATTGTTATATCCTAGTGAAAATTAAAGTACAGGTAACTTGAAGGACCTATTAATAGACTATTATTCTATATATATTTTTTATGGTTTAACTATTGAGTAATTAGATTATGTATATGTATATTCATCTTATTGTAAGCTTCATTTTTACCTATGGATCATTATTATACGATTTACTGTTCCTCAATTATACTCAGCTTATTGATTACTGTCTCCCACATTCACAGCTACATTTTGTCTTGATCTTGTACGAATATTATTTTCTATTTTATGGTGTGATGTTGTCTGTCTGTCTGGTATATAAACCGAGTATTCGTGAAACAAATAATTCGCAAAGATTCACATAGCAGAAGCTGCTGTTGGTGTTCTGGACTCAACTGGAAGGGCTAGGCGGATAAGGGACCAATAAAGACGCTAGACTACTCATACCAGTTAAACGTCATTGATTTGGTACAGTGTTAAGATTAGAAAAGTGGTATTTCAATTGGTGGATAATGCACGTGATAAAAAGCCGGACATAAGATCAATAATGAATTAGCATACGTCTTATTTCTTTTTATAAAGTCATAATGTAGTGAACAGAACACTAGTTGGGGACAATCGAATGTATTTAAGCAAACATTACAGACTATCTCGGTAAATTCTGATAACCAAACAATGAACAGTCAATTTGCAAATTAATAACCAATTGTTTCAATCTTCACTGTTTCTTCTCTAATTCCATTGCTCATGCATTTTCCAAACGATTGCGCTTCATTTCAGTTCTTTCCTCATCGGTCTTCTGCCAAAATACATTCTATGTCTGACCCACGCCATATACTACTTATATGGATATAAGTAGACAACACCACAATAACAATAACTAGTTGCTGATATGACTTTCAAATTATAAAAAATATCCATTAACTACTAAAGAATTATCAGAAAGGGTTTTGTGGAGATTTTGGTAATTTTATAGAACTGAAATCATGAGTCAATTGAAGCTAGACCATTATGGAAAACCTGAAAGTACTGGACGGCCGTTTCGTTTTATTATGGGACTCCTCAGTGGCAGTGCGCATCCACGATCCACCGCACTCACGAGATTGGAATCCAGAATCTATCAGTCTCGTGCGCGAGCACTTAACCTCCAGATCACTGAGCCGCCATCCAACGGTGCTAATGTCTAACTTCAAAAAATCCACGAAACTGAGCAACCATTCACCAATGTCATCAGTGAGTTGATATCTCCCAACAGACTTGGTTGAACTCCACTAGTTACTGCTTCTCACTAGAACTTCAGGAAATATCTCATGGAGCCAGTCCCTAGTAAGCATATGATCATTATCAGAAGGGATTTTCCATGGTGGTCTAGCTTCAACTGACTCATGATTTCAACTCTTAAATAATTCAATGAAAATATCCGATTAGTGACCGTAATGAAAGATATTTGTCAAAACCAACTATTCATTAATGATACATTTCACTTTTCTTTTCAATTAATCATAATTATATTTTAGTTCAATATATCTCACTGGTACTTGCATAACATCAATTGATGTCAGTTCAATCGGATCATCATCATCTTCATCAGTCCCAGATCCACATCAAAATCTAACAACATAAAAAGAACTTTAAAAATTCGGTCTATAAATTTATACTACTAATAAGTAGAATATTTTATTTGACAAAATTAGTTACAAGTCCATTTGGTATTGTTTGTTTGAATCTTCCTATTGTTCCTTAGAACAGTTATTGATCAGTCTCTTGCTGGTATATATACATCCTGTGTGGACTGAATCGATATTGCCTTAGTTCACAAGTATTATAATCAAAGATGGAAAGTGGTCAGTAGTGGAATCTATGACGTGCGTTTCACCTTGTTTGAGACTCATCAGCCGTATGTACATGCATCGGTACTGGTTCGAGTCCAGAGGTGAACATCAATAGTGGAATTAAGGTACATCTATTTGATTTGTTTACCAAATAATAAGACTATAATTTATGACTAAAAGAATTACATTATGGATAACAAGTTTTGTATTTTGGCATGAAATTCATTTATCCATAAAGCGAAAATAATATTTTCACATCATAGCTAATGTCAGTTCATTTTTTCTTTTCAATTAATCATACTTATATTTCAGTTCCATCTATCTAATTGGTACTTGGATAACATCGATTGATATCAGTTCCATTGGATCATCATCATCGTCATCGTCGTCGTCGTCGTTAACATCAGTTCCAGAACCACTTCGAAATCTAACATCATCAACGAATATCAAAATGATCTCATATCCAAATGGTATCTATAAACCTATACAATGTGTAGATGAATTAATATGTTGGATTGAAATAGATTATTCATTTAAACAAACATATATGATAGGTTCTTTAAAAAAACAACTTATACATTCATTTATCAATGAATTCAATCAAACATTATCTAACTGCTCATTGAATCAAATGAATGAAGAATATTTGGAAAGATTTCATAATCAGCTGAGATTTTACGAAGATCTTATAAAATGGATTCAACAAGTATGTCGTTTTATTTATGAAAAAACGTTTATCAAAAGTTTATAAGCAGAGATGGTGTCGTTCAGAAGGACGATGAAATCTCCACAATCAAACCATCCAGTTCAGAGAACAAAACTTCATCAATATAAGCAAAGATGGTTGAGGGTTAGCAATGGAATCTAAGAGATGTGTTCTGTTTTATTTGGAACTTGTTAACTGGATGTACTTGCATTCCATAGTTGATGTTCACTCTTGGACTCAAAACAAGTATCATTTGCTTTAAATTATCATCATTTTATTCATCTAGTTAGTGAGTTCAGTGAATATCAACTCTGGGATTAAGGTACATCTAACTGATGATGAGTTCCTAATAGAACGAAACGAGTGTCATGAAATCTATTGCTAGTAACCATCCATCCCTACTTATGATGCTTGCGATTTAATACAATATCAAGTCAATCCAAACCGGATGCTTATATGCCAACAAGGGACATGTCAGTTGAATTCCTGAACTATGATGGGAAGATTTAAACAGCCGACAAAAAAATAAACTTTAAAAAGTTCGGTCTACAAATTTATACTACTAATCAGTAGAATATACTATTTGACAAAATTAGTGACGAATTCACTTGTATTATTTGTTTGAACCATCCCATTGTTCTTTAGGACTAATTGATCAGTCTCTTATTAGCATATGTGCATACTGTACGAACTGTCTCGATATTGCCTGAAGTCACAAGCATTGTAAGCAAAGATGTATATTGGAATCTAAGACGCGTTTTTCACCCTGTTTGGGACTCGTCAGCCGTATGTACCTGCATGGGTACTGGATTCGAGTCCAGGAGTAGACATCAATAGTGGAATGCAGATACATCCAACTGAAGAGTTCCAAATAAGACGGAACTAGCGTCCCGGATCCTACTACTAATCATCATTATTCTTTACTTGTGGTTTCAAATAATTTTTTAAAAACTGTTAAGACTCCCAATCATTGAAGAAAAGCATAAGGTGGTGATAAGATGGTGGTGGTCAACAGAAAACCCTGGACCCGAGTTTCTTGCTACTTGGCACTCGTCAGTAAGGTGTACGTGTAATCTTGAGGGAACTGGTGCTCCCTGGCAAATTCGATCCCGTGTCACTCAGCTTCACAGTCAGAGATGTTACCACTTAGTGCCAAGTAGCACGAAATCCGTTTCCAGGGTTTCCTGTTGACCACCTCCAACCACCATCTTATCTCAACATAGTGCACGCAGTGTCGAGCCACTTAGACTAGTGGCCACATTGCAACTTGATAGATAGCATTCGATCAGCACTAAGACGGACTTGATACGCATGACATTGATTACCACCCAGTGATCAATCAATTGTGAAAAGGAAAAGTTGTACTAGCAATCATTGTCCCAGACTAGAACTAGCGATACTGAATGATTATTGTAAAGAGTTGAATAAGTAGATTGCAACACAATAGTTTAAAAATATTCCTTTTCTTAGGTTTAAATCAATTTGATTTGTTTACCAAATAATAAAACTATAATTTATAACTAAACGAATTACATTATGGATAACAAGTTTTGTATTTTGGCATGAAATTCATTTATCCATGAAGCGAAAATAACATTTTCACATCATAGCTGACATTAGTTCATGAATAAAAGAAAAACCCATGTGAAATACATAACCGTAAATTCTAACTCTAAATCCTAACGTGATATGGGTTGCTTACATCCATATGAGTACTAGTATATAACGATGGTCAGGCATTGAATGTATTTCAATAGTAGATCGATAAAGGAAGATTGGAAACGAAACGCGATTGGTATGAAAATGCATGAACAATAATAATCGGAGACTATGGACTTATATGTGCATAAGGAACAGTCAAGATTGAGACGATTGATTCATAGTTTGCAAATTAACTATTTACTGTACGGTTATCAGATTGAAATGAGATAGTCTGTAATTTTCTTGTCATATACATTCGATTATCCTCACTCGTCTTCTTGTTCACTACACTCATACAAACTTTTTAAACTATTTTATGGCCTTTATTTAATTCTACTAAATAGATGAATTGGTCTCTAGGTCATTTAAAATTTATAAAAAATCATCCATTAAAATTATAGTCTCACTGATGAAGTATTATAGTGATCTATTCAAAACCAGATAACCAACATTCATTTATATAGTTAAAATCGTGAGTTAATTGATTTATAAACAGTTCTCTATGCAAAATACTCAACATTCGCAGACCGGATACTATCAGCAACAGCCTTCGGTAGGAGAGGACAAACCAGCTTCCAGCTGAAGAGGAAATTAGAAAAAAAAATCGTTGGAAGTGTTTAGCATATACGTTAAGGAAATCAACAAACTGCATCACAAGACAACCCCTAACTTGGAATCCGGAAGGGAAGCGAAAAAGAGGAAGGCCGCAGAATACATTACGCCGGGAAATAGAAGCAGATATGAAAAGGTTGAATAACATCTGGAAAGGATTGTCCAGGACAGGATTGGATGGAGAATGCTAGTGGGCGGCCTATACTCTTCCACAAGGTTTAACAAGCGTAAATAAATAAATAAATAAGCAAGAGTTAGTTAAAGCTAGACAACCATTAAAAAACCTGAAAGCATAAGACGGTCATTTCGTCCCAATTGTAGAACTCTTCAACAATTCAAATGAATAAAAAAAACTTTTATCTATTTTTTCTATTTATTAGGTTCTCAATCATTTGAATCAATTCTTAATTGAATTATATAATCATCATAATGAAATTCAATTAAATAATGAACAAATTCATTTCATTAATCCATCAATATTTTTAACATTACCATTTACTCCCCTTCCTCCTACTTCTAGTCCTCTTCCCCCCACTACTACTACTACTACTACTACTACTACTACTACTACTAATAATAATAATAATAATAATAATAATAATAATAATAGCAATCCTTCAATGACCTCAGAATTATGGTTTATTGATTTATGGAATAATAAAATTGTAAAAATTATGCAAAAATTTATTAACCAATTATCCAATCATCATCATGATCATAATAATAAATCAATAAAAGATCCGATCAATTTTAATGATCCAACTAATTGGATATTATCAACATGGCCATGGAATTCAATAAATTGGTTAAAATATTTTAATAAAGAAAAACAAAATTCAAAATTAAATTTAATTCATCTTATTGAATTATATACAAAAAAATAAAAATGAATCTTAATTTGTTTACATACTACTTATTACTACTACTACTACTACTGTTAGTGGTAATAAGTAGTATAAGTAACAAAAACTAAAATATTATATGAATCTTCATCTACAAATCAAAATGAACATTATCCAAATTGATTCCCTATTTCATTTGTATATATATGAAAATAAAGTTGACCCAGATACATCTATCTATTTAAAAAAAAACGGTAAACAAAATTATATAAATAAATCAATATATGTGACAATGTTCATTGATTACATAATCTAATCAAGGAATATAGATTTTTTTTTTGTTTTTTAACTGTTAATTGATCAACAAAAACAAAAAAAACAAAATATGGAGACTATATATGAAATAAAAATGAATATGTAATTAGTATTTTGTAACTAAGGGGGAATGAAAAGAAAAAAAGGGGGTGTGCAAATTTATTATTTGTTTAATAAATTTCATTTTGTTTTTGCCTTCTATGATACGTATGTCTTACTAAAACAAGAACAATGTGAAGTTTGTGGTGTGATTATAATTTATGAATGTGCCAATCAGAAGTGTTTGAGGGATTTCAAAGTCATGGAGCCAGTTTCAGTACCTGATGCTTATGCACAATCCGTTCATAGAGGATTTTAGAGAAGATATGACAATTAAGCGTCTATAATAAATGAGACTACTAAGAAGTTCCTTCATTTATAGTTGCGGTAATAAATTGGATTGTAGACCTTGTGCAGACTAGCATGTTGTCGTTTGGTGTAATATATGTTGGAGGAAGATTTCTGCTAGAATAAGCACTTTTTTCGCTCTATCCAGATTGAGACTAAGGCAAATTATAATAATTGCCGTCAACTGTATAATAAAAGCACCAGTAACAATGGCTGCAATAATCGCACATGTTACTGAAGCTTCGGCTATTTAGTGGTATGAGTATTGTAGGGATATATCCATAATAAAAATGATAAACTTACACAACCGGAGTACACACAAACAATAATGAAGCTGTGGTCGAGGCTGAGAGGGATTTTATGACCTTATCATGGCTTCAGAGACTGAATATTAGGGGCCATATGAATAATTTCCTCTACATTATGATTTTAGAACCTTTGAACCTCTTTCTAACCTTGACAAGTTTTTGGACCATGTAAAAGAAGTGTATTCACTTTAATCATTTGGTTTTGTATAATACATCTTTACCCTATACCAACTGTTTCCTGATTGGCTAATATCAGTCAAGGTCACTTAAGATTCATTTAAAGGTTGTCCATAAATCATAGTCTCTCCAAGTTCGCTACTTGATTAACGCAAATTACGGTGTATAAGTAACGGCACTCTAACGTATAGAACCTCACAGTTGCAAAGTCGTAAGATAGAAGAAAGCTGAGGAAGTTTTTGTTGGAGAAGAATCAAAATGTACAGAAAATCATGGGTATTTAGGGATATTACCGTTTGTTATATCAACATTATAATTTAGCCAATCTACAAAGAGTCATGTTGTGTTACAATCCGATAGAAGCATGCCACGTTGATATTGTAGTGCCGTGCTTCGATCATAGTTCGCTTCGATAACCGTTATTAATACCAATCTTAACGGTGTATAATATCAGAAGGCAAAGGGAAGCGGCAACTACATTTTTATTGATAATCGATGCAGACCAGAAAGTTGTAAGCACATGAGCAACTGTAAGCAAGCGAAGCAAAGATGATGCGTATTGGAGATGACTGGGAAGCCAACTCATTTTAAGCAAGCGTTAACTAACATTTATAGGCAGGCAAAAATGAGTGACAGACATATGATGAATAAGATACGAAGTGTACACATATGCGCTCATATAAAAAGTACTCAAGGTTAATAAGCAAATGATTAACAAGATCAAAAGATGACTCAATGTACAGGTGAATTGGCTTGGCCAGTAACTAGAATAAAGTATATGGGCCTAACATATGAACTGGTACTACAATATTCTAGAAGGTTCCATCATGTCCTAATTGGATGAAAACTCTTCGATTACTTTAAGACCTTTGGAGGCTCTATCACAGTTCTTGGAAGCCGTTGCAACAAAAACCTATCGAGTATGTTGTTCTGATATCAGGAGTAAAAGGAAGTTTGGAAACGACTTTATCAGCCACTTCTGTGTGCTTCTCGATAACACTATGAAAATTTTTAATGGACGAGTTTGTGTAAAATTTCGTGGTTTACATTATGGACAGAATTTAGTTAAATAATTATTGTAAATCATGAAGTACTGGATAGTTGTTTCGTCTGAGTATAACACATCCCATTGGTCTAAAGATTGAATGACGAGGCAGCGGCATTTCTTGCTCCTCAAAATATCTAAATTGTCAGAATCTCGTCATTAGACAAGAACTTTCTCACAAACCTACCACTAATTAACATCGCATAATCTAATACTAACTTAATTCTATCAAATTTCAACATGACCACTAGATTTTAAAACTCAACTGCTCAATGTACCGTTTAATATATGAAGTAGTTGAAGGAGAATTATTTTAATCTAAATCATAAATACACCTAATAAATGAGTATCCAACAGTATTATAACTAGGCCTATGATATCAAAGCCAAACCCAATGACTCTACAATTTAGTATAACCATTTGAAATCATCTAAAGATGTAACTATAGTACAATTTTACTAATCCTAACCCTAATCATAAATCTGATCGCTTACTATTAACCTTGCGTCCTGATCCTAAATCTTAACCGTTTTTTCGGTGTTTTATGTAATGAACTATTCACTAACATAAACCTGTATTTCAATAAGCTAAAAATTAGCATTACTTTCTCAAAGTAACTTCGAGAATAGGTATACTTTTCGTCATAAGTTCTTGGTGGAAGAAAAAAACCAACTTAACAGTGCGAACTACTTATTTATATTATCAGTAGGCAAAATATTCTTCTTAAAAAACAAAACACTGAATAAAACTTATACTTCAAACAAAAAAAGGAGCAAATCATAAGAGAGTGAACAAAAAAAACTTTTTTTCTTAAAAAAAAGAAAAGAAAACTCTTTCACATCATTCAATCAAATGAAAAATATTTGTCACTGGAGATTCAAAAAGAGAAAACAGTTTAAACACATAACATACACAATTGATATTGAATGTTGTATAAAATATAAAATTTACTTGAGAGATTATTGGACATTGAGCATTGCCAAATAATAATAATAATAATAATAATAATAATAATAATAATAAATGTTGATGCTTTTTTTAAAACAACTCGATGTATTGTGTGTTAAGTGTTTACTAAAGTAAAATTTTAAAAAATCTTTTGTTTTTCTGATCGGTTATCTGAATTTGAACAACAACAGAAATAAAGACGACTGCGGCGGCAACAGCAGGAGCAGCAACCAAATCGTCGACAATTAAGATGTAATTGTTAATAAATTTGATTAGTTATTGATTAATATTCTTATTATTATCATTATGTTAGTTGGACATAGTTAGCAGGAAATAGGCCAACTTTATTACGACAAACACCTTTCCACCAGCCAGCATCGATTTTTTCAACTTCGGTAATGATTTCACCAACATTAAAGGTCAATTCATCATTTTCAGCTTAATGTAAAAATAAATAAATAAATTTGAAAGAAATATAGATAAATAATTATAATTGAAAGCACGAGTCTATTGAAGCTAGACCACCAAGGAAGTTAGACATTAACATTGATCTATCGGTTAAGTGCTCTGGCGGGAGACTGGTAGATTCTGGGTTCGAATCTCGTGAGGCGAGATCATGGATGCTCACTGCTACTGAAGAGTCCCATAATAGGACAAAACGGCCGTCTAGTGCCTCCAGGTTTTCCTTGGTGGTCTAATTTTAATTGACTCATGCTTTCAACCACACAAATCCCTTCGGAAAATAATTATAAGTAAATTATAAATTTATGAAAATAAGTATCAATATGATACAAGAAGGAAACGATTGAACGAGGTCAGAAAGCATGCTCCTTGTTAAATGAATTTCGAACTACAAAACCGTTAAAAAATGAAGTGCAAAATAATAACAACTTCAACTATATACTACTTATGAGCAAACTAGTGTTTTTGGAATGATTCACCTCTCCATTTTTCATCAGATGATTGTAAAACAACTACTTTTGTATGGCCCAGAGGTGAAGTGTTTGAGCGCGGGACCGAAGGTTCTTGACTTGAATCTTGTACACTACTGATGATATTGTTGTCTAGAAAGACAATCAATGAATGCTGTACCATTAAACCACGCTCAGTACACACACAGAGAATCCTCAACTTAGATACAGATATCTTAGCTTGGTCAATAAGATATTTGCTCAGAAAAAGTTTCACCAATAAAAAATGTTATCATGGTAAACAAGTGATTTTTTTCATTTTGACCAACGAATAATTGAGGGTTCATTAATACATATAGACCAGAATTGCTTACCTGCTTTATAATCATACAAAGCGATTACTGTGAACATTTCAGGAACTTGATCATCACTAGCGACAGGGTTATCATGCACCTATGTGAAACAAATGAGCAAACAAACATCACTTTAGATTAAGAAAAATACTGCGAAATCACAGTCAGTAATAATAACAAACAGATAGACGACAGACTGATTGATTGACGCAATTCGAATCAAAATCTGATATGCATTATTTATTTAAACACATACATAATGGTACAAGGAGGCAACAACGATATATACGCCACATAAATCGAATGATTTGTGCTAAGGCTGGGATACTCCTCGAGCCTTTGACTAAGAGGTCTAAGACACACGGCAGTGGAGCAACGTTAGGAGATGCAATCCCATGGTAGCTGATCACCAATAATAGGTTCATACTCCATTTGTTCCTCCAGGATCCTAGAGTTCATGTGCACCGTTGGTTTAGAATCAGGGTTTTCCAACTCCCCTAGGTGGATTCTCCATGCCCATCAAACCGGTTAAAGCTCCGGACATTCGCTTTTCGTCCTCCTACTTACACAAACACCTCCGCCGTGAGAAGGTAGAGAGTAAGAATTTCCTGGCAGTGGCTGTATACGTATGACCATGTGAGAGCATTTCGAGAGGGAGAGCTGATTCTTCCCACCCTCGGCCATACCAAGGCATTTGGGGGCATTTATTGACTAATATTGATGAACAGCTCCTAGCTTTGATCAACTTGAGCACTGAACACGAACAGTGACCTTGAGGGTATATGGATGCACGAAGTGTATGCATACGATGGCAGAATTTTCTCATCTTTATATATTTAGGTGTTTTATTTGACATTTGGAGAGGGAGAGCGGACTCTTCCCACTCTCGGCCGTACCAAGGCATTCAGGGGTGTACGAGATCATAAAAAATTAGAACAGCTTAATAGTGACATCTAAGAATATGAGCCTGAGATCAAGACAAGTTCAAATTCCATCAAGAGTAGTAACCGCCACAATATTATTAGATAACTAACTAGCTAGTATGAAACTGAAGTCAATAATTTCCTCTCATCCTTTCAATATTGACTAACAGAAAATTAGTTACCATAAGAGAATAAACTTCACTTTTTTGGTAAGAATACAAAAACAAAAAAAACCCACTTACATGATCTTCATTGGAATTTTTTAGTTCACTCTTAGTTTCTAACTGATTATATCCATCACCATCATTATCATCATTAAATTGATTAGATTCAAAAGGAACTGTAAACCCTTGTGAATTTAATGATTTCATGTTATTTTTACAATCAACTTGTTTATTCCAATTATTATTATTATTAGTAGTAGCAGTAGTATGTATAGCAGTAGTAGCAGTAGTATGTGTAGCAGTAGTAGCAGTAGTATGTGTAGCAGTAGTAGCAGTAGTATGTGTAGTAGTCGTCGTCGTAGATAATTTGAAAGTGTCACTAAGCATCGAACTATTTGATGTCTAGAATAAATAAACAAATGATAAATATTTTATTTTGTAAATAAGTAAGATACCAAAAAAATTATGGGTAAGATTATGATTTTTTTTATTATAAATGAACCAATCAGATTTAAGATAGAAGGTTATAGATCTTGGAGTGAAATTTATTCAGAAGGGGTTTTTTGTGGAGATTTCAGTATTTTTATAATTGAAAGCGTGAGTCGATTGAAGCTAGATCACCAAGGAAAACCTGGAAGCATTGAATGCCGGCTCAGTGGTCTATCGGTTAAATGCTCTGGCGAGAGACTAGTAGGTCCTGGGTCCGAGTCTCGTGAGGCGAGGTCATGGATGAGCACTGCCACTGAGGAGTTCCACAATAGGACGAAACGACCGTCCAGTGCTTCCAGGTTTACCTTGATGGTCTAGCTTAAATTGACTCACGATTTCATTTATGAAATTTATTCATCTATTTGGTTAAATAGTGTTCTAACATTTTAACTGATGTTACTTAGTGATGAAAACCCTGAATCTAATTGCTAACCACAAACATTAACTGTAATTCATAATTCTAATTCATCATTTAGTCGTAGTTAGTAGGTAAACATTCTGAAGGTTACTTTAGAGTCTCTCAAAGGTGCAATTTCAGGCTAATAGAACTAAATGAGCGTATTATATTTGGAATTCGTAATTAGTGGCCAATCAAGTACAAAGGGATCATTAGTTCGCATAAATACTACAATTATGTATTACAATTTGGTTGAATAATAGACGATTTTCATAGTTGAAATCATGAGTCAATTGAAGCTAGACCACTATGGATAACCTGGAAGCACTGGACGGAGATTTCATTATAAATTTTAAGATGTTTCCAGAATATGAAGGTTACACAAACACAACTAACCTTTCAAATAAGGATTGACTTCAGATATTTTATCCTTTTTTTCTGTGTTGGAGCTTAAATGTAAAAAAAGATTTCTGGAAAACGAAGAAGCTACCTAAGAGTTAGTGTCAAACGATGAAGTGCCTGACATAATATACCATGATATAATTGCGAAGAAAATGGTAGTATGGTATGGGCCACTTATATCTACATAAGTAATATATGGTGATGGTCAGATATAGAATGTATTTTGGCAGATCGATAAGGAAAGAACAAAAACGAAATGCAATCGGTATGAAAATGCATGAACAATGAGATCAGAGAACATGGACTGATATTTACAGAAGGAACAGCCAACATTGAGACAATTGATTGTTATTTTGCAAATTAACTTTTTACTGTATGGTTATCAGATTTTAGTGAGATAGTTTGTAATTTGTGCTTAAATACATTCGATTGTCTCCATTTGTTTTCTTGTTCACTACAGTAGTTTTGACACGGAGACTGTTATATCTGGACGAGTATAAAAGGGTGGTAATTGTTAGGAATTATTTATGGACTAATATTCTTATTATATGGCTATTAAGTCAGTCAGTCAGCCACAACGTAGGACCAGGCACATATATGCATCGGTCCAAGTTGCCATACCTCATTAACATAACAAGATGAACACCGACTTCATAGAAGTAGTTAATTTAGTGGTGGTAATATATAAAAGAAAGGTTGTATAGTACAGGAAGACAGATATGAAGCAATTTTAATCTCAAGATAAACAGTGTATACACCTATGCCACTGTGATCGATTCTCAGCCATGTCACACAGAGTCTCCGACCATTATTGGTTACGATAGTCACGCGGACTCCAACCAAGTAGTCTGCATCTACCAACATGGCTCAGACTAGAAGTTAATGACTTCAAGCTCTGATACCACGTTTTGGTTTGACCAACTGTGGCTATTAAGTAACTACATTATATATATTTCTTGCATATCATATTCCTTTCAATATAAGCCTTTATTTGACCCATTATTGGTCAGTGTTATATGATTTACTATTCTTAAGATATTCCCAATTTACTAGTAACAATTTCTCATAATCACAGCCACCTTTTTGGCTTGATCATGTACAAATGTTATTTACTATTTTATGGTGTGATGTGGTCCGATTTGTTTGTATATAAACCTAGTATATTTGAAATATATGATTAATATCGCGGAGGTTAAGATTGTTATTCCGAACTAAACAGGCGGGGCTAGACGGGAAAAAGGACTAATCGGGACTCTAAGCTGTTCGTACAGGTGTACGCGTCATTAGTTGGTCGTATAAGTCCATGTGCCTACAGTTGAAAATCGTATAAGCTGAGGATATAACAGAGGTCAGCTCAAGCATCGGGATCATCTTATTTTTCTCGAATGAAAAAGAAATTGTGCAATTTACTTCCATGAATATTCCTCTTTTAGAGTTGTTTTAATAAACTGACTATATCTTTCAACTGTGTATACATGTGTACCCGCTTTCATATTAGATTATTTACAACCCTATTATGAAAATAATTTTACTAAGAAATTCTTTTGGGACCATATTCTATCCCGAAGAGAATTATGAATGATAACTTTTGAGAACCATTTATGGACCAATATTATGCATATATTCTTTATCGTATAATCGCTATATAACTAAACTATTCATATTCGTGTCCCCCTTATTATAAGCTTTATTTTGAACTATAAACTATTGTTATACGATTCAGGACTTAACTGGCTGGGCTAGGCAGAAGCAGAACCGATAAGTACTCTAGACTGCTCGTACGGTTTTCGTGTGTCACTGTTCCAATCGATCATTCGCTGCTCTCTGATAGGCGGTCTTATTACGTTTTACGTTAACAAGGCATCTACTGGGCCATAAGTTATAACAGACCACCACAACAAAGAGATTTAACCAAGGGAACAAAAACTACTATACACGCACAATATGTTTCCTTGGATATAAATAAGTTCCATGCATATGAAAAATGGAAATCTTATCACAATTGTGCAAATTTTCTGTTAACAATTTATTATCGTAATGAGACTTATGATATTGATCCATTATTCATTTTCTTACATCGGTTGTTTGAATCTCCACATGGATGTTAAAGACTGTGATTGACCTGTCTGTCTTACTAGCAAATATGCATCTAGCCTATGAGGATAGCCTCAATATTGCTTTAATTCATAAGCATTATAAGCAGAGATAGATGGTAGTTAGTAGTGAAATACAGGACACGTATTTCATCCTATTTGGGACTCATCAGTTGGACAAATCTGCATTCCAGAGTTGATGTTCACTCGAAGACTTGAACCCAGTACCGTTTGTTTCAGACGCCATCACGGTATCTACTTAGCTACTGGGTCCAAATAGCCACTAGCTTGTGCAATGGTGTGAAGTTTTAATTCAACAAAAAATCAATCTAAAAAAACTATTCATGTGAAGATTGAGTTTGATATGTTGAAATTTGAGTACAGATTTATTTTTAGGGGCGGGGGGGGGGTAATAGATTGAATTTTAACAACTTTTTACATAATGAACAATCAAGATTATTCTCGAACGAATCGAATCTTATAAAGTAACAAACTGACAAATACAATAACTTTAACAATAATCACCAACGATGAACCTCAAAGAAACAACTAAAAAAGATAAGAAAACAGTAAGTAGGGCAGGAGAGCAGTTGATAATTCAAAGAAAAAAACTCCAACAGAATAATTCTAGTCAGCCAGTCAGTCACAACGCAGAACTTCGTACGTACGTACGGACATCAGTTCGAGTTGCCATACCATATTAGCACAGAGATGCAGTTGCTGATTCAAATCCCATAGTGGTAGAAGTAGTAAGAGTATAAGCATTATGTGAAAGGTTAGGGTTTGAAGATGTTATTGAAGGAGTATAATACAGTGAACAAATCCATGTATCATACTTATAAAAAATCTATAGATAAACGTTGGTAACAATCAATTAAAAACAGTAACGATAATGTGGGAAAATACATATTGAAAGAAATGTATTCAGAGGTTATTGTTATAGGAAAGAACTTTGAATTTAATTGAGATCATGAACTGATCAATGTTAGACCACTATTGAAAACCTGGAAGTACTAGACAATGGTTTTGTACTGGAATTGGACTCCTCAGTAGTACGCATCCACAATCCTGCGCGTGGGATTCAAACCCAGGACCTTCGGTCTCATGAGCGAATGCTTAGCCTCTCTAAACCACCGAGCTGGCATCCAACGGTGTTAATGTCTAACTTCAACTAATCCACGATATTGCGCAACCATCTTTCATTGTCTGAGGTGGATAATTGTTTCACACACGACATGGATTAAACTCCACTGGTCACGACCTCTCACTAGAGCTCCGAGAATCCCCTCTAAAAGCTAGTCACTAGTGAGCACATGATATTAAATCAGTTTATTAACAAAACAAAGGCAATCAACTGTGATCTCTTTAACACTTCAATTGTGAATATTTCAAGTTACAGTGGTGTCCTGTACTCGAAAAGTTAGTATTTCTTTTTTTAAAAATAAGAAGGAACTCAACTTAATGAAATCAATAGTAAAAATTGAAATAAACATCTCTGTTTACCGATTTAACTGTATAACATAATTTTGACTTTTCTCTGGACTGTTCTTCTTCTTCTTCCTGTTGTTCACGTTGTTGTTGTTTACGTTCAGCATTCCATTGAGTTTGTTCTTCAAGAACACGTTGTTGAGCAATAGTAAGACCAGATGAATTTTTCACATTGTTCGAATTAATTCCTTGTTCGAATCGTGCACGTATACTACTTAAACCGCCGTCTGGTTTGAAAATAGGAGCTAAAATGAAGTTGATTATTATTGTTGTGGGTAATGAGGGGGGGATGAAATAAGGTAAATAGTGAGAGATAAAAAGGAAATTCATGAGTTGATCTAAGCTAGACCATCATTCAAAACTGAGAAGTACTGGACAGCCGTTTCGTACTATAATGGAACTCCTCATTAGTGCGCATCCATAATCGATTCTGAACACGGAATTCGAAGTTAGGACCTTCGGTCTACGGTGAGAACGTTTATTGAAATCTTGATAAAGTTGTATGCAATTTTGAATGATATCTAGACAAGAAGTCCCTCATTATTGTTTCAACTATCAAATTTACTTAACATTATAAGTGATTAACGGAAATTAATTACACGAAATTCAAGTTGTATTTTTACAAATCACCTATATTGTGACCACATATTTAATTAGTTAGTAAAGTAGAATAAATATAAACCTCTGTTACAAATACGGGGGCCCCCAAATGCCCTGGTACGGCCAAGAGTAGGGAGGGCCCACCTTCTCTCTTGAAATGCTCTAACACGGTCACGCGTACATAGCCTCTGACAGGGAAGTCCTACTCACTGCCTTCTCGTGGCATTACTGTTGTTTACGAAAGTGAGAGGACGAAAAGCGAATGTACGGCGCTTTAACCGGGTTGGTGGACACGGAAAGTCCACCTAGGGGAGTTGGAAAACACTGATTCCAAACCAATGGTGTACATGGGCTTCAACATCCTGAGGAAACAAATGGTGTATGAATCAATTGTTGGACACCGGCTACCATGGGACTGCATCACTTTACGTTGTTCCACTACCTTGTGGATCAGATCTTTAGGTCAAAGGCTCCGGGTGTGGTCCCCTAAGAAAACCACCTGCTTCAGTTTGGGCACCTGGGCAGTATCACAGCCGTCACATAAATCAAATGAGATTTATGCGGCGCATATATATAATGCCCCCTTGTACGAATATTTGTGTGTTCAAATAAGTAAAAAAATACAAATACGGGTCAACTCAAGTTCTTATACTATATTATATATTTGTACAGATGATTTGTACGAGATGAAACGAACGAGAGGATTAGTAAAAGAGATCGTGATAAAATTGTAGTGGATAAAATTAACTAAGCATAAAGAATATAGTCCGAAGAGAAAGAATAAAACGATATAGATAAAGGAATACTGGAACTGAAGATCTAGAATAAAAATGAAAGATGAATTTATATCTGAACTAATGTGATTGATTTTAAGCTAAAATACAACTCAAGATCACGATGAACGCATAGACCACAACCCATTGATTTCTATTCATAAACAAGGCTTACACAAACGATTAAAGATTACACGGACTAGTTTCAAGTCTTGGTTTGGTCACCCCTACACACCCTTCTTCCGGCTTACTCCTAAAAGAGCTAACACCATGCGTCAAGGTAAGCAGTTATTCGGTATATGTAACACATGTCCCTACCACTTCGGTCGATGAAGACTTATGGCTTTATCAAATGAATTAGCATCTTTGTCTGGTATCATGCATCTAAATCTTAGCATTACTCATCCGGTTGTTCCATTCAGCACCCCAGCAATGCTTTGAAGGTATCCAACATGAAAATGTGAACACATCATTGCATATTCTATCAATAAAGATATAAGAGGATCGACAAAAGAAGTAAATAAATCTAAACTATCTCACAGACACATATATACCTTTCATTTGTGATGGATGCGATTCTGTCTGATTAACATCATCCCAACCAACTGATGATGAATCCACTCGATCTGTCTGTACACCGAATTTACCACCAAATCCTTTAGAATAGTCCACTTGCGATGGATGATGACTGGTTTGTTCATGATGATCCCAACCCAAGGCTGACTACATGAAAAAAAAAAGCAGACAGGTAGACAGATAAAAGCTTTACAAAAGTATTATAAAAAAAGAGAATTCTTGCTAATTGGAAGAACATCAATGAAGGAAGCATTGAACAATAATTGTGATAACTGTGGTAACAAAACTAGGTAATACCATTGTGTAAATAGTAACACTGAAAAGAAGGTATATTTAACTGACAAGTCCCAAATACCATAAAACAGATGTCCTAGATTCTACTGCTAGCCAAAAACCAAGAATTACTATAACTTGTAAATATAGACTATAATCGAAGTAATTCGCTAAAGATCCAAACACCTGACAACAGGGACTGATCTCACTTGACAGTCCTGAACATCAACAACGTGAAATTGTAAAACCTTACCAAAACAAAAAATGTTTGGGAGTAATTGGAAATAATCACATCAACTGTTTTCAAGATTAAGTAATTCACATCTCTACTACAGTTTTTATGTCTATCACCATCAGTCAGTCATATACAACATAAGACCAGGCACATATGTTGCCATACCTCATTAACACAACAAGATGCAGACCGAATTCTTAGAAGCAGCTACTTCAATGGTAATGATAGAAAAAGAGAGCATATAAGGATATGGTACAGGGAGAAAGAATTAGCTCGTAGAAAGAAAGGTATAAAATTATCTTAATCTCATGGTTGAAGGGAAGACAAATAGTGTGTACACCTACGCCATTGTGATCGATTCTGAGTCATGTCACACAAAGTATCCACTGGATACGATAGTCACGCGGACCCTAAACAAGTAACGTGCATTTACCAACAGGTCTCAAACTAGAAGTTAGTTACTTTATGAACTGATGCCATGACTTAGTTTGGCCGCTCCTAACTCCCTTTCATCGGTCTCCAACAGTAGTGAGCATTGCGCGTCATGGTAATCGATGGTTTGGTATGTGTAATATGTAGCCCGACCATCTCAGTCGATGTACATTCACGACTTCATCAACTGATTTACCATCATGCCCTAATACCCTGTATCTAACCTCACTATTACATACCCAATGATCCTAGCAGATACGAGCAGTATTTCTAAAACATCTGTGATCAAATACTAGTAACTTACAAGTATCCTTTACCCCTAATGGCCACGGTTCGCAGCCGTAAAGTAAAACATAACGAACTGCTGAGCAAGATGCTTGTCCCTTAATTGATAGACGGATATTTCGCCTTCGCCATAGGTGATGGGTTTTTTAAATCCGTGCACAAATTTCGCCAGGCACCAACCCACTAGGGCTGATTAGACTTCCAAGACAAATGAAGGTGTATACGCGTTCGACTACTTCACTCTCTATCCTTAGTTCAAGTGTTGACTTAGGCTAGTCTATCACCATATACTTACATAAAATTTAAACACAGATCAAAAACATTAAACAATTGAGGGGGAAGGAAACACACACACAGTAAATAAACTATCTACAATTCATTTTTATTTACCTTGTCTTGTCGATCAGTTTGTACACCAAATTTTCCGCCGAATCCAACAGAATAATCTTTTTGTGATGAATGCTTTTCTACGGCTTCTTTATGATCCCAACCAACAGATGACTTGTGATTAATTAGTTAATTAGAGCGGGAAAAAGTAAATGGAGATATAAATACGTTATTACAAACCAAGACATGTGAAATTAATAATAAGTGATTGGGTAATCGCTCGACATGATAAAACAAACAAATATGTGTACGTCAAGTTCTTAACCGAGTGGTGGAGTACGGTTCTCAACTACTTGAAGAAAAGTTTATCTTCTTCATGCATCCGATCAAATACCTTGGTTTCATCTTAGATACGAACGGTTGCCGACCAAACCCTGAAAACACCAAGCATCTTTCGACGAAGTTAAATCAACGCTCAACTCAAAGCTTCCTTGAACACACTTCGATCCTGTTATAACGTATAGATTTTTGGCCTCTTAATATATACATATATATATATATATACGTCCAATGATACAGAAAATACGTACGAACAGTATTGGGTGCTGTTCGGTCCTTTCTATCTGCCTAGCCCAGACGTCAAGTCCAGAACACAAATACAGCCTCGGCAATATGAATCATTATTCACAAGCATACTGGGTTATATATACTAACCAAACAGACCCCATATATCAAAAATAGAAAAATAACATTTGTACAAGATTTGACCAATTGTGGCTGTGAGTAGGGGGAAAGTAATCAATAATAATAGTTCCAAGGTCAAAATAAAGGTTATGATAAGAGGAACACGGAAACGATTAGGTCACTTTTTTAACAACTATCCAATAGGGAATGGGCATATTATATTTGTCCATAAATAGACCTCAGATTTAGGTCACTTATTCAACAACTATCCAATAGGAATAGGCGTATTACATTTGTCCATAAATGGACCTCAGATTTATGATTCATAATTCGCCAGGGGATATAACAGATCCCAACTTGGGAATTTTCCTTGGATCTGATGTCTCTAATAATGGAGTTGGAGCAGTGATATCTCACGCGTTACAGGACAAATCGGAAAAGACAATTGCTCATGCTGCTAGTTCATTCACCCTGGCCGAGAGGAACCACGGCCAGATGGAGAAGGGAACCCTTGCAATCATTTTCGCTGTTAAGAGATTCCATAAAATCCTTTACAGCCGTACGTTTACTTAACTGACAGACCCCAAACCTTTAATTACAATCTTTGGTTCTAATAAGGAATCTCTGCCTATACGACCAACCGATTACAGCGCCGGGTCACAATGCTTCTGAGCTATGACTTCAATACCAAGTATCAGTTAATAAATAATATCGGTCAAGCCCACGCTCACTCTAGGTTGATTGGAATTCAGCACCTTGGACCAGAGGACATGAAAATAGCCTCCTTAGCAGTAGATCCAGAAATACAGAGCGTAGTAAAAGATGCCATTCAAAACGCTCCAGTGTCATCAGATGAAGTCAGAGAAGAGCTGCGACCAGAATTGCTTGGACAATTGCATACAAGAAATCCCGAAATAAATCTCATAAAAGCACTAGCACGATGTTATGTATACTGACTGCATTTAGATACACAACTGGAGCAGCTATCCCGTTTATGTACCGAATGCGCATTAGTAACATAAGCACCGCGGAAAGAAGAGTTGCAATCATGGCCAATACTACAGCCACCGTGTGTTGAAGCACACTGATGGCTATTTCTTACGCAATCAACGCTAGAATATTCTAGTTTAAAATTATAAACATACTAACGTTTTTCTTATTATGATTCTTACTCCCATTTAACCTTGTTTATTTGGAATATAATTATGTCCCTGTTTAACCGTATTCTGATTTGGGAAATTTTCGAATGAAGTAAAGTTTCTAAAGAATACTAGGCAATAAGATTAGCTAGGTTGTAATAACAGAATTCATAACACTTGCGCATACACAATTTGTTTCACACAAATTCAACTGCTCCTGTAAGGCTAGTTACACAGGCCATACTCAGAGGGCTTTGTCCTTGCGTGTTCGTGAACATGTACCAACATGGTTGGGAAAAGGAGTCACTAAATCGATTAACAGTACCATTTTTTCTCGTTTGGTAGATATCAAACATCATATTAAGATAGAGGAACCTTTCTCTGTTTTATATCAAGTTCCAAAGAATCTAAATCAAGGAGCTAGATTACGGCTACTCTACATAGCTGGAGTCATCGAAATCAACTCCATAAAAACGAACTTATTTATCCAGCCTCTGTGTTTATTTTGATCTATGACTGGATCAATGGATAACTATACTGGATATTATAAACTCCTTCTGTTATCCCAATTCTTTGTGAGTTTACTTCTCTCCTAGCCTACACATTCATCTTTGCCAATTAAGATGAACTCCTTTTTATCGTAATTACCTTGATGATACCTCTCTTATTACATATTATATTTACACAACTACATTATTATTACCTCCATTAACGAGATCAAATTTTCTTACTATGCATTTTGTTCCCACGACATTTTATTATATAACTATTACATTGATTATAATTTGACACTTGACTACGAATCATTCTGACCTTTATCAGTATAGGATTGTGGAGATTGAGTTTTTTTAGTTGAGATCATGAACTGATCAATATTAGACCACCATTGAAAACATGGAACCACTGGATGGCCGTTTTGTCCTAGTATGGGACTCCTCAGTAGTGAGGGATCGTGGATGTGCACTTCTGAGGAGTCCCATCTTGACCTTTCTTAAATGACCTTTCTCATTTACAAATAACACAATTTTGAAGTCACAATTGATTGGTCACTGGGTGGTGATCAATGTCATGCTTGTCAAGTCCTTCTTAGTGCTGATCGAATGTTATCGATTAAGTTGCTCAGTGGTAACGTCTCTGACTGTGAAGCTGAGTGACACAGGATCGAATCTGTCAGGGAGCACCAGTTCCCTTAGGACTACAGGTACACATTGCTGACGAGTGCCAAATAGACCGGGTCCAAGGTTTCCTGTTGACCACCTCCAACCACCATCTTATCACAATTTTGAAGTATTTATATAGTAACAGATGAAAACGTTCAGTGTTTTAACACATAACTCGGTTAAATTCATTAATGCATGCCTTATTTTTGTCTTTGTAAACTATCACAATAATTATGGACTTATAACTGAAACGTCAGATGATGAAGTTATTGAAAACAATTGTTCGTACAAATATTTTTTCATTCTAAAAAAATAAAATAGATGGATTATGTCTGTCAATGAAATCTATGACACCCGTTTCATCCTATTTAGGGCTTGTCAGCTAGATGTACCTGCATCTTAGTATTGATGTTCACAATGGAACTCCACTAACTTGTCTAACGAGTCCAAATGTAAACACCAATACCAGAATACAGTTACATCTAGCTGATGAGTTTCAAATATAATGAAACACGTGTCCTTGATTCCACTACAAGTTATAATCCATTTATTCCGCACTATATACACATGCTAACAAAGATTTAATATATCAGCAACAGGATAACTCTAACTTATTTTACAAATAATCATATATAAAAACTTACTTTATCTTGACGATCTCGTTCAACACCATATTTACCACCGAATCCTTTTGCATAATCTTTCTGTGATGTATGCTTTTCCGTCACTTCAATATGATTCCAATCTACTGCTGACTGAAACACACAATAACAAAAAAAACAGTTTAAATAGAAATGACTAGGAAAACAGTCTTTTTACCAAAGTACAACTACCCACTACACCGCTTCACATTATCATCTTTATTAAATTCCTCTCTTGACAAAACTACAGTAATTTTGATTAAACCAACAAGTGAAACTAATGGAACAAGAGGAGCACGAGCCGAATGATCGATGAAGATGATTTTGATAATTTAAGCAAATTAAACGATTCTATGTAACAACTTAGCATGAAATCAGTAAAATCAGTCAGCCACAATGTAGAACTTTGTACGTATGTACATCAGTTCGAGTTGCCATACCACATTAACACAGAGATACAGTTGTCGTTTCAAATCCCATATTGTTAGAAGTAGTAAGAGTATAAGCAGTAATCCGAAAGATTAGGGTTTGAAGATGTTATTCAAGGAGTATAATCCAGCGAAATAAATTTGGAAAGAGAAAAGGGATAGGGACATGAAGAATTCAGAAGATTAGAAATTGGGAGAACACAAACAGTGGATGGACCTTGGCCATCACAAACAATTTTGAGCCATGTCATTCAAGGTCTTTAACCATCGATTGCTATCACCTTGCGAATCCCAACCAGGTAGTCTACACCTACCAACATGGCTCAGTCCTATTGTCAGTGACTTCATGGATTTGTGCCACGTTTTGGTCTGGCCGCCCCTAGCTTTCTTTCAACCTACTCCACCATAAAACATTGCACGTCGGGGCAGTCGGTGGTTGGGCATACGTATTACTTGCCCCAGCCATCTCAACTGGTGAAGTTTCACTACTTCATCAATCGATTTGCCACCCTTACCTAGTACCCGTTTCCTAACGACTGCATTACTTACTCGGTGGTCCTAGAATATACGAGCAATGCTTCGAAGGCACCAATGATCGAATACTAGCAGCCTACGAATATCCTCTACTCTTACCGGCCATGTTTCACTGCCAAATCAGTAAAAAACGATTTAGCAATGAGTTTCGAGATTATTTTTTTTTCAGGCCAAATTACCGATTGTACATATTCTACCGACCAGTCAATCAACAACAAAAAAACGTAGAACCTGGCATATACATGTGTATCAGTTCAAGTTGACACATATTAACACAGAGTGATTAATTTAGCCAAACAAATACTAGATTGGTAGAAGTTAACAGTATCTGTGATAATGCCCCCCAAACGCCCTGGTACGGCCGAGAGTTGGGAGAGTCCGCTCTCCCTCTCCAAATGCACTCACATGGACACGCGAATATATAGCCTCTGCCAGGGAAGTCCTACTCACTGACTTCTCGTGGCACCGGTGTTGTTTACAAAAGTGAGAGGACGAAAAGCGAATGTCCGGGGCTTTAACCGAGTTGGTGGACAAGGAAAGTTCACCTAGGGGAGTTGGAAAACCCTCATTCCAAACCAATGGTGCACATGGGCTCCAGGATCCTAAAAGGGAACAAATGGCGTATGAATCAATCGTTGGACACCGGCTACCATGGGACTGCATCTCCTCACAATGCTACACTGCCTTGTGGATCAGACTTTTCGGTCAAAGGCTCCGGGTGTGGCCCCCTAACAAAACCACCTGCTTTAGTTTGGGCACCTGGGCAGTATCACAGCTCTCACACAAATCGAATGAGATTTGTGCGGCGCATATGTATCTGGTGCTTTCTTGTACCAATATTTATGTGTTTAAATAAATAAATAAATCTGTGATAACATAAATGATCAGGTATAGACAATATAATATATAAAATAATGAATTCGTGAAATGAAAAGTGTAAGCTAATTTTAAAAGTCAAAATATAAGGGGGAAGATAAAGAGTGAATGTATCTGTTGTGTGATGATGATCGGATCCTGAGTTACATATTATTCTGTATCTCCAACCAATGAATATGAGCTATTACTTGAACTATAAAGTTAGTCTCTATCTAAAAATATGATTCAAACTAACAGTTAAGGATTTCATGAAATGGCTCCACATTCTGATTTAACCGACCTTTCTACATTTCTTCCTATAGCAGTCAACATTCTCCGTCGACGTAGACAATCTCTGGGCATATATAACACATTTACAATTGATTGATCACTAACTAGTGACTAATATCATGTGTGTCACGTCTTCCTTAATGTAGGCCAAACTCTATCGACCAAGTTGCAATGTGCCTACTAGTCTAGGTGACTCAAAATCGCGTACACTACGATGAGATGTCGGGTAGTGACTGGAAGTATTCGACAACAAACCCTACATCTAGGTTTCATGCTCATTGGCATTCGTCAGCAAAGTTTACCTGTAATCTTGAGGGAAATGCTGACCTCTGGTGGGTTCGATTGCGCGTCACCCAGCTTCACAGTCAAAAAGGTTACCACTGAGATATCCAAGCCGCGACTAAGGTCCTGGTCGAAAGAATTCGATCTGCCATACATGACACTGGTCACTACCTAGTGGTCAATCAATTGTAAGTACATCTCAGTGCTACAAGAGGTCAGTCGCAGCCCGGATAGCTCAGCGGTAACCTCTTTGACTGTAAAGCTGAGTGATACTAGATCGAAACCGCCAAGAAACGTCAATTTTCTCAAGACTGCAGGTACATCTTGCTGACGAATGTCAACTAACACCAAACCTGGATCTAAGGTTTTCTGTTGATTACTACCAACCATCAACTTACATAAATAACATATGTCGCAACTTCCATGATCAGTAAAGGTTTGAAAACCATTGAAGTTCATATTTTCCCGAGTTACACTGCTGCATTATTAACATACATTCATAAATCGTTTCACATCAGATGTAACTAAGTTATAAAACAAGTAACACTGTTTAAATGTAATCTGATCTTTCTCATAAACATCACTCATCACCGTTGTATTTCCCCTTGCTGAGTTACACAACTCATTATTTAACACCGAAAAAAATTCAAATAGTACACTGTCAAGTTAAAAATGAAGATAATAAATCATTCTGGGCAGAGATGGATGGTGGCTAGCAGTGGGATCCAGGACGCGCAAGTCCGAAATAGGATGCTCGTGACTTAAAGCAATTTCGAGACAATCTGCACAGGATGGACATACGCCAATAAGAAAGACTGGTCAGTTTCATTCTTAAACATCTTTGATAAGATTCAAACAACCAATACAAAGATAAATAAATCATTCTCTTGATACAGAAAGTGGTAAACCTTCGTATACTAAAATAAAAAGAGAGGAAAATTAACAAAAACTAAAAACCTTATCCATTCGATCTTTTTCAATTCCGAATTGGCCACCATATCCATAAGCTGGTTTTGGTGCAATTTTTAATTTTGCCAAACGATCTGCTTGTTTCACTTCTTCTTTTAACGCTACCATACTTTTGATTGAAGGAAAGAGAGAGAACAGTAATAGTAAAATGAATTCGAGTTAGATTTTGTTGTCGTAATATTTACAATTAAATTTCGAACAACCTTAGTAGGTATCTATATGTACCTTGAGTTGATTGCCTAGATATAACGTGTTATGTTCTATAGCTCGTTTAATAACACGTGACGAAATCGCCAATGAGAACACCGACTTATATGATCTTGTTCCTGTGCTAAACCAATGACACGTCAACCAGCACTAGCAGCTTTGAGTCAACTCTGAATCCTTATTGGCCCTCAATAAAGTAAATTCTCGCTTAGCCCTGCTCACCGAGTTCAGAACACAAATATCAGCCTCCGCCACATGAATCGTACTTTTCAGACATAAGCGGTTTATGTATAAACAGATCAGGCCACATCAAGCCATAAAATGAAAAATAATAATCACAAAGGATCAAGCCGAAAGTGACAATGAGTGTGAGAGACTGTTGTTATAACGTATGCCCTGAGCAGTCTTGGGTGCTATTCGGTCCTTCCTATCTGCCTAGCCCAGCCAGTTAAGTCCAGAACACAAATAACAGCCTCAGCAATATGAATCATTATTTACAAACACACTGGGTTTTTATACAAACCAAAGTAATCAATAAACTGATTATAACTCAAGAATCGTATGATCATAAATCAAAGATCAAAATAAAGCTAATGATAAGAGAAACACGAATATGAATAGTTTAGTTACGTAATAATTGTATAATAGGAAATAGGCATAATACATTGGTCGATAAATAGTCCTTAGAGTTACCATTCATAATTCACCAGGGGATATAACACCTCCCCTTTTTGAGAAATCCGGAGTTGACATCCGGATTTTTAATTTCTCGAATTCATCCCCCCCCACGAAAGACTGTTGGATCCTCATGAACCCAAGTTACCATTATTGTGACATTATTTAAAACATATTCGTCGTATTTAACTGAGAATCCACGAGAACTTATTAGATCGTGAGGATCGACTACATTCGATTTGAGGTCACCAGCGTCTGATTCTTCTGAAACAGTTTCCTTGAATTTACTCGGAACCTCATTAGTAAATAATGAATCATTAGGATAATCAGTATCTATGAAAGTTGTATTGGATTCTTGATTATCATTTAATGCATCCGATATTTTTCTCCCATTTTTATAAGAGATTTGAACTGGAACATATGAATCAGCAAAATAATCGGGATCTGGCAGAACAATTAGATAATCTTGATCATTAGATTCATAAAAAAACTTTTTTGCATCATGACTGGTTTGATTTGGCGCCACTGTATTCAATATACTGCCCGATTTGTTCCCCGTTTCTTCGTGGGCGGGTACTACAGTAATTTTATGAGCATTTAGCAAAACATTGTCTTTCTGTAAACAGGTTGATCCACTGTTTGCACGTCCGTTTTCGGGGTTAATAGGACTTGGACCGTGTATAGGGCATGTCTCTGAAACAGGCAGCACCGGACTACTGGGCTGATCATGTAGGACTGTTACTGCTGCATCTAAATTACTGTTTTTCGCGGATTCATAGAGGCTTTCCTCTGCATATTCATTTGTTCTGTAATCGGCTTCCAGTTCCGTACGCAATTTAGAAATCAATGCGTCAACTTCCGTTGCACCCCCAAAGCATGGGTGATTCAGCAGCGTCGCGTGTAACTTGTCAATGAAATCCAACTGACTCTTTTTAAAACGCTGCTCTTGTGTCTGAATTAGCAACTGAAATTGATCGGAAGTTAAAGTCATTTTTTTTACCCCGTCGTCAGTTGTTATATCGTATGGACTCGTAATATATATGAACGTGCAATTAGAGAGGAGTGGATTTTACTGATCGGATGCAAATGATACTTGAAATACGTACGAGCAGTCTTGATTGCTGTATTTTTTTCCAGAATCCCCGTCGAAAACTGTATACTTTTTTCTTTTGCGTACCAAAATCCCCGTCGAAACTGTTATAACGTATGCCCTGAGCAGTCTTGGGTGCTATTCGGTCCTTCCTATCTGCCTAGCCCAGCCAGTTAAGTCCAGAACACAAATAACAGCCTCAGCAATATGAATCATTATTTACAAACACACTGGGTTTTTATACAAACCAAAGTAATCAATAAACTGATTATAACTCAAGAATCGTATGATCATAAATCAAAGATCAAAATAAAGCTAATGATAAGAGAAACACGAATATGAATAGTTTAGTTACGTAATAATTGTATAATAGGAAATAGGCATAATACATTGGTCGATAAATAGTCCTTAGAGTTACCATTCATAATTCACCAGGGGATATAACAACTGTAACTAATTCATTGGGAATAACTTAAGAATAGTAGATAGTATAATAGTAGTCAATAGGTCAGCAGTACACGTTGCCCATATTATCAAATCACACTAACAAAGCACAACACATTAATTGTGATGGCAACACTACCTTAGATCATTAGACCAGCCCGATATTCTATATGTGTGAAGATTAACCGCGTTGGACGGCTGGAGGTAATTGACAGGAATCCCTATTTCAGTGTATCCACAAACTTAAGGGAATCGATTATTCTCGAATGACTCCAGCTCACAGTATCCAGTATCATAATCAGAGATTGTCATTACTAGATTACTTGAAGCACAACTTATCTTCTGAGGTAGGTCCCACTGAACTCCTTACATCTATAATCAAAAATAACATATTCCAATATCAAGCCAATTAGACCAAAGACAGCACTGACCGGTAGGATTGATTTTACCAAGTACACAAGCATTTACTTGGGTACAAGCCACACTATGTATGAAAGTTATTAATACTACTCGACTGCTCAAACCGAAGTAGGTGTGATTGGACTATAAACGGCACACCTACTGGTTGAGAATCAGACATCTTCACTACTGGGTCAGTACTGATCGTCATAGTGACTTGTATAGAAATTAATTAACTAACGAGTGAAGTAGAAAACGAAAATACTTATATCTTTTATTTCCTTATTCCCAAAAGAAAATAGTAATTAACCGACAATTAAATGATGCGACACCTGAAAGGTTTATAATTAAAAATCGTTTGAATTATAGAGTAAAACACAATTAAAAGTATTCACTTAAGCTACAAATTTCTCAACATCACAATTCATTTTAACTAGCTCTCAAACAATAAGTATTGCTAAGAGGCTGAATATACAAACTTATACTTGTCTATTGAGCTGTAACGAGTTTATTGAAATTAATGACCTTTTTTAAGAAAAAATTACATTACTTACTCTATGGAAGCTTGATGGCCAGAACCAATAACAGTTTTGGAACCCCATCTTTGTTCTTTCTCTGTTACATCGTTCTATATACAAGAACATAATTATTTGGTTTTTTCGTTCATTTTGAGGAGAAATAAAAACTACCACAAAATCTGGCTCTGTTTCCCATTCATCATCTACATTCCTATTACTGGACATGACAGGATGAACAATCTAATGTAAGCAAGATATATAGGATTGTATTAACAGAAAAGTCAACAGTTAAATTTTCAACAATCCAAATTGTTTAATGAATAAGCTTGAAATAAAATAAAGTAATTAAAAAATAAATTGAGAATAGAGATGTTTAAAACACATGTATATTGTTGAATACTTTGAATATTATAATGTAATGTTAATGAAAAGCCGTAGAAAGTAGCGAACTCGAATTGATTATGTTTGATTGAAATATTAAATGAGCAATAGTGAGGTTGGGCATAGGTTACTAGGTTTTAAAATAAAAAACATATTATGTTTCGTGTGACTAATTACCTTCAACTCTAACTCGAGACGACGATCGACATACGAACAGGTTGGGAAAAGTGTTAGAAGAGGAGGGTGGATCAAAATACACTATTAGTTACGAAGTTATTTGCTGGTCTAAGCCAGATAGGCAGGTCTAAATGAATGAAGGTTGTACAGTGCCAAAAATTTATAGATGAAGACATGCTAAATTTATCGCACTGGTGCAGTTACATTCTTTCTCCACCTCCCTCTTAAAGTTGAGTCAAGTGTCATCGCTCACTCTTCACTCCTAGACTATTTCTACCGCTTGTACTGAAAATTCATATTTTTGTTTCTATTTCCAGTTAACATTATTTCTTTTGTTTTCCATTTCGTCGATTACTTTCACTAGGTTTGATGTGAGGTGTAGTGACTTGAACAGGCATATACATTAGTGTCAGATTCTAGATTGTGGTTGACAACTTAGTAAACCTTCCAAAAATACGAAAAATCAAATAATAAACGTGTTTAACACGCGGATTGAGAGGATTCTATCGTTACCATTATACTTAAATGTGAAAGACATGGTGTCCATCGAACTGTCATCATCATTTCATTTATTTGTGTGTGGGTTGTGATACTACTCGGGTGCCCAAACTGAAGCAGGTGGTTTTCTTAGGGGGCCACACCCGGAGCCTTTGACCGAAAGGTCTGATCCACAAGGCAGTGGAGCATCGTAAGGAGATGCAGTCCCATGGTAGCCGTTGACCAATGACAGGTTCGTCCGCCATTCGTCCCATCAGGATACTGGAGCCCATGTGCACCATTGGTTTGGAATGAGGGTTTTCCAACTCCCCTAGGTGGACCCTCCGTGTCCACCAACCCGGTTAAAGCGCCGGACATTCGCTTTTCGTCCTCTCACTTTTGTAAACAACACCGGTGCCACGAGAAGTCAGTGAGTAGGACTTCCCTGGCAGAGGCTATATATTCGCTGGCCATGTGAGAGCATGTCGAGAGGGAGAGTAGACTTTCCCCACTCTCGGCCGTACCAGGGCATTTGGGGGCTAAATCGAACTGTCAGTCTGACTAGTACACTAGTCAAATTATTTAAAAAATAATTTGAGCCATGCTAATAAGTCATGCAGAATAATAAAATCTGCTGACTATTGAGTAACACAGATTCCGGGATAGACACGCTTAGCTAACTTGGCAGCTGCAAGAGAAAATTGGACAGAAGTTCAAGATAGTTGTTTGTCTATTGATATGATATTCACAGATTTTAGCATGAAACTTTATAAAGTGCCTGAATTAGGGCTAATGTAGATCTTCAGATTTGGAATAATATGTACCATACAAGAGTGGATAAGAAACTTCATCGGTAACCGGAGACAGAGAATGGGGTAGAGGGGACATCATCTGGATGGCAACCGGCTGAAAGTGTACACCAAGGGACTATCTTAGGTCCCCCTTTCTCAAATTTGTCTCAATAAATTGCTAATACTGTTTAATTCGTCAACACTGTTGTTTGCAGATGATGCAAAGTCTGGAGAATAATACGTAGTGAAGCTGACAATCTTGATCCCCAGATTGACTTAAACTAATTAATTAGATGGTCCCGAACTTGTGGTTTAGAGATTGATTCTAAAAATTGAGCCAATGCACAATGGACAAAACAACGGCCACTAGTATGCCGTCAACAGTGAGCCGCTTCCACGAGTGCAGGAATAATATATAATATAATATATGTTAATAATAATATAATAATGTTAGAGGTCATCCAATCAGATGACAATAGTATGATTTTGAAGCAAGAAAATATCTATATGCCCAGCACCTAGACACACTGGGTAAGGACTAACAACACCACTCGGTTGCCTAAAATGTCAAGGTAGAGTGGGGTTCGAATCTATGATCCTTCGGTTGAAAGTCGAGTGCTTTAACTGCTAAATGTCATTACTTTTGGTCTATAATCAATATTTTCATCTTTCCACACCGGTTATACAAAGGGCTGAGACTTTACGTACTCAAACCACATCTGTCTGGACCCAATATTCACCCCTTTTATAAGGTATGATGTAACTATGTTGGTGACTAAGCGTAAGTATATGACCTATTTCATCAGGATTGCACGTTTTTTTAGGCGGATTGGGTGGATAAGAGACAGTTATAGGGACAAAACACGTGGAATAGGAAAACATACAATTTAGTAACGTAAGTATTAATGAGTGCGGAAACCTAGTGTTCAACATTTTGTTCAGTCTTGAGTAATAAGGATATATTACATTTCTGACTTCATAACCTGACAGTTAATTAGCCGGTAGGTAACCTGCTCGCTACATACATTTAATTCTTTATTGGCTTCTAAATTTGCGTGCTACGTTCTCTGAGTTATCCTCTGGAAGAAAAAAGGGGTATATCGGTTTCAAAACCAACTTAAGCATATATTAAAATCAGAGCAGCTTCCTATTCGCTATAAAACAGTGTTAAAGCGTCCAACTTATAAGTTTGAGTTACAAATGGTGAGCAACACTGCCTGAAACCTACTAGAGTAGCCGTCTTCTGTACTTCTGAAGAATTCAAGTCACCTCATTATTAAGAGCTTTTATCCTGTGCATAATTTACACATCTGAGCACCACCAGAACTTTATAAGTCGTGATAAAAATGATCTATGCTACTTTTTCTGCTTAATCTAAACGAAATCATATTGTCAATCTACGTGTGGAGATAGAACCTTAAAAACCTATTTTGTAAATAATTTTTCATACAACCGGTAAAAAACACAGGAAAGCGCAGTGTAATTAAGAAGAGGGGTATCGATAGGTCTACTATCAATGAAGCAGGTAACAGCAGTAGTGATGACATTCTGAAACTCAGCACCATCATAACGTCGACGGTATTAGACTCCCTTAATAAACTTGGGTCGCCCAGCACAGAGTCCTTGAATGCAACGGTGGTTCCCAAAAGCTCTGTAGGTTATTATACCCACGTTAACAGAGTTAAAAAGGACCCTGCGCCAACGTCCAAGCTGAACATTCCGAGTATTGCACGGTAATCATGGTAATCCACAAGCCAAAACTGAAGTTTCCCAAATACTGGGTCCTAATGGTCCGACTGATAACGACGGCGGTGCCGCTAATCTTTTGGCTGAACAGTACTATCGAACATTTCAATCGACCCACATCAACTACACTGATGGAAGCTTTACCTGCACCTACACAGGACCTTCTAAAGTGGACCTGAGCGCTGACCTGGTGTTCCGTAAACAACAGCACATAAGAAAAGACACTTCTCTTGATCCGGATATGGTTTATTCCGCTATACCTTAAGAAATAGCTACAATTCTAGCCACACCACCTATCGTGAAGTTTTCACACTCCCCAAGCTGAGGCAAGCTACCGGAAATTTGGGAGCTGGCTCACATCACACTAATTTTCAAAGGAGGTTGACTCAGCGAACTCTCAAGCTACCGACCGATGACACTACTCTCCATACGCTGTAAAATTATGGATTGCCTGATATGCGATGGTATACACGAATACTTAATATACCTAAAGTTCTCACCCCAGCAGCATGGTTTCAGGAAGAGTCACACTTGCGGTGGACAGATGGACAAGCATCTTTGATCATACGGGGAAGGTTGACGTTATTTACTTTGATTTACCCAAAGCTTTTGATAGGATCAACTACAAGTTAGAAGAATAGCATTGAAGAGACTGTGGTTTACATTTTGATACATTTCCCCTCTGTTTCTTAAACCAGTCATTCAATTATATCGACAGTTCTATAAACTAATTCTTTCTACTTATATGAAATCTTCTTTATTACTACCATCGAAGTAAGTGCTTCTATGAATTTGGTGTTCATCTTATTGTGCTAATCAAGTATAACAATTTGGACCGATTTGTTGATATTTTTTAATTTTTAGCAGTTTGTGTAACAGCTCAGTGGTTCAAAGGTTTAGTGCTCAGTGCAAGACATGAATGTACAGAGATTGATACCCGGTGAGGTCTGCAAGGCCTTTGCTATTTTCAGGCATTACTGCGCATTCGGCATACTATATTTTATGTACTTCTCACTTTAAAAGCATCTTAATCCATGCGATACTTTCAGTTTAAACCCTATAAAGTTTCCTCAGGCAAATCTCTCGGGTAAATGGATAAACTTAAATGAATTATAAAAAGCTCAAAAGTCACCAACTTCGCAAGGATGATAGTGTATATATATACTAAATGAAGATAAGGAGTTACAGTATTATCTTTCTTACCGTCAAAGCAGATCAATAACACAAATACAGTAAGAGGTAGAGATTAAAACATAGTACACTCAAGTTCTTAACATTTACACACTAAACAAATGTAAGTCCCTGGAAACATTATAGATAACTTTAGCAGAGAAAAAAGAGGAGCATAAACTTTCTACGAAGAGTGATTGTTTGTTTTTTCTCTGAATGTTTGGGATTAAAGCCAATGAGTGAATTAATGACAGACTATAAGGTTTGAATTCTATTCTACTTAATTTAGTTAGTGAGAGACGAGGTAGAACCTGACATAAACTTGTCTTAGCCATCTTCATTGATCAACTACAGGTTTATGCATTTAATTTAAAGCTACAATGTTTATCTGAGGAATAGAGATGCTACAAACCAGTGGCTTAAATCATAATGGAATTAACAGAGTTCGAACTTGGAATGTAAAACGTTTAAATCTTGGATGTTCTAACAATTACATTGCTGCTTTACAAATGTATCCAAGGTTACCAATGGTACAAAAGTGAACGTTCATCCCCTATTCGTCGCAGAAACTAGATCTCTTTGTTTTGTTTTCTGACACGTTTATCATAACTGCATAAGTCCATTGGATTAATTACACATTATTAATATGCAATAAAGAATGGTGATTCACAGATTACACAGTATAAGTGAGTCAATTTTGACGGTATTGTTAGAACTGTTGAATGGTTACTTAATGAAACTGAATGACCGAGTACAATGCTGTGCATTCGAATTGGAATCAGTAAATGTTATATGGAGTAGAGTTGTTGGAGATTTGGGAGAAAGATGAGAAGCTAGAAAACCAAGACGTAATATAAATTTATGAAATAATCTACTGTAGGTTAGAGCCATGTTGGTAGGTGCAAATTATCTGATTGTGATCCGTGTGATCAATAGCTGAAAACGTTGGGCGATGGCTCGATTAAAATGATGTAGATGTATTCACTTTCTCTTTCACTTGGATCATGAATTGAAGACGTGGATCAAGAACAAATTTATACTGATGACTGTACTCAAACGTAATAGCAGTGAGGTGTTTCCCTCAAACAAGCAGAATCTCCAGCATTGTTGTTTGTCTACAACATAAGTAGAGAGGTAGCAAACGTTGACGCTGAAATAGCAAACCTAACGTTGCCTAATGGAGTTTTCCCACCACATACAAGGCCTTTTGAAGTACAGATCTAACTCATTCAAAACTACTCACAAAAAGTCGTTATCGTTTCTTGAAATCTGTGGTTAAGCGCTCAGGTAGCTAAAATAACCATTAATCCAGTATCTTTTAAAAGAACTTTAAGAAAAAAGGAATTTCATCTCCCTGTGCTAAAATGGCATGTCAACTTAGACTGGTGTACATACGTATCAGGTTATATGTTCCATTTGACTGACTGACTAACTGACCTTAAGAAGAACTATCCTTCCAAGATGTGGGGAACTGGGAAGTGAAAACTACCTTCATACATCTAACAAAACAGGAGATTACCTCAATAACCTGTGCCATATTACACATTAAATTTCTTCTGATACATGGGAGCTATCAGCCACAAACTGACTAATAATAGAGTCATTTCTTATTACTAATATTAATATTACTTTAAATAAAAACACAATTGACCACTACAACTAGTCAACAACTTACCATCTTCAATTATACTACAATCTAATTTTAGTTCATTCATGCTATCTGTACAGTGAATTAATGAATTCGAGGAACAATTGGATTCATTGTTTGTGGAACTACTCTTTCCAATTGTCGTCATTGTTGCTGTATAGGGTTAAACATTTCCATCCGTTTTGAGTATTATTGCTATGAGAACCTGATTGATTTGTTGTACTACTATTTAGATTAATATTATCATTATTATTTTGATGAATCAAATTAGAATCTTCTAATGAATTGTCAGCAGTTTTTCCCTTTGTCTTCTCTGCCTCATGAAGATGATGATCATCAACATCATCACCAGGATGATGATGACAACAACAAGAAGTGGGAGACGCAGTAGACGTCAGTTCCTGTTCATTTTGTTTAGCTTCCAAGTTTTGTGATTCCTTTTGGCATTGTTGTGGTTTTCTTAATTCATTCAATTGATCTTTTAAAGCTCTACATAAGCCACTAAGTTTTTCTACTTGTTTCTTGGCATTCAATGATTTTGACATTTCGTTTTTATGCTATTCAGCTAATTCCAACAAACTACGTTGACTAAAACTCCGCCTGTAGCTCCTCCAGGGGCTACTGCCGGTCCCAAGCCCGGGTAAAGGAGGAGGGTTGGTCATGGGGTTAGCGACCCTATCCCGTAGAAAATCAACTCGCTAAAAAAACGCTAACCAGAAAAAATCATTCAAACCTTTCAAACTCTGCCCTGGGAGTAGAAGGAATAATGACGTATCATGATGAAAGCCGAGTTCCTTCGGAAGTCATGAGGCCGATGCACCTTCTAACAACCAGAGCAACAATTTTCATAGGTACATGAAATGTTCGTACAATGTGGGAGACCGGCAGAGCCTTCCAAATTGCTGCGGAAATGAGGAAATACAACCTGGATGTGCTTGGAATCAGTGAAACACATTGGACGCAGGTTGGACAACAACGACTGTCTTCAGGGGAACTTCTGTTACACTCCGGTCATGAAGAAGAAAATGCCCCACATACACAAGGAGTGGCACTGATGCTGTCTAGAAAAGCACAAAATGCACTTATAGGATGGGAATCTCATGGACCGAGGATCATCAAAGCCTCCTTCAAAACAAAGAGAGAGGGTATTACAATGAACATCATCCAATGCTATGCGCCGACCAACGACTACGATGAAGAAGCTAAAAACCAATTCTACGATAGGCTGCAGTCAATCTTCGAGAAGTGCCCAACCAAGGACCTGACCATTCTAATGGGAGATTTCAATGCCAAGGTTGGAATGGACAACACTGGATACGAAGATGTCATGGGACAACATGGACTGGGAGAAAGGAACGAAAATGGTGAGAGATTTGCAAACCTATGTGCCTTCAATAAACTGGTCATAGGTGGCACCATACTCCCACACAAAAACATACACAAAGCCACTTGCATTTCACCGGATCACACTACACAAAATCAAATCGACCATATCTGCATCAACAAAAAGTTCAGGTGGACGATGGAGGATGTGAGAACCAGAAGAGGAGCTGATATAGCATCCGATCACCATTTGCTGGTCGTCAAGATGAAACTAAAACTCAAGAAGCACTGGACAATGGCGCGGACAACATCACAAAAGTTTAACACGGCCTTTCTTCGAGATGCTGACAAACTCAACGAATTTAACATAGCCCTCAGCAACAGGTTCCAGGCCTTTCATGACCTACTCAATGGAGAGGGAACCACCATAGAGAGCAGCTGGAAAGGTATCAAGGAGGCAATCGTTTCAACATGTCAGGAGGTTCTGGGCCAAAAGAAGCACCATCACAAGGAATGGATCACTGTTGCTACACTGGATAAAATTGAAGCAAGGAGGAACAAGAAGGTAGCAATCAATATCAGCCGAACAAGATCAGAAAAAGCCAAGGCACAAGCCGAATACACAGAGGCAAACAAGCAAGTGAAAAGGAGCATCAGAACCGACAAACGTAAATATGTGGAAGATATAGCGATAACAGCGGAAAAGGCTGCAGGAGAGGGAAACATGAGACAACTGTATGATACAACAAAGAAACTCGCTGGAAATTACCGTAAACCAGAACCACCAGTGAAAAACAAGGAAGGCAAAGTAATCAACGATATTGAACAACAACGAAACAGGTGGGTAGAACACTTCAAGGAACTCTTGAATCGACCAGCTCCACTGAACCCACCCAACATCGAAGCAGCACCCACAGACCTCCCAATCGATATTGGCCCACCAACAATTGAAGAGATCAGCATGGCCATTAGACAAATCAAGAGTGGCAAAACAGCGGGACCAGACAACATCCCGGCGGAGGCACTGAAAGCAAATGTAACAGCAACTGCCAAGATACTCCACATCCTCTTCAGTAAGATTTGGGACGAAGAACATGTACCAACAGACTGGAAAGAAGGACTTCTCATCAAGATACCAAAGAAAGGCGATCTTAGCAAGTGCGACAACTAAAGGGGCATCACTCTCCTCTCAATACCAGGAAAAGTCTTCAACAGAGTATTGTTAAACAGGATGAAGGATTCCGTGGACACTCAACTTCGAGATCAACAAGCTGGATTTCGTAAGGATAGATCGTGCACAGATCAAATCGCAACTCTACGTATCATTGTGGAACAATCAATCGAATGGAATTCATCACTCTACATCAACTTCATCGACTACGAGAAGGCGTTTGATAGCGTGGACAGGACGACACTATGGAAGCTTCTTCGACACTACGGCGTGCCTGAGAAGATAGTCAACATCATACGGAACTCCTATGATGGACTAAACTGCCAAATCGTCCACGGAGGACAACTCACCGACTCGTTCGAGGTAAAGACCGGTGTTAGGCAAGGTTGCTTACTCTCACCCTTTCTCTTTCTCCTGGTGATCGACTGGATCATGAAGACGTCAACATCTGGAGGAATACACGAGATACAGTGGACAGGCAGGATGCAGCTTGACGATTTAGACTTCGCGGATGATCTGGCTCTTCTATCACAAACGCAACAACAAATGCAGGAGAAAACGACCAGTGTAGCAGCAGCCTCAGCAGCAGTAGGTCTCAATATAAACAAAGGGAAAAGCAAGACTCTCCGATACAATACAATATGCACCAATCCAATTACACTTGACGGAGAAGCTTTGGAGGATGTGGAAATCATATCTGGGCAGCATCATTGATGAACACGGTGGATCAGATGCAGATGTGAGGGCGCGGATCGGCAAAGCAAGAGCAGCATACCTACAACTGAAAAATATCTGGAACTCAAAACAATTGTCAACCAACACCAAGGTTAGAATTTTCAATACAAATGTCAAGACAGTTCTATTGTATGGGGCGGAGACGTGGAGAACTACGAAAGCCATTATCCAGAAGATACAAGGGTTTATTAACAGCTGTCTACGCAAGATACTTCGGATCCGATGGCCAGACACTATCAGCAACAAGTTACTGTGGGAGACAACAAACCAGATTCCAGCAGAGGAAGAAATCAGGAAGAAGCGCTGGAAGTGGATTGGGCACACTTTGAGGAAATCACCCAATTGTGTCACAAGACAAGCCATCACATGGAATCCTCAAGGTCAAAGGAGAAGAGGAAGACCAAAAAACTTATTACGCCGAAAAAAAAGAGACAGACATGAGAAGAATGAACAAGAACTGGAAAGAACTAGAAAAGAAGGCCCAGGACAGAGTGGGTTGGAGAAAGCTGGTCGGCGGCCTATGCTCCATTGGGAGTAACAGGCGTAAGTAAGTAAGTAACGTTGACTAACTTCCCATTTGCCTTGCCATGCAACTGCTACACTCTCACTTAATTGAATACGTTTACCAAGCTGAAAATGAAATATTACAAGAAACAAAATCTGATTATCAGGTAATCTAGATTTAATTAAATTTTGATTTAGATTATGAATTGATCAATATTAGACAACCACTGAAAACCTAGAAACCTAGAAACCTAGAACGGCTGTTTCGTCCTACAATAAGGCCTCCCATCAGTGTGTGTCCACGATGCCGCACACATGAATCTAACTCAGCAACTAACTCGCGCACGAACGCTTAGTTTCTAGATCATTGAGCTGACACTCAACGATAATAATGTCTAATTTCAACTAATCCATGATATTGTGCCACCATCTTCCATTGTCTAAGGTGATAACTGCCTCACACTCGACACGGATTAGCTCCACTGATCATGGCTTCTCACTAGAATTCCAGGAGTTCCATCTTGAGGAGTGTCACTAGTGAGCACATGATTATTATCAGTATGGAGTTGTGGAGATTGTTGACTTTTTGATTGCGATCATGAATCAAACAATGTTTCCAGGTTTCTAGTAGTGGTCTAACATTGATCGATTCATGATCTCGATGAAAAACTCAGATGACAATATTAATAATTTACACTATATAATTTATCATATAACAGTTTGTATATTCTTTTCGTTGTTGAACATGAAAACTCTGAAAACGATCAGTCTTTTGACCAAAATAACAATATCAAAGTAATATGCCAAACAAAAGCATAGTTCAAAAAGTTAACAGATGAATTACTTGTTCATGTAATTCCAACGTCCTACTCTTTGCCTCCTCTTGGCGCCGGTGTTGTTTACTAAATTGAGAGGACGAAAAGTGAATGTCCGGCACTTTAACCAGATTTGTGGACACGGAAAGTCCACCTAGGTGGGTTGGTAGTAACTTACGAGTATCTTCTACTTTTAATAGCCACGTTTCACCGCCGTGAAGTAGAACAGAGCGAACTGCTGCGCAATATACTCGTCCTTTATTTGATAGACGGATATCTCGTCTTCGCCATAGGTGACGTAAGTTGGCAAAATCCATAAGCTCTCCCTCGACTGGTAGTGTTTGAGTGAAGAGCCTCCACATGGTTTATTATGATAATTAGAAGTATTTGAATTGTAGCATATACTAGTAATCCCCGGAATAACGCAATGTAATCAAGAAGTATTAGATGAGCCCGAACGAATGTATTGTATTTGGAATTCAAAATTACAACAGTCATCAATACGAAGAAGTCATAGATTTATTTAAACACCACAATCGCCACAGCTCGAATTGGAGTGTAAGTGTCTGTAATCGATTGTTCGTCTTTTTCTTAAGTTCATCTTACATCGGTCCGAAAGTGTATTGGATGTAGATTCTTTATTATTTAGAATGCACTCATTAGTATTAGAATTAACAACCGAAATTGGAACAGACTAACCTGGGTTCTGGAATTGTATACAATCAGCACTCCGGCTTTGTAGTGAAACCATTGATATTTAGAATTTGCATCATGGACTTTCCAACAATATCCTCCCCCACGAAATAATGTTGGGTCCTTACTTCGCAATGTTTTAGCCAATATGACGTTCTCAATTTGCATTATCTTCTCAAATCTTACGCATCGACTACTGTATGTGAGTATTTGGGAATAAACACTGATATATGATTTGAGGTATTCCATCATGTGACTTTGATTTGAATAAAAATCATGATACATATACCTTTTGTTATTCATA